CGGGTACACAAGGTGAGACCCAAGGCCAATTCGACACGGTATCGGGGTAGCCCCTCCGTAAGTCGGCAGTCCGGCGCTGTGTGTGTTTGTGGATCTCCTACGTTGTTTGAGAATTCACTCCACCACATCGTCATTAACTGATGCTGACCGAATGTCAGTCACGTACTCGTCCTCTGTGACGAGTACACAGATCTGCTTGACTTTGCCACTGCGCAGATCACGCAAGAACCTTTTAGGATCTAGCGTAGGCAACTGAGTTATCTCCGAAGTTAACTTCGAAGGCGCGACCAGATCAAGCGTATAAGCGCCCCTACGTTTGATTCGTCATTAACCAAGACTTTCAACGTCTCGTTCAATTTCTGGGGACTTTTTCCCTCAGGAAACTGGGGGACTTATTCCCTCAGTGATTGTACCTGGGGGCTTATTCCTGCAGGCTCGATGAAACTTATTTTATCGACTTCCTCTAGCTGTAATGGCGCAAACACAGCGAGATCCTCTACGATCAACTCGCCAGTTGATCTAGGACTACCGTGTTGCCGCTTCTGTGCAACCGGTTTACTCTTCGGTAAATGCTGCCCTCTAGACGAGCATTCATGTCCTGGTCCACTCGACTTATTCGAGTGGTGGACCTTCGGCGCTGCCTGTGCTTGTGCACAGCCGCCGGCAGCTTGCTCCAGTGTGACTGTCTGTCACGCTGAGTTGTTGTGCAGTCGTACTAACGACCGAGCCACAAATGAGGCCATCACACTCACTCGTAGTAAATTCACACGCTTGTGAACGCTCCAAGACGTTCATCAGATGGCCATCTGATGAACAAGCGGCAGGCATCTTCACGGTTCGATGCTGCCAGCTGACCCATGGCTCGTACTTTATGAGCCATGGTAATCCTATGATGACATCAACTTTGTCATCCAGATCGAGTACGATGAAATCATCATCGTACTTTTTGCCTTCAAGCGTGTAGTGAATTCCCACCACACGTATCTTTACTGTTACGGATGCGCCCGTTGCAAGACGCATCATCGTCCTTGTTGGAGGGGTCTCGCGCTCAACATATTTGAGCCTACGATCATCTAGCGATTGGCATCGAACAAAGTTGTTCGAAGCCTCACAATCAACTAGGGCGCGAAGTGACTTGTTCTTTGTCGCAGGTGCCTCAATTACATCACGTACACGTGAGCAGAGGAAGTCAATCAACTAAACAAACGCTTAGTTGAGAAGGAAAAGAAAACTGTAATTAATATAGTTAACTGTCTAATAAAACTAATCTGTTATAACCTATGTTAACTATATTAAACTACAACTATGTATGTTAAAAACTTGCCCTCCCTTCATTGCGCCCGTCCATTGGTCATTGGTCAGCGCGTTGGTTGATATGATGGCCTATATCAACCAATTAGAGGGCATCTCCAACTTCAAGGAAATGTGAGAACAATATTATATGAAAAGATAATATTATCAACTATTATTAGTTATAATAATATTCTTACTGACACTTCATATAAGTGTCAATATTATGTAACGGGCTCACCCCGTTACACTATCTAAACGAACGCCCAGACCATAAGTGGATGTATAAGTACTATCTTGACAATAATAGAGGCGTGCAATGCTCTAAAAAGACTGCGTGAAGAAATCTTAGTGATTGCAATGTTCATTCTGGCTGCACGCTTATGAAGGTACGGTCTCGGAGATGGTTTTAAATCAGAATTTAGGATTGTCGTCGTCAGTAGAAGCAAAGAAGTAGATTTCAAGCGTCCTTTTCCAACATGTAGAAAACGACTTGATGCTATGACCTGCTTAACGTCTCAAGTTACTGATAGTCGCCTATGGTCAACTAATGTATGCCTCAAGAAATGCCTTACAATGTAAAAAAAGCTACGCGAGTCTTATTGTAATAGTCCTAAAAGACTCATGTTTTTGCTTTGGCAACACAAGACGAGCTTCGACCACACTTTGGACTACCTTACAAATTCACAAAGGTGCCAGATCATTTGGATATAATTGTTCGGTTAATTGCACTAAGATCTCAGGAGCCAGAATGTTCTGCGTTGCTGCCTTCAGTCCATCAGACATCGTGTTTACTATTCGAGCTGTTTGAATTCTTTCATTCTGCATCAATGTGCTTCTAGAGCAAGACGAGATCCAGCGCGCAGAGTTTGAATGAAATGACAGCCGGAGCAACAGGGCGACCACGCACATGAAGACGCTCGTGCAAAGCTAGGCGATGCACAGAGTCCCTCCATGACATAGACCCAAGAGCTCTTCCGAAACTCGAAACGAACTGGACAAACGGATTTTTGCTAATTATTGCGCCGATGCGAAAAACAAACAGGCAAGACTACGAGCGAGACCCAAGCTTGCTTGACGACACAACGCGCTTTCGATGTTGGTGTAAGGCGGACGATGTCTCAAATCTAGGTGATGCAGCATAGGAGATACCGAAACGTAATCACGATCCATGAATTGTTGACGCAGCTCCTCGTCTCGGGGTTTCCGCTGTATGTTTGCTTGAAGTCTACAAGGTCGTAAGCAGCTACGATGGCGGCAAAGCGAGCGTATTTCTTGCGGCGTACGAAAACTCGATGCATAAGGGCATTGTGCCTACAACTGTTGGAGTCAAGAAGCTGCGGGCGTTGGCAGGTCTGGTGCAAAACGTGATTATGATTTACCTGCCTTAGCGAGAAGGTAAAATGAATGCCATGGCAGCTTTGTTTCGAGGCACCGAACAGCGAGGACGAGGCGGACGCGAGTAAAAATCGAAAGCCTAGGCAAACGCATGATCATCACCGGACTTATATTTCATTTGAGCTGGTCTGGAACGTTGGTAGCAAAGTGTAAAAGCCGGAAGCCGCACAAGTTGACGTCTTATTGCTGGAGTGAATGAAACATACGACGCGGCGTCGAAAGAGGTTTTCTTTCACAACTGCATAATCTCAGCAGGTCGTTGTGACAGCTGACGGACGGGACGACATCTACTCAAGCTGCTCGTTGACGTGCAAAGTGAATAAGCTGTCAGAGAAGAGTGTGCAGATTCCAGGCTTGTACAACATGTCGCCAACGAGTCCGGCTTTGTTTACAATCGAGACACGGGTGAATCGAGCTCGTACTGTACTGTAGTAAATAGGAACTTGAATCAAGAAAAGCAGGGGTCACTGACCCCTGCTAGAAGCAAGTATTCCATATGTTTATTGCTTTAAAAATGAAGTTTGTTCATAACACACTCGGCTAAAGACAACAAAGGAGGCTAGAGATGACAATATGGATGCCCTTAAATATAGCAGAGAGGGCTCAGACCTGTCCACCGCTGCTTGGTTTGTGACCTCCACAGACTTTGCATGCAGTTAATTAAGCAGAGTAGCAATAGCGTACGCACTCTTGCTGCTGGTATTGAGCGACACCGGAGACGACGTGATCGGCTCCATTTTATCATTCGATCGATCATTGGCAAGCAACAGTAACGTCTCCACCACATTCGGATGGACATTATTGTCCAACATTGAAGTTGAAGCAGTCGTGTCAACAGATGGCGGCGTCCTGTCTCCCGTCAAATGAAAGATGCAAAAGCCCCCTTTCTTTGCACGAGCCGAACACCACGAGAGACTGCAGCGCCGTCCACCTCCATGGCTGTAGCACAATCCACCGCTTTCCGAGCTGCTCTTGCAGCCAGTGATACGACAACGTCGTCCACCTCCATGACGTTTGCATAGGTCACGACTTACAGCACCATTATTGCAATCATCTACTCGACAGCGACGACCTCCACCGTGACTGTAGCAAAAGCCACGACTGCGTGAACTGTTTTTGCACATGGGAAAGTCACACTTCTTGGGAAAACACGCACGTTTGGGATATCGTGACGCGTCCGACGTGGTAACTCTCAAGTCATTCAAACGAGGGAGAGATACAAGCGGCAGATGGTTGCTCGGCTTCCACGTCTTGTTATGGCTCGAGACCATCATATTCGACGTACTGAAGGACAGTGAGGGAAGCAACAATCTACATGTGGGTAGTGTAAAAGCTGTTTTGGGGTGTTGCTCACCAAAGATCGCACTGTCGTTGATTGCCTTGGAGGTGACGTTTAGCGAAGGTAGTGTGAGTGAGGTCTCGGCCGTAAGACGGGTCTGCGGTGGTGCTTGGTGGTGCAACAGATAGATCCACGTGCTTTCCTGGTTTTCCAGTTCATCCGACTGCTTCGTACGCATAATGAGCGAAGGACGATCTTGGGCTTCGATCCGATTCACTTTGAGCTCAGTAGTTTGATTACTTGCGGATGAAGTGGTCTATTGGCAAATGATGCTCAGAGGAAGTGGAGGAAGGATAGAAGAGTCGGGACTTGGAAGAGATCGTATACAGGTTGGGGATGCGGATAAGGGCATGGTTTATGCACGCATATCGAACAAAGACGGGTATAACGTCCTGCCCTTTTTTAGATGATGGCCATCACAACCCGACGTAGATATACGAATACAGACATGATGACGAGTCGACTTGCTCTCTCTTCACTGCTGCTGTATATATATATATTCCTACTGCTATGTTGCTGCTGCTATATAGCCTAAAACGCGTGTTGAACATGCCAAGCTGGCTGTCAGAATGACGAAACGTCTTGGGGGATGCTCTGTACATGAGCTAGCATAAACAAGACAGGATTCCATCAGCTACCTTGGTTTCGTTCCTTTTCGAGAAAAGATTGCGCATTTCATTGTAAAGTAATACAAAACCCAAGTGAATCGAACACGTTCCAAGCAGATCTCAGAAATGACACACTAGTGGCTTTTCTATTTCATGATGCGCAGAAACAGGGGTGCAAGACGAGACTTGACAGCAGAAAAGGCGGTTCCATCTGTCGATTCTGCTCGTTGCAGGAAAGGCCACCCGTATGGATGCAGTGCAGTTACCAACGAAACAGTCAGCACTTTGATACATTGGAAATATATACATGGAGCAAGTAGCGAACGGCGATCGAAATTCTAATGAGGATATAATTAAGAGGGGGGGAGGGTGTTGCAATTGAACTAGACATGTTTTTGCAAATTTCACGTTCTTACTTTTGATGGGAGTTATGATGTGGTACCAGCAAAGGAAAAGGGCCAAGGGATGGAAGATGAGGAAATAAGTTTCGTCCTTAGTAATGCAAGGCATTTGATTGTCTGCAGGTGTGTGGTCGTGGGAATTGACTGTCTATTTACCGTTATGGTTTCTAAAAAGTCCTCAGCCATTCTAGTATTCCTAGGTAGAACGTCAGTTAAGTCGAAAAGTTGATATCCGCTGATTGATGGGAGTTCTGATGCAGCGTTTGGAAGCGACAATCACTACGAGTAAACGGCTGCTTTAATGATTGTACTCGGTACAATTGTGTGCTTCAGTTGGACCAATCCGTTCCTCATTCATTCTTTTGCAACTACTGTTGAAGCAGGGACGAGGTGGTTGATCATCATCCTTCATTTCTCTTTTTTTGAATCCATGACGAGGCGTAAACGGTCGAGTAGATCCTCAAATATGGCGAATACACAGAACACAAAGAAGCCCAACAGATCCGTCGTAGAAGAAAACAAGCAGATGAAAGATCAGGAAATGACTGTCATGGAGACTACCCAGTCGGTTGGTAGCAAACAAATGTGGAAGCAAAAACGTCCGTGCTTGAATTTGCAAGGAAGCAATGAAAGTCTCAAAGCTTTTGTGCCGATGCAACCAACGCTGCAGATTGAGAAAAACTACTTTTCGTTATTTGAAAGCGCTGATCGACTTGCCGAGTGGGTGTTTAATACTGCAAAGCATCGACCGATGCAGCTGGATTTGTGTGGCAGTGAGCGCAACGAAGAAATTCGTGATGCCCTACTTCGACAATTCCATTGCTGGCCTGGAACGAAGATTTCACACGCATCAAAGCCATACCGAAAGCTGAGTCAGGAGGCGGAGAATCTATGCCGGAACCAGGTTGACCTGTACATCGATGAACTTCATAGGAAACTTCTTGCCGGTACGAATGGTCTATTCTGGCTGAATGTGCTCCAACCGGTGCTACATCCAGAACTTTTACCAAGACAGGAAACCCAAGAAATCTTATTGTTGTTGTTGGAGGAACTTAAAAGCGTTGACGGCGTCTACGAGCAGTTGATGAAGAAAAATGAGTATACTTGGGACGTGTTGATGCTACCTTTGACGCTCAAACCGCTGTTTCAAAGGGTGAGTACGTTAGCTCTCAGTGGCCATGAGATTGCTGCAGAGGAGGCAATGCAGATTTTGTTAATGTTTGTTGAGAAAAATGTGGTATTCTCCAGACAAAAGAAGGCCACACGCACCAGTCTATCTAGCATCCCCTCTGTGGGTCCTCTAGCTGCACTGAAATGTTCAAGCTTAAGAATACTCCCGAAGCCATTTCGTGAACTGTTTTCGCGTCTGTTCTTGAAGCTTTCAGGCGAATGGTATGTGGTCGTCGATGAAGTGCTAGATATTTTTGGAAGATCTCTAGCTAGTAGATGGGCGTCGTGCGAACGAGCTTCTTTGTGAAGAAACGTACAAGAATACCGTTGAGCAAATCTCCAAAGCCATTTTGCACGACTCCGAACCGCGTTGGCGATAGACCAACTGTATGTGATGAGAGAAGTGAGGTTAAACGCCGTTGACGAGTGCCTGGACGTCAGCATTTTACACAACCGTGGGCTGATACTTGTACAGCTGAATCGTGGTGATAAGTGCATGTAGTCTCGCCAGTTAGTGCCGATGCTTGAATCGTGTCGTTTCCATTGTCTTATTGGTATTTTCAAAGAATTCTCTGCCTGGTCATGAGCCGTCAATGCTTGATGATTTTCCATACCGTTGTTTGTTCGATGGACCGTTGTAGGCTGACAGAGTCGGGTCTCAACTTTACGGGACGCACGTTGGAAAAAGCCTTTAGGAAAGGGGCCCATTCATCTTGTCACAATTCAAAACTCTTGGAAGCCAGCAAGTTGGAAAGTAAAAAACAAGTTGATTCATGCGCTTAAACCTTGGTGCAAACCAGAAGCTTATTAGCTCGGACTGTTTTCGTCTATTGAGCTTAGTTCCAGAAGTTCAAAATGACGTTGAAGTGATAAAGCCTGTCTTGTGCGAGGTAGAGGTGATGCGGCTAAGCTGTTCTCTCGGAATGATGTCATCGGTTAATTCCAAAGATTTTGAGATGGAGATGCTAGACGCTTGTGAGCTCGATGAAGAATTCGGTCTCTTTCTTCGCAAAGAAGTCTTTGGGACGGATTGCGTGACAAATGATGTCAAAGTTATTTCCCTGTTTGGTAAACAAGACGCTGTGAAGCACGAGCTCGAGGGTTTGCACTGCTGGTCGGTCGAGATGGACAATCACATGAAGAAAGAAGACCAGGGAATTTACTGCGTCATTCAGCAGGACGGCGAAGCGGTAGAACGCACGTTGTTTCTGTTTGGGTGGATTCAAGATTGTTTGTTTCGAAAGGCTCGACTGCGCGATACTGCGACGTACGTGCTCCGTTTTCTGACGTGCTTGAGCCCGGACATGGTGTGCTGTCTGTCGCCTGATGATGTTGAGCTAGTTGAGCGAACGGTGGTCTCAATGAGCTCGAACAATTTGGACGCTTGGAAATCCTTCTCAGTTGCATTCCATGTTGAGCGCCAGGAAGAGCAGAAGGATGCTGTCGGATGTGAATGCCTTCCGGATGTCTCGTTGCCAGCAATCTTTTCGACCCAGAACGTTCAACTGCTTAAGGGAAGTTATCCAGCGTTCGCTGTGATGGAACCAGCTCCAGCCAAGAAATGCACCGAGTCGAGTAACCAAAGCTTCGACAACATCGACGAATTTGCGCGTTGGCTGGGCGATGAGTCGAAACAACGCAATTTGAAACTTGAAGTCGGAAGGACGGATGCGAGTCTTTTCTATAATGGACTGCTTCGTGCAGCTGGACGCTGGCCCGATGTAAAGTTGAAAAATGTTCGAGACATGCTGGCCCGAAGCCTAAGAACGTCGGCGGATGTAACAGTGGACCGAGTTCAAATGTATATTGAGGAACACCGGGCGAGGCTACTTGGCTCCATAGACAAATTGTTTGACTTGGACGTGCTGTTCACGGCGGCAAAAAGTGAGCCAGCATTCGTGACTCTCCACATGTACATGGAAGAGGTCCAGGCAACCCGAGGCATCTGGAGCAAAATTGACTCTGCGACACAGGCAACTTTAATTTTGCCGCTCCGCCTCAAGAATCAGATGAAAGCCATCGCTTCGACGTTCCGCGATCAACTGGCTAACACTACAGAAGGCGAAGCACGTGAAGCTCTAGCAAAATTTATGCGCGAGTTCACTGTTTCCGATTGGAAACTTTCGGTCAGCGGTGAAGGAGTGTTTGGGCGAGCATGGAAGAAACTAAGCAACAACCTTTGGGATCCAGGTTCGAAGCTCCTGTCGGACCAATTCCGCGAGTGTATGGCAGAGCCGCTGAATGAAGCTCGACAAGCTTGGTTTGGGGCTATTGAGGCTGTCTTTAGTGTCGCTGAAAGTGCGCTTCAGAATACCTGGAGCGAGGAGATGCACGTTTCAATTCGTCGATCGTGTCAAGAAGACGAGCGCAAAATAATATCTGAAGCTTTCGACTATCTACTTCGTAGTTGGCGAGAGCAACACGAAGGTGGTTTAACGATAACTCTTCGTCCACGTGTACGCTCGTCGAAGATTTATTGCGACGTTCAAAGGGAACACTGGAAGCCCGCAACAGACCAGCTAAAGGTTTTCAAGTTGATAAAAGATGACAACGAGACTTTCAGCACGACCCAGCTGGGCGCGCATCGTTTGAAACCGGGTGCAAAAATGCTAAGGGCTTTCACCATTAAGAATCACTGTGTGGTGTTGGTGACAACCTCTCCGCAGGGTACGTTGGTAGAACGCATAGACTTTCCACTTAGTACCTGTTGGTGGGGCGAAAAGGAGGGAAACGTGACATTCACACGCCAATTTGGTCGAGTCGTGTCAATGTGCGACTTTAACGTCCATGAACGGGTCATAGCATTCGTCGAGGAAGGTGGAAGGGTTGTACTGTACCGGTTCAACGATAACTTTTCATCGCTCGAGATTTATAAGCGCGTTGAGTTGTCGCTGCGAATGTCATTGGCACTCCCGGTCGCAGATGTGTTGCTTGTGGATGGCTTCTTGTACGCGACCGACACGAATGGATTGATCCAGTCGGTAAACTTGAAGAACCAGCAAACGTCACGAGCGGCGCAAATAATGCCATCGGTGTCTTGCGGGTCGAACAGCACGCTATTTTCGATTGCCGACAATATGGTGCTGGGTTTCATGGCGAAGAAAAAAGTGGAAGACGACAATTGCGAGCTCACTCCAAGTGCCGAACTGGTTGCCGTGGCTAGCGAAGACTTTCGCAAAGTTCCTGCGAGTTTCTCACTTGCTCTGCCATTTCGTTCGCATGGTCTATCGGTTCAGTGTTTTGATAACTTGTTGTTTGCAGTCGACGAGAAGCGGAAGAAAATTTGCGTCGTACAACTAGGCGTGACAGTGCGAAGCGAATCCTTCCGCATTCAGCACTCAAAGGAACACTCAGTAAACGGCAGCAAGACAGAGGTCGATGAATCAGACGCCGACAAGGTGGATCATTGGCTTCGAGCTTTTTATCACACATACGAAAAGTTTCCTGTTCGCGGCCTCATTCGAGGAGTTCATGACACGCCGGTTACGTTGAAACTGAAGTTGGCGTGCAGCTCTGCACTGACACAGTCTGCTGAAGAAAGCTGCCGATACTTCTTTCAGGTCGTGATGCGTGATTTGCGGAAGCTGAATAAACTTCTCGGTGGAATGGATTTGGCGAGAGATTTAGCCTTTACAACGAAGTTGAGTGCTAGCATGGAACATGTTGCGCCTCAACCCGTCCGATCTTTTCTGCAAGAGTTGATCACTTTCGTACCCATCCAAATCTGTCGGGCTGAAGGAAATTCGCTCACAGTCATGACGAATGGCAAAGCAGCGTCGATGGGATCCGAGTCCCAGAGCCTCCAAGCCGTTGATATTGCTCGTTCGATTCGATTCGGACTATTATCACCGCTGCTGGAATCGTGGCAAGGGCGCTGCATCGTTATTACGTCTATGGGAAAGCAGTCGACTGGAAAGAGTTACTTGCTCAATCACTTGACGGGGTCATCCTTTGCTATTGCTGGAGCACGCTGTACTGACGGAGCGTGGATGTCGATCCGTATTCTGCCCGAAAACGTTCTTCTCGTCGTTCTTGATTTTGAAGGTCTTGGGTCTTTTGAACGAACGGAGCAGGAAGACGTGTTCCTGTCGGTCCTCAACGCATCCATTTCGATGTTTACCATTTTCCGAATGGAGATGCGATTTGATAAGGAAATCGACGACTTGTTTGCTCGGTTCCAGAAGGGTGTTGCTTTGATTAAGGGGGATCCAAACCTCTTTCGTGGCAAGCTCTACATGTCAGTGAAAGATGTGAACCCAAACGATCAAAAGGGCGTGTTGGACGAGTTTGTTGCCAAGTTCCAGAAGTTGGTCGGCGTGAATAAGGGCAGCAACTTTCTGCTCGACTTGTACACAGGACAACTCGACATTAACTGCTCACCACCACTGGGGACGATCAATTACTACCAGTCTCTAATGCATGCTCAGACTTTCATCGAGCAATCGCTTTGCGGTGTTGATAATGTGGGCTTCCAGAGCGGCAAGACGTTCTTAAACTGCATTCGTTTGGTGCTCGCTAAAATCGCGATTCTGGATTGGACATCACTGGATGAAGGCGCAAAGCAGTTCCAGTTGTCTGAAGTCAGTTCAAAGCTGTCAGGTCTACTTCGAACGGGTTGCATCATCCCGCAAGAGTACGTAGCGTGGAAAGATGACATAGCCTCGTACCTGAAAGAAGACATTGTGTTGGCTGGCGGGAAAGTGATTGACGTCGATCTGATGACGTTATCTGCCGAATATCCTGCATTGCGCAAGAAGTGGGATGCCCTTAGCGAATGCATGGATCTTGACTCCTTACGAGACTCGGAGATTGATCTTGGTTTTGACTGTTGCTCTGCCAGCGAAGACACTGTTGCGCAAGTTTTTGGTGCGATCAAGCAGCTCTTTCGGTTATTCCTGCGAGTCAATTCGAGTATCGAGAACGGCAAAGTGTCGCGAGAAGTTGTCGTCAACTTTGATGCTTTTCTAGCTTTCATCGTACGTCGTCGTAAGGCCCGGGTTACCCTTTGGGCAAAGCAAATGCTTGGAGGTCGGGTGCCCGACGAATGGAAAAATGTAGAGCAGCAGTATTTGGGGCGATTCCAGATGATGCTTTCACGCTGCCAAAGCAAGTGTGACGACTGCCGCCTTGGTTGCATGAAAGCTGCTGCTCACCAAGGGACTTCCTCACACAATTGTGGAGGAAGCCACGTCTGTGCTGGTCGTTGCGAATACTGCGAGAGCAGCGAATTTTTCGGGAAGACTCCGCCTTGCTGCAAAGAAGCAGGCCACGAAGGAAAATGTGAATGCGCGGAGGGAGATCACACGTGTGGTCGCGACTGCTGCATGACAAATTCACCAAATTGTGGTAAGAAGTGCTCGATGAAGCGAGGTCACAATGATCTGCATAAATGTGATGTCCCAGTTCACATGTGTGGTGAGAGTTGCTCGGCCAAAAACTGCTCGGGGCGGTGTGTCTTAAACGTTGAGGACCCGCATACTGCCCACAAGTGTGTCGAGGTGCGCTGCATGCAGAAGTGCGTCATGGATGGATGCAATGAAACGTGTGGCACCATGGACCATTTCCACGGCCAAGTTGACGTTGCAGTAGTGTTTTCAGTGGAAAATGGCAGCGAGAAAGGTTCCAGCACGTTTGATGCGGCTTCTGAAGCTCCTGTAGTGCACATGTGTGGAAACGGACACGAGTGTCAAGCGATGTGCGAAGAAAACGGGATATGTCGCGTGGATGTGTTTCTCAAGCAGTCGTCGAGGACGTTCCCGGGGGCTCGTGGCGAGTTTCAATTTACTTTTCAAGAGATGAACGGTTCTCGTAAGAAGTGCACGAAGCTACTACCACCCAACCAGAAAATGCATCAAGGCGCACATACTTGCATCTGTGACTCGAGCGACGATGACGATAATGACCAAACAATTCACTATTGCGATGTCCGCTGTCCGTGTTGCAGCTACTTTTGCAAAAAGAAATTCGGGCACTTTGACTCGCACACGACATCTCATGGCAACATGCGCAACACATACTTCCTGTCAGATGCGGAGGAGATTGACATTGAAGAGCGTAAGTACAAGACTGGTGAGCTGGGAATTGCTGAAATGTGCAACTTGTACTGCTCTAAAATGGGTCGGGAGCATATCCACTACCTTGATTGCGAGCAAGGTCACAAGGACAAGTGTGTGTACTCTGGAAGCACCACGGATCAGCGACGTCACTGCACACGCGCACTTGAGCCGAAACCGGAGAAGGAGACGGATGAAGTACTGCATGAACAATTTTGGAAGACGCTGGGCTGGGAAGATCCGTGCACATCGAAGATGGAATTGGAACTCTTTGGCAAATGCGGCTACAAGTGCGATGCACCAGACCACGACGATAAGCCTTCGCACTGCATCCTCGATGCGTGGCATAAGCCAGAGCCCAAGCCAAGATCAGGCTTTGACGGCTTTACGTATGTTAGCGGACACAAATTTGATTGCTCGCACGTTGCGAGTGGTGGCAAGATGCATCATGTGTTCGTACTGGATTGCTCGGGCTCGATGAGCGGTCGGCCTTGGAGTGATCTCATGGCTGCGTGGAAAGAATACGTCTATAATCGTATTGCGGATGGAGCTACATTGGACTTGGTCTCGGTTGTCACCTTTGACAATTACGCTCAAGTGGTTTACGAAGCGCAGAATATTACGACAATGACAAATGCACACCTCCAGTATCGCGGAGGAGGGACGAATTATGCTGCGGGACTTCGAGCTGCAAACGAAGTTCTCTCGCGTATGAATTTTGAGATGTACAAGCCAGCAGTGGTGTTCTTCAGTGACGGGCATCCTTGTGATCCTCTACAGGGTGAGCAATTAGCGACGCATATCCGATCTTGCTACGAGAAGAATGGACTCCAGGCGTTTGCGGTTGGCTTTGGAAGTATAAACTTGAACATGTTGGAGCGAGTTGCAGAGAAGATGGGTGGGACGTATCACCACGTTCTCACGGGCAACGAGCTGAAAGCGACGTTTTTCAGCATCTCAGCTTCATTGAGTACTCGAGCAGGTCTGGCACTGGCGAAACCCGACCATGAACGCAATTGTGTAATTTGTGGACAAGACTTGGCATCAGGCGAGACTGTGAAGCTGGAAGGGTGTCGTCACGAGCTTCACAATGGTTGCTTGGATGTATTGGTACGCAATGCCGAGGAAGATGGAGATCTCGCTCGTTGTCCATCATGTCGCCGTGTCATTGGTACATGAAGTGTGGGATATTTTGAATTATCCATGTCGACTGTATTTAGTTGTTGGTTAAGTACTCAAAAGCATGTTAAGTTTTTTACCATGTAGCAGTTACGTTTTGTAGTGTTTTAACACCATTTCTAATTATTGTATAAAAACATTTCTAAATGTATAAACGCATTTAATGTTTTTATGTCTTTTTGGAACAAATTTATAGTCCTTCTACTCAAAATCATGTCACAAATTAAAATTCCTCGTATCTTTTTATAAAATCTCTTCCTCCCTAAAAAACAATTAAATATGGGAGTGCGTGGACTTACGCGCTACTGCCGACAGCACGAGACACAGACGTCTATTGAAGTATCGGATCTACATGATGTAACATTAGCTGTTGATTTTGTAGGTTTTCTCTATTATCTTTGTGAAAAGTTGTTTCAGGAGACCAAGGGATCGTCTGCATGGCTTTTATTCGGTGGTTGTACGTTGAGACTGGAAAAATACATGGAGACGTGGCTTCAAAGACTCCAAAAACGACACGTACGTCTTTTGTTTATTACGGACCCACCACAGAGTTTTGGAGGGGAGAGTCATCGTAAAGGCCTTTGTCTACAAGATCGAGCAGTGCAAAAAGCTCAACTGATTGAACAAGTGGGCCAGATGACAAATAGTACTACTACTTCTAGTAGTACTACTACTAGTAGTAGTAATAATACTATGACAAGTACTACTACCCGTGCTACTACTACTTTTATTAGGAATAGTACTGCTGGTAGTAGTACTATTTCTAGTAGTAGTATTTTTGATACTACTGAAAATAGTAGTGCTACTACTCGTGCTTTGCTGGGCAAGACATTGTTGCAGACGAACGGGCGGTTTCCATTTGCTCGGGAAAAGTTGCGTGGTGTATTAAAGAAACACGGTATTGCTATTATGACGGCAAGTCGAGAGGCTGATGAAGAATTGGGTGCTTTAGTCCGAACAGGAGCGGCTTTTGCGGTCTTAGGTGAAGACTCGGACTTTTTAGTCATGAAAGGGGTCAAGTACATTCCGTTTGGGAAATTGATTTTCTATGAAGACGAGCAGAAATTATACGGGATGAAACTGCGTGCAAGGGTTTTCTCGTCTGATTTGGTGGCCCAGACACTCGGGCTGCAAGTGGACCAATTGGTGGACTTGGCACTGCTCTGTGGCAATGACTTTACGCCATTATTGGACAATGAGTTCGGTATGGCTGCAGTATTGGGGTTTCCTGTGCAGCGACAACGAGAGTCAAGCTCGTTGTATCCTGCAGATGCAGCACGATGGGTGGTGGAGCATTTATCGACGTTGGAAAACCCTTTTTTGAGTCAGATTGAGACGAAGAGGAAGGGCTTTTTACGAGCACTTTTTGAAATTTATCGATTTTATGGACACGAAAAAGCGTTCTTGAATAAGTTTCCAATGAACATTGAGGCGATTTTACCGCACAAGAAAATGAATCGATACAAAAAGCTGATAGATCAATTCGATTATCCCCCGATGGCGATCGACATATTGGAAATGAATGTGCGAGGACTAAGTCAGAGATTCGATCCTTTGTCGTCAGTACCTGGACTAAACGGAAAGTCGCTCAATGAACTGCAAGCACCAGTGCGGTATCTATCGTACTTGGCGTTAGACGCGCCGGTGGTGCAAGAAACAACAATTGATAGTGTAGTGGAAGTACGTGTCGCACCCTTGGACTGTCTTCGTCCATTTCTGTCTGTTCCTGTGCAAGGTCGCTCTGCACGTGCGGTAGACCGGATGCTTCGCTCTTTGGTATTTCAGCTATTGTACGACGATTCTAGTGAAAAATCTATGAAGGTGCATGAGTTAGCAAGTATGCTTGGAAAGACTGACAAAAAGGGGTTTGCAGTAAAAAACATAGTGTATAGTCTACTTGCCTTGTGGAAACAAGATTGCATGTACCTTGCTGACGCAAGGTTACTGGACGATCGACTTCTTGAGCTCTTGTTGCTATCGTCCCTGATTTCACTGGCGGTAGATATGTCCAAGAAAAAGTCAGAACCTTGGGATCTCGTCGTGTTTGACGAGCAGCTTTTGAATATGGAAGCCTATGCTGTCGTGGGCGGCTATCTGGAGATCCTCAAACAGCTTCACCAGCTGCGGCTTGTGATAGGTAATAATTTGCCACGAAAGTCGGGTTGCGCAACGTATTTCTCGGGTGAAGTGTTCGTTCAAGTTTCGAAGATTATGATGCAGCATGGTAGCAACACTAGCCCAGCGAGGAAGGAGACGTTTACACGAAAAGAGGTAAAGCCGGTGATCAAGTCTTTCGCTGAAATTTCTAACTTTAACCTTTTTTGGAATCATTACACGACCGTCCGTGTTACGATGCAACGCATGAAAGCAATGATCCCGCTTCCACCTAACGTAATGCGCGTCAACAAGAATAAGAGCATTGTGGTTAATGCATTGGAAACTGCCATGACGAAGAATGGTTCTATCAACACCGATAGTGCTGAAGTACCGTCATTAATTCCACCTCCCCTTCCTCCGACTGAGTTCATGCCACCGTCACTGCTTGGCTCGCTATCGCCAACGCTTAACTCTCCATTGGTTATAGCCAATGCTGGAGACCAATTTATTCCGCCTCTGCCACCTGGATCTTCCTCGAATCTTCGAGCATCTGCGCCCGCATTTGGTTCTCGTTCGATAAAGTGGTTCATGCCGTCGTCTGTGGCAAAGCGTAGGGGCACCAACAGTGCTGTGCGCCAAGACGCCGGGTATGTGCCGAACACGGAAACCGAGCCCAAAAAGCCAGTGAGTCTGAAGGGTTTGATGAAGACGCTGCCAGTGTTTGGTCATCGAAAAGAGATTCTAGACAACGTGATGGAAAATCAACTGACAATCATTCAAGGCGAGACTGGTTGTGGTAAAAGTACGTCGGTGCCTCAGTTTTTGTACGACTCTTGGGCTCGAGATCGCGCTACTAGTGAACGTCCTGTGAACATCTACGTTACACAACCACGGCGTATTGCTGCGATTGAACTGGCTAATACGGTGGCTAGGATGCGGGAAGGGAACGAGTTTGGAGAGGATGGCCAAGTAGGAAAAATTGTTGGATACAGGATCGGGCAAAAACAGCTGATTTCCAGCAAGACTAAGATCACGTACGTCACGACTGGGTACATGGTTGAGCGGCTTATTCATGACCCGGATGCGTTGCAGAATATCACGCACTTAGTGCTTGATGAAGTACACGAGCGCAGTATGGATGTTGATTTGCTGTTGTTACTCCTAAAGCTGCAGCTGAAAGATCATTCTCATCTTCGCTTAGTGATCATGTCTGCAACCATGGATGCGCAAATTTTGATAGAGTACCTTGGCAAGGCGCTCTCGACGCGTTTAGTCAACAGAAAACCTCTTTTTGTTGGCTCCAAGCTGTTTCCAGTAGAAACCGTCTACCTAGACGGTCTTTCAGAATGGTTTCCAGGTCTGTGGCGACGGCGTCAAAAGGAAATGGTGCTTTTGAGAGACCAATTCCAAATACTTTCGCAAAAGGGCTTGAGTGCAAACACTGAAATGGCGAAGAAGGCCATCACAAAGATACATGAAAAGCAGTTGGTTATTGTTGAGGAGATGGTGCGTTTACTCATCGATGGCCACCGTGATCAGACTGGATCACAGTGTATTCTCATATTCCTGCCTGGTATTGGAAGCATTGACTCGCTATATGAGTCGTTGAGCATCATTGCGATGAGTGCTGGCGGCCAAAATGTGCAAGTGTTGGTGCTGCACTCTGGAATTGAGCTAGAGCATCAACAGAAGGCATTCAAATTGCTAGGGGCGAGGTCCACCAAAATTATTTTGTCTACAAACATTGCTGAGAGCAGCGTGACCATCCCTGATGTTACGCATGTGATCAATTGCGCAATAGAAAAGCAGATTGAGATGCCAAATGCAGGGAAATCGCACGCGGAGGTATTGGTAAATACTTGGTGCTCACGTGCTTCTGCGACACAACGCTCAGGGCGTGCTGGACGAGTCATGCCTGGCACGGCGTTTCATTTGTTCACAGAGTCATTCCGCGACCGCTGTATGGCTGAATACAATACCCCGGAATTGCTGCGTAAACCGCTTGACCGCATCGTGCTGCAACTGAAGGGACGGCTTAGCCAGTTTGGAGTGCCCAGCTCACTTCTCAGACAGGCTTTGGACGCACCAGATCTTTCTCATATTGGTGGAGCCTACAAGCTGCTGTCTTCATTCGATGCCATTGACTCGGATGAAGAAGATAAATCTCGTTTGACTAGGTTCGGGTCTTTTGTCTGCCAGATGCCTCTCAGCCTCGAGCTGTGTCGACTACTAATGACTGGCGCCTACATGGTCCGTGATACCACTAGCAATGGTGAGTCGTGGACGTTGTTGCTGAATACTGTCGTGCTAGTGGCAATTCTTGCCGTACCGGATGTGTTTGTGATGCCGTCGTTCTATCATGCACAGTCTACACAAAGTTATTTGAAAGAAATGAAGAAGAACTTGCAGGCAAAGCTGAAACTGGATGATGGAATGTGGAGCGAGCCACTATCAATCTGGTTGTTTTATATGAAAACGATGAGTGAGCAACCTCGAAACGGCAAGCGCAACTTGAGCGGCGTTCTTTACAAGATGTCGATTGCCGCTCGACGGTACCAGACTCTGAATTTCTTGATCTCGGATCTTTGTGTACGCTTGATTGCGCTGTCGAAGAGCAAATCCGATGAGTTTAACCATCTCTTGGACGCAAAAACGGTCATTATGTTGAGTAAATTGGATGGGTACGCAAGCTCGCAGCGGGTAGACAAGCATCTTCTAGAATTTGCTCGAGACACTATCGCTGGCAAACGTAATGAAGTGAGTGTCTTGCGTTTTTTGATAGTTCAGAACTACGGTGAGCATCTCATTGGGAGTGCACGGGCGAAGCCCACCAAATATGCGGATGATGATCATGACGGCACTGATCGTGTGGATTTAAAAGTGGACAGGGAAGAAGCTGCGAGGTTTCTTTCTTTGTCGAATAAAGAGAAGGCCACACTATTCAATCAACTCGCTAGCAGCCCCAACCCGACGGATGAGCTTGCAGCTCTCGCCCACGAGCACGACATCGTGTCGATCTACTCTTACACCACTTCAAAAAGTCACGCAGGAGGTGAGCGCGAAGAAAACTGCTTTAGCGAAGTAACCAAAGATACTGTATCGAGAATGAGCTTTCCAGTATCGCTGGTTTACTACATTCGTGGCGAAAAGTTTCCTGTGAACTTGGCCATGCGGCCGAATCCGGACGAAAGTGAGCACGCGTATAAGTTTCGTGTATCGGGCAGTACTGCGTGTGGATTATCGTGGCAGCAGCAAAAAGATAACGTCAAGGCATCAACTGGTAGCCGCAGCCTCTTTTCGCTGCCTATCCGACCACTGGAAACGAAACCAAAGAAGGGGGAAAGAGAAGCCAAACTATTAGCGGTATATGCTGAGCGATTGTTCACTGGCGATGAGACGAGAATGTGGTGCACCAACTGCACGCTGCTTCCCCCAAGTAGCTTGTGTTACTACCCGATTATGCTGCTGGTTACTGCTCCACGACACGCGAACATTCAATTGCACATGGATGCAAAAGTGGGAGAAATTTTACTGGTAAAGGTAGGGGCTCAAGACGCAACTTTCCCACGCAAAATGGCCCTTCGTGTTGAAGTACTAGCTACGATCAACGCAGTACGTGCAGCATTATCGGATGCGCTTAACGCGAGAGTAGGGGGTCGACGAGTGTGCGTGTCCGACTTGTTGGCATTGGCGGATGATTCTGTCTTTTTGACAAAGGAGAGCAAAGCAAGAGTGAGGGACTGCAAGTGGCAACGCTTGTCAATGAATTTGCCCGACAAAAGAATGCTGACAGAAGGAGAGACGCCGACTCGTTTTCCAGCGTTTTATATGGCTTAGGTATGATCTGGTGAGACTGACTGAGATGAGGTGATGTAGGTGGTCTGACGTGACACTTTAACTATTGTCAATGCCTTATATATCGTCGCATTTTTTTATACTTATTTGGTACAAAAATCAAAATCTATGCGATAAAATCTTCAGGATATTTAAAAAAACGAGCCTATACTCAACTCAAGTATACGGTGAAACCTCGAACGACGCCAGATTAGCAACAGATATATCCATCCCAATCCAAACGATTTTTCCACGTCATTTTACATTCTGCACTGCAAGCCGCAAGCAAAAAATATCCAATCGACATCAACTCTACGACACCCCATTTTCTTCTTCCCTTTTATCGACGACACCATTATGAGTGACTTGGAGGATGACAATGTACGTACGTCTACTCTCTTTCTTCTCTCTCTCTTTCTTTTTCTCTAATTACTTTATTACTATATAACAAAATATCTATAGGATTTTATACCAATCCCATCAAAATCCAAGATAAAATCCACCCTTCCTCGTAAAAAAAAGACCCCTTTAGCCTCTGGAAAAGTACGTCCAGTACTAAAATCTATGAAAAAACCATCAAGTAAAAAGAAAAAGACAAATGTCATGGACAGTCGTGACCCTTCATCGGACAATGAGACGGACGGCTCGACATTTGACGTCCATGTCAGTGAAAATGAAGCCATGGACGACACAGACAAGCAAAGTATTGAACAAATTTATCAGAAAAAATCCCAATTGGAACATATTTTACTACGTCCTGATACTTATGTGGGTTCAATTGAACACGTGGAGCAAAACATGTGGATTTTGGACGAGCTCCAACAGAAAATGGTGCTAAAAAAGATCACATATGTGCCAGGATTATACAAGATTTTTGACGAGATTATTGTGAATGCCTGTGATAATAAACAACGAGACAAGGCCATGAATACACTAAAAGTGACAATTGACGTACCAAAGAATGAGATTTCGGTCTGGAATAATGGTAAAGGGATTCCTATTGTCTTGCATAAAGAACATCAAGTTTATGTCCCAGAATTAATCTTTGGTCATTTACTTACGGGAAGTAATTTTGATGATAATAAAAAGAAAACAACCGGGGGACGAAATGGATATGGGGCGAAACTTGCAAATATCTTTTCAAATGAATTTATTGTCGAGACGGCCGATTCAAGTACGAAACAACGATATAAACAAGTATTTGAAAACAATATGGGGAAGAAAAATCCACCCTCCATCACAAAATGGACGCAGAAGGATTTTACGTGCATTTCATTTAAACCTGATTTAGAACGGTTTAAACTTGATTCGCTAAATGAAGATATCGTCTCGCTGTTTAAGAAACGGGTGTACGATGTAGCTGGTGTTTCTGGGAAAGGACTGAACGTCTTTCTTAATGGCGAAAAGATTCCTATCAAGTCATTCCCACAATATGTTGCATTGTATCCTGGACCTCGTGGCTTTGAAGCTGAGAAGGACACAAAGGAGGATGAAGACTCTCATCCGGAAGAAAATGGTGATGACGACGACTACGACGATGAAGAAAGGTCGAAGAAGGTAAAGGCCGCTAAGGGCAAGCCGTCGAACGTTGCAAAGAATGGAGTTATCTTTGAAAAGCCGGACGAGCGCTGGCAGGTTGGTATTGGCATGAGCGAAGATGGTTTCCAGCAAGTAAGCTTTGTCAACGGCATTTGTACCACAAAAGGTGGCCAGCACGTAGCCTATATTGTGGACCAAATTACAACCAAACTTGTCAGTGTACTGAAGAAAAAAAACAAGGGCGACGCCGTCAAACCGAATTACATCAAAAACCACATGTTTGTCTACGTGAGCGCGCTGATCGAGAACCCCGCGTTTGACTCTCAAGTACGCACGGCTTGGTTTTTTACTGTTATTAATTATCCACTAACACGTGCAATCTGCTCTTTTTTCTTTGTTTTACAGACGAAAGAAACCCTGACGACAAGAGCCAACGGCTTTGGATCAAATTTCCACCTTAGCGACAAATTCTTGAAGCAAGTGGAAAAGAGTGGACTAGTAGAGAAAATTCTTTCTTTCGCGGCATTCAAGCAGACGGCAGAGCTGCGACGAAAAGGCGGCAGCGGTGGTAAACGGTCACGGCTTACTGGTATTCCCAAACTGGATGATGCCAATCACGCTGGTACAGCGAAAAGCAAAGATTGCACTCTGATTCTAACAGAAGGCGATTCCGCTAAAACTGTTGCTGTTGGTGGCCTTGCTGTCGTTGGCAGAGATTACTATGGTGTCTTCCCATTGCGAGGTAAGATGCTAAACGTTCGTGAAGCAAGTCACACTCAAATTTTGAAGAATGAGGAGATTCAAAACGTGGTCAAGATCCTTGGTCTCAAGTACGGCGAAAACTACGAGTCTACGAAGGGCTTGAGGTATGGTCACTTGATGATCATGGCAGATCAAGATCACGACGGCAGTCACATCAAGGGTCTGGTGATCAACCTCATTCACCACTTTTGGCCATCACTGCTGCGTCTAGACGGCTTTTTGCAAGAGTTCATTACTCCAATTGTAAAGTGCAGCAAAGGACGGACAAAGAAAGTTTTCTACACGATGCCAGAGTACGAAGCTTGGCGTGAAAGAACAAACCAAGGACGTGGTTGGGTGATCAAGTACTATAAGGGTCTGGGTACGAGTACAGCAGCTGAGACCAAGGAGTACTTCTCTGATCTGCAGACTCATCAGATTGAGTTTGCATACAAAGGAGATGGTGATTCGGATATCATTGACATGGCGTTCTCGAAAAAGCGTGTCGAGGATCGCAAAGACTGGCTGCGAGGCTACGAACCTGGGACCCACGTTGACTACGATGTTGATGCCATGGGCTACACTGAGTACGTTTCTTGCATACAAAGTTTTATGAGTGCCTCAGTACCAACGTTTCTGCTTATTATTAGGTTCGTCAACAAGGAACTCATTCTTTTCTCCATGGCCGACAACATCCGTTCAATTCCAAGCGCCATCGATGGATTTAAGCCGTCGCAGCGTAAAGTGCTATTCTGCTGCTTCAAGCGTAACCTTCGGGTAAGTGCTGCGTATTGAGTAATGTCATGGCTTTGTTAATGTCTGATGCATACTGTGGCTTGTGAATCCTAGTCGGAGCTCAAGGTCGCACAACTGGCTGGCTACGTGTCAGAACACTCTGCGTACCATCACGGCGAACAAAGTTTGCAGGGCTGTATCGTGAATATGGCACAGGATTTCGTCGGAAGCAACAACATTCACCTTCTGTCACCCATCGGTCAGTTTGGTACGCGTTTAATGGGTGGCAAGGATGCGGCCAGCTCTCGTTATATTTTCACAAATTTGGAACAACTCACGCGTAGGCTCTATGATCCTCTGGACAATGATGTGCTGAAGTATTTGGACGAAGACGGCCAGTCAATCGAACCGGAGTGGTACATTCCGGTTATTCCCATGGTGCTCGTTAACGGCAGTGACGGTATTGGAACGGGTTGGTCTAGCTCTGTTCCCAACTACAACCCACTAGACATCATTAAGAGTCTGCGGAAGATGATCAACGGACAGGAAGTCACTCCTCTTATTCCTTGGTACCGTGGGTTCACTGGTCATATTGTGGAAAAGACCAGCTCGCGTGGAACCGATACTAGCAATTTTATTGTCCAGGGTCTGTATGAGGTCATTGACGACAGCACGCTCGTGATCTCAGAGCTTCCTGTTAAGTTGTGGACCCAAACGTACAAACAATTCTTGGAAGGACTGCTTGATGCGGGCACAATCAAGGACTTTAAAGAAAATCACACCGATGTGAAGGTGTTATTCACGATCACGTTGGAGCCGAAGGTGTTGAGTGATATTACCAAGGCCCCAGGAGGAATTGTCAAAAAGTTTAAACTCGAGTCTTCTTTGTCAACCACGAACATGCACCTTTTTGATCGAGACGGTCATATCAAGAAGTTTGAGAGCCCTAAAGATATCTTGGAGGAGTTTTACAGCGTTCGTCTGGAGTACTACGATCGCAGAAAGAAGTCCATGCTGCAGAAATTGCAGGATCAAATTAAACTTCTATCGAATAAGGCTCGTTTTGTCCTGTCAGTTGTCGAAGACAAGCTGATCGTGAATAACAGAAAAAAGCAAGACCTTTTGGAAGAACTGGTAGCAGAAGGCTACGACCAGATTGTGCCGAAGTTGAAGAAGAAGAGCGATACCGAGGACTCGAACGAATCTATGGAGGAAGACAACGATTTGGCTGATGCCAGCAAAGGCTACGACTACTTATTATCGATGAAGATCTTGAGCCTGACGAAGGAACGCGTCGACAAGCTGCGTACTGAGCTTCAGGATCGTGAGCAAGAGTACAGCGTCTTGGAAGGCAGGACGGTGCAGGATTTGTGGCTCACCGATCTTGACGAGCTGGAGAAAATGCTGGTCGAGACAGAAGAAGAGCGTGAGAGGATTCTGTCGCACACACCTAAGAAGAAGAGCGGAAAAGGTAAGAAGGCTGCTACGAAGAAGAGGAAACGAAAGAATAGAAATGACAGCGACATTGAAGAGGATGACGAAGATTCTGACTTTAGTGTCGAAGGGACGAAGAAGCCTCGCATCAAGGCTAAGCCGAAAACTTCAGTAAAGCGGCCGATCAAGAAGGAATCCGCCGCGAGCAAGGTTAATGGCACAAAGGAGAGCAAGTCAAACTCGAACAAGGAGTCAAAACCAAGTACCATTACCGCATTTTTCAAAACCAAGGAAGAACCACCAGCAATCAAGGAGAAAAGCGAAGAAGAGGTCGAAGAGCTTTCGCTGGCGGAGCGACTTGCTCGTAGATTCAAAGTTTCTCCCAAGAAGGTTGCACCTGCTTCTACTAGTACACCAAAAGCAATACGCTCAACTAAGCCTGCGGCGACAATCGATTTGGCGGATTCCGACGATGAGAAAACGGCCGAAATGGATGGGGAAGATGATGTCTTCGCCATGCCTTCAGATAATGCGAAGAAGTCTGCGTCAAAGTCCGCAGCAAATCGAAAGGCCCCTGCCCGTAAAGCACCTGCTAAGAAGTTGCCAGCTGCTAGACCTAAGAAGGCCGCACCGGTCAAGAAGGCTACACTTGCCAAGAAGAAGTCAAAGAAGTCGCCTCTTGAAGATGAAGACAGTGGTGATGCATTTAGCGACGACGCAGCTGCTCCTTCACCAATATCTGCTCGTCCCAAACGTCAAGCTCGTACGCAAAAGCGCATCGTCTGTGATGTAATCTCAAGTGATGACGAGAAGAAAGACAAGAATGATGACGCGGAAGAAAGTTTTGCATTGGATGATGCTGACGACGACGACAGTGATTTCGAGGAATGATGTGGAGGTAGTTACATCTGTGGGAATACGGGACAGCAGCGAAGCAGAATCAGCAACAACCACTTCCTTGACCATGCTGAATGATCGGCAAGACATCGCCAACTTCCAATTCAACATATTCTCGTTTGCAAGTCCCATCATTGAAGCCGTATACGTGAAAATAATTAAAACCCATCGGCAAGAGTGCACCATCAGCATCAACTGCAAAACATTTTCCAGTCTTTGCCTCAAATAATCTCATTTCGCTGATCCCTCTTTTTCCAGCTCACGATTGTTTCAGTGATGCACGTTCGTCAGCATCAATTCTTGTCAAACTTTGCATCAAAAAGTAGCAAACAGTGCCAGGTTCATAGCAAGTACAATTTTAGGTGCGATGGTAATCGGGACGTGCAAAGATCGAACGTAAATGTTCTGCCTGCACTTGTACCGTCTCCAGTTGTGTCTCTGCCACACGAAGCAAGAATCTATCACCAAGTCAGTATAAATTTATAAAGGTTCGCTGTACCCGAACCCTTTCGTACACACCACAACCACATACGTCACTCTCTCGGGGTCCGTCTCCTGTCGCGCCTCGTCATATTCATGACGCAAACGACGTCGCACGTAATTTATGCGATCACGCGTCGGCAGTTTTCCTGCCATCTACAGCAATATATCAGTTCAAATGTACACTATTGTTACCGTCTACATCTTCTCTATCGCTTACTGTATATAAACAATCGCAATATATGACGTACTCGATAGATAGCGCGATATAAACGCAGCGCCTCGAGGTGCGTACTCGCCATGGAAAAATAGAACCGAGGTATTATTTACATCAAATGTACATAAGAAATAAATGACGGACCGAAGTAAAATAAAGTACATGACGGACAAAATATAAGCGCTGTACCCATTTTCATGGTGTCAATAATGTTGGCACGCCGTATCCGTCACGCAGTCGCTATCTCGTCCTTATCCCGTGCCATGTCGACGGCCACTGGTGACAACAAGTTTTACATCCTGCGCTATGATTACGTAGACGACATTTTACATCGTCGTGGACCTTTTCGTACGGAGCATTTGAAGCGTGCTGTGAACTTTAAGCAAGATGGCTACATTGTCATGGGCGGTGCACTTGTGAACCCACCGGACGCTGGTGTCTTTATCTTCAATGTGGCGGACAAAGAGCTTATTGAGAACTTTGTAAAGGAAGATCCTTATGTTCTGAACGACCTCGTAACGTCCTATTCGATCCGTGAGTGGACTGTTGTCGTCTAAGGTTGTGAGACTGTAGCCATGTTAGAAATCCATCCCTTTAATGGCTACAATAATTCACTACGTTTTAGTATGGGAGGGGTGTTGCCGTAGTTACGTGCTGGGCTGGGTATAAATGTACATGCTGATATTGCTGTCGTCTTTTAGTAATAAACGAGCGGAGGTGCCAGAATTTTCTACGGGTGGTACCGGTACGTGGTGATGTCAGAGGTGGAGACTATTTATTACAGCAGCGTGAAGAATGGCTCGTTGTTGATGAAACGCCGCATCATGTCCAAGGAGGCCTCCGGCTGATCTGTAGAAACCAGGTGACCCGAGTTCAGCACCACTACGTAGCTCATATTACCAGCAGTTTTGACCAGCCCCGCGACGCGACCGTTCACTATCCAGGGCTGTCGCTTGGCCACACGATACTTGGCTGTGTCTGTCCAGGCGAGTCGGTCGATAGTTTGTCCTACACCCAAGTTGTTACAAATTGAGCCGTCCATATTACCAGCGTAGAAGAGAAACTTGTAATTGTCCAGTAGATCGCGGAACACGTCAATGGGGACGTCTAGCATCTCGTCCTGCAGTAGATGACGCACAAGTGCTGGCGCTGAAGGTGACGTGCCATAGGCTGATCCGTCCACCGACCGCCATAGTGTACCCGGGGGCACATTCAGCGCTCGTCGCACTGCGTCGTCGTTGAAAAAGCTTGAAAGTACTGTGCTCAGATCCGTAAATGTATTGCTTGATTGGCGAATGTCATAAATAAACGGGTTCCCTGCGGCTTCATAGATCTTCTGCGTGACAGCTTGACATACGTGAAACGCGTCTACGTCGCGGCCTTGTCGGTGCAATTCTTCACATACGCTAATCTGTGCATTCGCATCTTCGTACTGCTGTGAATCGATTAGCCCCAAGGCAATAGCAAAATCTGGTACAGAACGGGTCTGCAAGACCGGCCACATGTCACCATTGCCAATGGCCACTCCCGTCAAATTAATTACAATGTCATTCTTCTCCAGTGCACTATCGTTTTTCATGTGGATGTAGTGCGCGAGCGACGGAGCATATTTGCCAGCATATGATTCGCCGCATATGTACAACGGATTATGACTGTACTCTGGGTGACGTCTAAAAAATTCTTGAAGACCGCGATAAAGTTGTTCAGCTACCTCTTCCTGTGTATTGACGTGTCCAACCTCGTCACGCACAAACGAATAGCCTGTTCCAACGGGTTGGTCAAAGAACAGCATGTGACCAATATTTGTCCACGTGTATTCATGTGGAATGAGTTTCCGTTCCGTTGTCAGTCGATAGGGTCCCATTTCAGCAAGTAAACCCGTCATAGACGATGCACCAGGTCCTCCATTAAGCCACAATAACAATGGGGTTTGTTCGTCAATCTGCAACGTTGCACGTGTCTCAAAGAACCAATAAAAGAGCTTGCCACCGTGGACACTATTCACTCCAACGAGACCAGCATACTATTCACATATATATACACATAATCATCCAGACACAGGTCATTTTATAAGTCTCATTACGACCACAGATCAGTATCAACGGTCTATGTATGACGCACCTGCTTCTCCAAAGGAGCTCCGAATCCCGGCAGAAACAGCACTGCATCATTTGATGCATCATCATCCTTGTGATTGCTTTCCACCTTTTCCATACGGAGCGCTGCTGTCTCAGAGATTGTCTCTTGAGCTTTAGATACTGCTCTGGTGGTCAGGATCGTCTTATCGATAACGTAAATGACTATCAGTAGCCCCACAACAGCCACAGTTCGAGCCATGCATTGCATCGTCATTATAGAGAAAGGCCCGGCGTTGCAACGACGTCTTGATGCCCGTGTAGACCTCACGGAATCGGCTTGCGACTGCCACAATGACGTGCTCTCGTTCACAGCCATAACTTGGGCTAAAAGACTCGTTTTCCTCTAATTCTTTTACGACTACGTGTACAAGATCCTTACTGTGTATATTCTCTCTGTTTACACCTAGGTCCGCTCTTCTACGACGCACAAATGACCACCTTTTCTAGCTTTTGCTCTGGGATCTTTTTCAACGGAGTGCAAACGACCTTGCAAATCATGCAATTATCAGAATCCCCTGTAGAAACGAATATTGGTATAAACAGGTATCGCGTTTGACAATGATAGCTTGGCCATGACGATACGAAAAGACGCAAACGTTTTGTAGAGGGGTATAAAATGATAGAGACTTGGTGCCAAATGATGTGACGTACATAACCAGCCAAGTACGTCACGTCGACGCGTCTACTAGCTTTGCCAATAGCTCCATGTTCCGTTTGGCTTTCTGCATACACTGATGCATCACATTAGGTGCTACAATAGAGCCACCAGCTTTGTGTACACCACAGAGTTGACCGTTAGTACTATAGGTAAAGCTAAAAACGGCACTTGCAAGGTCCTCTTCGTCGCTTGTCGGGTCAATCAGCACTGTATCATCTACCACAGCGAACGAAGTCGCGTAAGCGCAGTGCTCGACACGCAATGGCGTAGCATCTTCATCTGTAATAACATATCAATAGAGCACACAATAGAGCTTCCATTAGTATCCTTGCAACTTCTAGCAATTCCAATGGAGTAGCAACGCACTTGGCACAATGGAAACGACATTGTCCGTCTCATTGACGGATGTGACTGGCAGTTTCAATGTCTTGAGTGCTGCCATGATCGACGTAAGTGCAGCATCCAGCACATTGCCATCATGATCCACACAGTACACGTCCACCATGAGTTTCCACGCTGACTGGCCATTGACAATGCTCAAGTTCTCCATCTCGACGACACGGGAGCTGTAGCAGTCACAACATTAGCCCAAAGGAACACCGTACAATAGCCACACACCCACTCACCCCATGACAATTCTCGTGAGTTGACTGCTGATACTTTGCGCTTCCTCCGATGGTCGACCGACCGTAAATCGATTCGAGCAAAGCGGTGACAAATGCACTTGAATCGCTGCAAGTCAAAGAGTGTACTTAGCACTTGCCATTCCCACATCTATACAACATCCAACAAAACCTCCGCACCAATTTCTCCTTGATCGGGTGTAGTAACTGCTGGTGTACCAACTGCTAGCTTAATAGCTGTCAGTACCGACGTCTTGCCAAGCTTTACAAGACTCGAGCTAGCTGCTGTCTCGACTACATTCGTCTGTAGCTGCACGGCACGCAAAGCATCCATCGTGCGTGCATCCGTCCGGACCTTATTCATCAGACATTTGTGCGTATATTCCACTGGAAAGAGCTTCTGAAACACATCAGGGCTGAACGAGAGCTCCATATCGCCCTTAGTCGTCAGGACTTTACCACCAGTCAAGTTTTTTCACAAAATGTACGAGTCGTTGACTTGATTATTGTATAGTTTTCACCAATATCACACCAAGTCCACTGCCACCACGTCGCACACGGACGTCCGACAAATGGACGAAAGCCGTAAACGCATGAAACCTCAAGCTCTCGAGTCTCGTACTCCAGTACAAGATAAAGTATCAAGTGTTCAAGACGTGATGAAAACGGTAGCAGCAGCCTGGGATTCCAACGATAGATATCGGCGTCGAAAAAAACGGGAACAAATCCACGAAATTGTCGCGGCTCAAGCGGCATTCCAAGCAATAGAAGACCATCAAAAGACAGTGGAAGAGCATCAGGAGAAGAAGAAGAAGAAGAAGAAAGTGGGAGAAGAGAACGAGGTGTTGGAGCAATTGAAACACGTGAAATCGAATGGTGTAATGACGTTAAACTCTCCGATACATTCGGGGTTAAGACGACACAAGACAGTGGCGATTGACCCGACTCCAGAGAAGAATGGGGCTTCTGTAATCATGGCAATGAAACCAAAGAAAAATGTAGCCAGGGGTATTGCTCAGAGCAGTTCATCTACATCAACGCGAAAGCGTATGATCTCGTTCTCTCCTGAACGTGCCCCACGACCAGAAAATCGAGCATTGGCTTTGAAAAAGCTCGAGAAAAATCTCAAGACTCATGAGAAACTACAGCAACGGTTAAAAGCACCGACACCGGTGAAAGCATCTGCACCGTCCACACAAATGTCATCTCCTGCAGTTGCAACTCAGACACGTCGACCGATCACGTTCACAAGTCCAACGACACGACGGGCAATGACATTTCAGAGTCCTCAAGCACGACAACCGATGACGTTCACAAGTCCGTCATCGCAAAGGCCGGTTTTTCAAAGTCCCTGTACTGCTGCGTCCTGTTCCTTTCCACTAAGTCAAACAGAGGAACTTGAGTACGATGCGACACCACGTGATCAAGCTAAGGAAGTGGATATATTGTTGACGGAAGACTTGGTTCCTTACGTGGACTTTGAATCCGACGTCGTAGAAGAGAAACCATGTGTCGAGATAGAGCGAAGTGAAGGAGTTTATGCTGCAGGAAAAAAGAAGAAGCAGCGCTCATGCACTCACAGGATGAGGTAGGCCTCTCTCAGGAATCTGTAAGTGCTGTCCCTGACAGTCTTGCGCCGCTATCTCAAGAAAGTTGTGACAATAGCAAATCTTACGCTGAAGCAAGCGCAATGTCAGCTCACAGTGACATTTCCTCGGGCTCGTTTACAAGTACTTCAGTGATTGAAGACGTCGGTTTATTTAATTGCGAGACGGATGTGGAGTATACAGGTGGAGTCTACGGCGAAGGAACAGATGGCAAGGTGACGGCTGCTGTAATAAACGGACAAAAGGTAGCACTCAAACGTGCTAAGCCGCACGATGGTTTTTCTGAACATGAAGCGAAGCGCCGCACCGCGTTCGAGCTATATTATTTACGCCGAGTGCGTCATATGAAAGGTTTCTTACAGTGTCTTGGTCTGTGTGATGCCATCGAACACACCTGCATTGCGCTGGAAGTGATGGACTGCAAGTTGAGCGATTACTTAAGACGATATGGTGTGAACTCGGGCGGGTCGAAGCACCGTCGCTATACTTTGTCATTTGATGACACGAAGGCGATGCTAAAACAGATTTGTTTGCCTATGATTACACTTCACGAAGATACAAACGTCGCTCACGGTGATCTAGCGTGTCGGAACATCCTCATGCGTACACCGCCAGAGGGATATGAGCAGAGCTGGGAGCCAGACATTAAGCTTTCAGACTTTGGTCGTATTAAACTACCCTCAGATGAACCTAAAATACTGGACAGTTCGTTCAGTTTCCACAAGAATTGTGATGTCGGTGCGTTCGGACGAGAAATTCTGTATCGATTGCTAGTTGGCGAGATTGTCCCGAAAGAGTACGTAGAAACGCGCAGTTTGCACAAGTTGCTACAAGACGTTACCGTGACACAAGTGCCTGAGACTGCAAAGGCTCGACTAGGGCCGTATTTCAGTTTGTTCATGCGCTGCACGGCGTGGGGGGTGCGTCCAACGTTCCGTGAAATCTATGAACATTTGGATGACCTAGAGCACTTTGAGATTTCCGAAAACGGGCTCTTCCCGCTCAAACCAACCAGCACTGACTCGACCTTCATGTCACCCGTGGTCGAAGGTAGTCGTCACAAGACTTCTACATCCAGTGCTTCAAGAGCAAACAAACGCCATACTCCAACAGGTCCCGGCCACCTTCCTTCAGGACCAAAGTCGCGGCTGTTCTCTTCCAAAAGCTTCACCGAAGCGAGTGGTCCAGGCCCGAATAAGCCTGTGAACTGGCTGAAAACACGCTCGGTGGGAGTTCAGCGAACTGTTCCGCAACAAGCGCTAACGCCAAGCGCTCTTCCGATGTTAATCAAGAAGAAGAAGAAAAAGACACCACCGTCAGCTAGCGCGGGTGCCTCGCGGCGCTCCCTCCAAATTCTTAACCAGATTCAACATCGAACGATCGAAAAGGGCCGCAAGTCGACCTGAGTAAGGAGTGATAATAAAAGATCAGCGATCGTGTCAAGGTGATGGAGATCTTGAGCGTCAAGGTCCCCCAATTTGAGGTGATCATGTGATGCGTCGAGCCGAACAATATATTTGACATTTAATATGGACGACATGCTCACTATCGAGCCCAACGACAAGCATGTCATGTTGGCCAGGACTCGTGGAAAGTAAAGACAATTACGCACTGTCACAGTAACCGAGCATCGTATGCAATTCAGGCTCTTTCGAGTATCATCGCTGGTGCGATGTTCTGGTACAAGTGCGGCTTTGAGAGCCGCTACAGACTTGGTTCATAGACGTTGGCAAACAGATCGGTAGGTCAACCAGCCACTTCATGAACTTGGTTGTGTCGATGGAGATGCCACCCATGACGGATAAGAGCGCGTGGTACTTGCTTACTTTATCAGGACAGCTAGTTGTGAGTCTCACCTTTCTACGGCTGCAGCAAGAGCTGGCCTTCTCGGTGACTTCAATGAACATCCCGCCGTCTTGCCGGTGTGGATGCTGTAATTGCTGCGTGGATCAAGACCATCATCTTCTTCGAGGCTATCGTGGTGTCTGTGATGATTGCGGTCGCGACATCTCGACATCTTTTGGTTGCTACTCGTTTATCCGCTGGGAAAAGATTCGTTTTGGAGAATTGCAGACCCTGACAGCCTCGAAAGCGGTAGCGAAGGCGCTAAAGTGGGAGCTCTCGTAGTCCCAAAACTTTGCAAAAAAAAGAAGGAACTATCAGAATGCAATCGGGCGACAGGTTGAGCGTGGCAGTGAGAGCAGGCGACGAAGAATTTGATGGATATGGTGGGTGTATCCAGAGAGAGAGATACCCTGTTTTCTCGATCTCAATGTCGTCGTCAGAAACGCCACTGGTCTTTGAATATTTTAACATCGTGACTTGGAGTCTTGCATTCGAGCGGACCGGCGCAATGCCACAGCAAGTAGTACAATTACGCGTCGCTCTTCTGCCAAATTCAAATGCACGGTATCTATCGTTTCTTGTGCGTGCGTGTAAACGCGATAAGCTCGAAGCATTACTTCCCATAAACGACGACCTAGGGCTCAGCTCATAAAAATCGCCTATCCATCTTGCGCTGGGAAGGTACGGTCTCTCCAAGCCAGCTGGGCCCCAGGAATCACCGTCGCGTCGTTCCAACCCTGTATCAGCAAAAAAGCTTGCAAATATAGGACAGGGAGCTGTAAAGTAGGCTGCGGTTGATCGCATTCTCGGTAGCTCCTGAATTTGTTTCGGAAAGCTCCTGCATGCCATCAATGAAAAGTGTCCTATTAACCTTGTGCTTCATTCACAATGCCTTTGAAGTTGCAGTGTGTAGTCGTCCATAATGGACTATTCATACTATTCAAAAACCACATTGGTCATCTCTGAGCATGCTTATTGATTCCCCTTAAGCCGTTTCAACAGATCCTAGATACCGTCACATCATGAGCCGCTTCTCCGTAGAAGGGCCGCTTCTAAAGCGTTGTGTCATGATCGACTATGTCAATTAGACAGCAAGCTTGCAAACTACGTTATACTGTAGCACATACCAGCTTTATAAAATGGAACCGAGAGGCCAGCACGGATCGTAGCCTCTGCGTTTAAGCAACGTCTATTGTATAAAAAAATTAAACTGTTGCACATGAGGCACGTCAAGTAGAAGGTCTCCTTCTACTATATCTCAATGATAGCAAAAAGGACTCGACAACAGCGTCTTGTCGTTCAAGAATGTGTAATCGAATGCGTTAAAGGACGACATGGAGTCGCATTATTTCTACAGAAAGAAACGAACACTTGCTACAGTCGGTGTGCTACATGAGAAGAGGAGCAGTATTTCGAACTCACGGCAAACAAGGTTGCTACGAACATGTGTTTCCATAGAAAACATTGTAAACAAGAACCTCTCAGCCTATCTCCATCTCCGTATAAACTCTAGCAAAAATGATGCCTCGACAATCACAGCTCATGAGAGCAAAACTCTAGTGTGTACCAGCCAACTACCAATACGTGCGTAAAGCGACAGCTGTCGCTTCTTCGTGAGACGAACGTCGTGTCGTTAATCGACGTCCATAAAGTTCGGGTAGGATGGCAGAAATCGTCTGGATGTTTATAGGCTTTCCCACTTGCGGATGATCTCTCTGCCATCTTCCACTGCACGAGTGCCCTTTCCAGTCACAACAAGTGCACGATAATGCTTCGTCTTCCACCCTTGCAGCTGCATTTTCCAGCTGGAAACGTAAGACCACGAATTTTCCACACCAATGCGTTGAATGCCACTTCTAATCGTCCGTCACACGGACAACAGTACAAGCTTAAAGACATTTGTAAATATGTATTGCAGGAAAACTACCACTCATCATTCTAGCCGCGTGAAAACGTTGTGACAACATGTACCAAATTTTCTTGCTGTTTGCTCTCTACTGTCTTCTGTCGGCTGCTTTTCCAGCAAATATAACTTTCTAGTATTCATACGTCAGTCATACCATGTAAAATGTAGGCAAAAAAGAGCAGTCGAGAGGCCAACAGCCGTCGGTTTGATGTCCTGTCACTTGGCTGTTCGACCACGAGAAATCTGTGGCGACCCCGTTTCTTCATCTGCTTGAGAACTCTCATCTTATTTGAGTTTCCTGGAGGTGTCTTAGGGGTGATGCACTCACTCACTCGCTCGCTCGCTCTTGTCACTGGGGTCCCATCCGATAGAAAATCATTCGATTGACGACATGTTTTTCTTTCTTCTTCTTGTTGGCAGTTCGATGCACGGCTCGAGTGAAGAAGCAAGCACATTCTTTTTACCATTGTGCAATTTGCCTTCGCGTTTCCAAGAGCTTCCTACCTAGTCAAAACAGCTACAAAGACTACTAGTAACCATGAAGACGTACACTACTCTCACTCTTTCCGCTCTAATCGTGGCGTCCACGATAAACTCGGCTTCAGCCTTGCAAAAATACTGTAAGGACATTCCAAACGCTGAGAACCTTTGCGATAAGAAGTTGGGACATGACGATGGCGATGCCAATAATGCGCTTGGTACTGCTTTTGGGGGTGCTGGTCACATGTGGACGGAAGAGGTGTGTAACACACCGTTTGATAAAGCAAACCCAAAGATCACAAGCGGTGCTGTTTTGGGCGATCCGTGCTGCAAGTGGAAGAAGGGCGACACACCTCAATTTCCACTAACCACGTTTGATCCATCAAAACCAACGGTGTGTCCTACTGGTGGCGACGACGGTGGAGACAGCGGCAAGGGAAATGGGCAGACTGACCCAACCAACACCAAGGGTGAGCTCCCCGAGACCTCTGAAACTACCAACACCAAGGAAGAGGCGACTGACTTAACCAACACCAAGGGTGAGCTCTCCGGGGGAAATACCCCTGAGATTCCCCCGTCCGAGACATCTCCGGCTCAAGCGAATCCTTCCACTTCGCCTACCGAGACTCCCCAGGCCGAAACGAATACGAAGGAAGAGTCCCCCGAGACTCCCAAGTCCGAGGCATCTCCGACTCAAGAGAATGCTTCCACTCCACCTACCGCAGGCCGTGGTTGCGCTGCTAAGGGTGCTCGCAAGCTACGTTCGTAAACAAAAACGCATATGCATTGGGATCATTCATTGATCCATGGACGTCAAGTGCCGTCGACCCGAAAAGAAAGAACGAATTCTCTTAACCTTGTTGTAATAGGCCAAGCGAGCCTTTGAGACACTTTTGAGGTCATTCATCATCTGTAATTGCTTAGGTACTAATGCCGTTTTTCATCACGATTGTCTTGTGTTTTCTGTTGATTTGGCAAATGCCCTACCGTTTTTTGATTTTGCATGCACTGAGCACATACGCACCAATCCCGTAGTACTTTCGCCGCTTCTTCAGTAATACTTTATTAGACATTATCTAATACTACAGTATGCCATATTTTTCAATGAGTATTACAGAAGTAGTACTACACTATTATCAGTACTACGATATCAGTTATTATAGTAAAACCTTATCTCCGTAATCCATTCTCCGTCATACCGTTATCCGTCACGAACAACGACCATGCTGCAATCATTTAAGAATCTCTACCATACGCTGTGCGAATCGCTCTTCGCGCGTTTCGTGCTCACCATTCTGACGCCCTTTACTTTACTCATGAAGACGTTATTACGCTCGCACTATCGAAAAGTCAACGGAAAACGCACCCCAGGACTCACTTGCTACCGACACTAGTAAAACCGTAGAGCTAATCGGATGAACTAGTTGACCTTTGTACCTATGACTGTCATTCATTTACCGAAAAGAGAAAAGTTGAGTGATTCTTTACAGTATTACTCGATAATTTTACATCAAAGGTGTCTCTGTATGTTGTTTCTCAATGGCTTCACGTGCACTTTTGTACTTGCTTTTGCTTCATGTACTCGGTAATGGCATTGCTCTCGTGTCCGCCGATGGAGAGAAGCCGGCAATCTCGCATGTCGTTGTCATCCTCCTCATGGTCGACTAGACGAGGCCAAACGTGCATTTCGAGAGCAAGGCAGAGTCTACTACTTGCTGGAGACTTCTCGGCGAAGCTTTTATTGGAGGCCACTCGACGGAGATCGAACATGGGCTAACCCAGGCCCGTCACTCTGCACCAAGCTGATGATGGGGTGCACTGGTTTTGCCATATTATACTCACGGAGCTCACGGACGGTTCGCCTTTTAACGACAGGCTATTTGTCACAATATGCAAATTTGGGGTCTGCTATTCGAGGCGCACCCGCAGCTTCATCGGTTCCCTTAGTCAGTGGCGGATGCAACGTCAAATCACTTTATCACGAAGGCCTTAAGTAAGCAAGCTTTCCGGTTCTACAAAAAAGTTTTTGACCGTCATCTTTTGGTTCTCGTTGATCGCTTATCTCGATCGACAACGACGATTGAATGGCAATGCGCTGCGTTCCGGCAAACGTTGACGCAAGTGTGGGATCATAGTGATGGTCTCACTCCAAATCAAGTATGGACAGGGTATCAAATGGCGACGAGACAATTGAATCTGTATCACGCTGCACAGAACAAAAATAATAGTTGCAGAAAGACACCGGCCTGTAGCGGCAGTGAGGAGATCATTGTCTGTCTGTTTTGGGAATGTCCTAGCGCCGCAGCGCTCTGGGATAAACTTATTGGTCACTAGACCGGGCAGCGAGTCATCTGTCAATTGACCCAAAACTTCCTGGGGGCCTGTGCCAGTCGGAGAGAGCACAGCATACCCGAGTTCCGAGCACCAAATCTAGCGGACCGATTTTAGGATGACGTGGGTAAAGCCAAACGCGTCTGAACACAAATATGGTACGTCCTCGCGAAGATTTGTCAAACACATATTTGGATCGACAGGAATGCTGCCGTTTACAACTTCACCGTCCTAGCAGCATCGCCAGTTTTTGGGCTTTGTGGCTTTGACAGCTCTGAGCAATCGCAAATAGGGAGCATCAAGAAATAGCGTCAGCCACACATGGTGCCTTGCTTTATGCTTGCATCGAGTTGCTTGAGCGCGACTTCAGAGGTCCACCCATCGACGGTGGCCGACCACGATATACCGCCGGGCCAACCAACGCTGACATCCTGGCTCAGGACTTTTCAGAGATCTTGCACATAGTTAACACCGTGTAAATAGACGATCTGAACTTCTTTTGCTATTAGCCGTCTATGTCCATCCAGCAGTAAACGGACCAGACTTTAATGTGTAGTATCTCCTGCAGTTCGAGGGAATTATCTCCTCGTCGTCAGTTCGCACTCGTCCCCAGCACGCAGTGATCTCGACTTCACATTTCCAATTATTTGCCTTTGGAACCATGCGTCATCAACTCGTCAAGTTCTGTGCGGTTGTTGCTGTCCATCTAGTGGCTGTTGGTGCGCATGACGGGTCACCTAATGTCATCACCAAGTCAGCTCGTGCACTTCAACTTGGTCAAGGAACTAAGCACTTGAGAACTCACAGGTCCACACAAGACGACAAACAAGAGCGAGGCAACAATGTTATTGCTACTGAAGTGAGCTCGCTCAAGGAAAAGATCGAAAGTGCCCCATCACCAGGGGAGGGAGACTCCACTAATATTTTGAAACGGATTGACGAGTGGTTGCTTGCTGACGAAGATAACGGGAAGAAGGTAAGCCAAAAAGATTTGGACGCCCACGTGGATACTTTAAGAGAAGTCTTACACGGTCCCCCCGCGCTCGCTGAGTCCTCTGAGCCCACGCTCGCTGGACCCTCTCAGCCTACGCTCGCTGAGCCCTCTGAGCCCACGCTCGCTGAGTCCTCTGAGCCCACGCTCGCTGAGTCCTCTGAGCCTACGCTCGCTGAGCCCTCTCTGCCCACGCTCGCTGAGTCCTCTGAGCCCACGCTCGCTGGACCCTCTCAGCCTACGCTCGCTGAGCCCTCTCTGCCCACGCTCGCTGGACCCTCTCAGCCTACGCTCGCTGAGCCCTCTGAGCCCACGCTCGCTGAGTCCTCTGAGCCCACGCTCGCTGAGTCCTCTGAGCCTACGCTCGCTGAGCCCTCTCTGCCCACGCTCGCTGAGTCCTCTGAGCCCACGCTCGCTGGACCCTCTCAGCCTACGCTCGCTGAGCCCTCTCTGCCCACGCTCGCTGGACCCTCTCAGCCTACGCTCGCTGAGCCCTCTGAGCCCACGCTCGCTGAGTCCTCTGAGCCCACGCTCGCTGAGTCCTCTGAGCCTACGCTCGCTGAGCCCTCTTGCCCACGCTCGCTGAGTCCTCTGAGCCCACGCTCGCTGGACCCTCTCAGCCTACGCTCGCTGAGCCCTCTCTGCCCACGCTCGCTGAGCCCTCTCTGCCCACGCTCGCTGAGCCCTCTCACTCCACGCTCACTGAGCCCTCTCACTCCACGCTCACTGAGCCTTCTCACTTTACGCTCACTGAACCCGCTCAACTCGCTTTACCCGACAAAAGTTCGGCCGAGGCCATTAAAAAGATTGCTGAAAAAACAAAGTTGTCCGAAAAAGAAGATGCAGTTTGGCTGCAACAGGGGAAACGCCCCATTACAGTTCTTAGATTATTAAATCTTGACGAAGCAAGAGATGATTTTCTTGAACGGACGAAGGCGCTTAGGTGGATTGTATACTTGAACAACTTCAACAACAAGCACCCCAAAAACCCGACAACTGTGATTGCTGCTTTGAAGGAGGTGGGGTTTGACGAAGAAACTTTGGTAGCAATGATATTTTCATGGGATATGCGCCAAAAAAACGTCATAAAGCGTGTGGAAAATTTGCAGCAAGTATTCCCGGTGAGTACGAGAAAGCAAATAGAAGAGGCGCTGCTGTTGGACCAGGAAGACGCCAGAACACAAATAATACAGGAGCTGAAAGAATTTTGGCTAAGTAGCGACTATTTGCCCGCTCATGTCCGCAATCTGCTCGGTCTTTCGCCAGACCTACAACTGACCGGTTACGATTTCTCTCGCGTCGCTGTTTTGGCAGACTATGTGAGGTTTTGGAATAAGATGAGATATATGAAAGTAAATCTTCTTCCGACATTACGCTCGGTATATACAATGGATCAGATAAAAGAATTGGCGGAGAAGGCAGGCGACAAGCATAGTGACTTGGCCAATGCACTAAAACGTGACTTGGACTATACGAAAAAAACTACTTTTCGGTTTCCTCTGGAAAGTTCAAGACAAAAGCGAAAAAGGGATACGTAGGCTCCATTCTGACGATGTACTTACGTGGCGAATATGCTTGTCGAGGCATCGAGCATGAACAAAACCTTTACCGACATACTGGAAGTTCTTGGCAGGCGATACAAGTTTTGCAATGGCTTTGATCATGACGGTAAGAAAGCAGGTAGGCATTTCCAATGTTAGCTTCGGGTCGATGGTGCAAACTTTTATCTCTTTGTATTGATAGCAATGACTTCATCATTTGCGTACATTGCACATCGGAGGAGCCAGAGACTCCATTCTCTCCATCTTTATGCCGATTCTCAATAGTAATTCGTCCTTTGCAATTCTCTCGTCACTAGCGCTCCGTTAGCCTGCAACTTTATCACGAAACGGAGGTAAGCTGTCATAATTGATAAATTGTTAGTACAGTCATTTAATTCGTTTTGAAAAGATAAAAGACAACGCAAGGTGGCAAAACGTGAATGTTCCTCTAATATCTGATAACGTGCTCAATCTAAACCAATCATCACCGTGTCATTATTGAATATGGCCGAGTTCCAAGCCATCATTTTGGCTGGTGGTCGTGGTATTCGTCTATATCCTTTGACAGAGGAGACACCCAAGTCACTTCTTCCAGCAAATGACAAGACTTTATTATGGTATCAATTGCATCTCCTCGAGACTTCTGGTTTTACCGAGGTGTTGGTACTTACTGTCCCGGATCTATTGCCCCCAATTCAGGACTATGTCACACGTGAATTCGATGGTAAAATCCACGTTGAACTGTGTGAAGTGGCGGATAATACAGAAACAGCTGATGCTTTACGAGAAGTAGCAGACAAGATCAAGTGTGACTTTATTGTATTGGCTGGAGACCTCGTGACGGATGTGGTACTGCACAATGTCGCAGATTTTCATCGTATCAACAATGCCAGTGTTACGATGTTACTTCGACAAGAGGCACCAATTCGTAAAGGTGAGAAACCTCGTCGTGATAAAGACATGACGGATTGCATTGTACTGGCCGAGGGGCAACGAGATGAAGAAAATCGGGTTGTCTTGGTGTCTCAAGCGGTCCATATGAATGAAGACTTGTACGTGGCCAAGAGTCTCCTGAAACGTCGGAGCAATCTCGTACTTCATACGGATCTCTATGATGGACACTTTTATATGTTTTCGCATTGGGTGCTCGACTTATTGCAAGAAAAGAAGTACATTGCCAGCATCAAGGCTGATCTCGTACCCCATCTCGTACGTCGGCAATTTCGTGGAGCAAATGCTTTACCTGAGAGTGTGAGGGACAAGGCTACTAGTACACAGGAGCTGGCAGCGTCCATGTCGCTGTCAGAAGCGAAACATGACCCCGACGACCTTGTGCGCTGCTTTGCCTACGTGTTGCCTACGAACGCCTACTGCGAGCGTGCGGACACGATCGCAGCATACCGAGCCATGAACGAGGAAGTCGGCTCGCGACTGCGCATTAAGCGTTCGGGATCCATCTCTAGCTAGAGCGTTTGCTTTGTAAAGCGCATCTTGACTGGAACGACAACAGTAAGTGATAATGTGTCTTTTGCTATCAAGCTGATAAGACATTGCATGTGGTCGAGCTCAACGCCGACAAGACGCTCGTTGTATCGGCTTCAATAGCTTTATTATCCAGCTTTCAGACAATACAACTCCTCATCTTTAACTCTTTGTGTCTGGTTGATAACCGGCCTACCGTCGCTACAAAAGCCTCCACATCTCCGCTCGGCATCATAAACGGACTCAAGCCATCAACAAGCTTATCGGAATCCCTGAGATGGCGCTTTCATCGTTTGTGCCTGACAGGGCTGCATGTGATAGCAAATTGTATATACAACACCACTATCATATTCAAGCACTCCAATCCAAGAGCCATTGCGGCCGTACCTTACGACAAACATCTCCGCATTCTCCTTGCCAAAGCTTGAAAGTCTTGCGCATCAGACTTGCTGGACAAAAAGGTGAACGAGTCACGGCGATACTTCTTAGCCAACGAGCGCCCCAATTCCGTGTCATGTTTGGTCACGATAACGCACATCGTGTTTCTCTTAGCAACACAATCACGAACAGGACATGTAACAAGATCCTTCAATGCACCCGGTGGATACTTTTTGCCACTTTGGATGACGGAAACAGAGACACGCCAGGCAGCGACTCATTCTTCTCCGCTGCCCCAATTTTCGGCAGCGCGACACCAATAAACGTTCTGGCCGTAGCTTCGTTCAAGCTGCTTGCGTCCGATACGGTATACTTCTAACCGGCTGATTACAAACGTAGATGACAGTGAGAAGCCGGTCTACTGGAAATCCAAAGTGGTTGGTACCCATGTGATCCGGCCCCGGCACGAATGCCAGAATAAACTGGTGAACTCTTTTTCTTCATCTTGCCCTTCATGAACGACTACCCGGCCACGTTAGCACCTTCGATCTCTTCTTACCCTTTGTTAAGCTGCCGAAGAAAATAGCCGATGGCAGGTCCTTGTTCCAAAATGTGTGCGCCTTGTCATACACGAGCGTCATGACGTTAACACCACTGATCCAAAGTCTCTTTGCCTCGGGCGAGTTCTTCACGTACCAAGCTATTTTGCTGTTGGCAAAGTCCTTACGCACGTTATGATTTCCCATGTGTCCACCAGGATAATCCTGAGGACGTTTCTTGTTGGCCTCTAACTCCTACATTGTCGAGTAGCCAATTTTTGGGCCAGTTTCTGGTGCAGTGTGGCTTCCAGAGCACTTTGATGTGCCTACATCACGACCATAGCAAGATGTATAGATCCCGCTGTAAGGATTACTCGTCAATTCATCAACACGTCGTCATAACAAGAAATATCTCGAAAATGGTCACTCAGTTTACATGACATCGATCCTCAGCTTCCGTGTCTACTTTCTATTTTCGAGTTTTACGGCAACGGCGTCTACCTCCGCCTAGCGACATAAATTGTTCCAAGACACCATCGTCAACTGTGGTGCTACGTGAATAATATAACTATCAGACGGTCGTGTGACCCCGTTACACTTTGCTCCACCAGACTTACGTTCCCACAAAACGTCACTGTTTACAACGAAAACAACGAGCCGTTGGACCACATATCCTCCCTCATTGAGGTAGTCAATGGAACGAACATCAAACCTCACGGTTGTTCACAGTACGCACAATCATGATGTCACCGAGGCATCATGAGCTTAAGGCTCTTCATGACCTCCTTGAAGAAGGTCTTGAAGCGGTAGTGATGCCGACTTTATGGGACACGATGAGCCCAAACTAGCACACATGTGTGTGAAGACGACTCTCGTCGTGCACCAAATCCGTTCCTTGAACGTGGTGCCGCGGAATTGCTAACTGTTACGCTTTCCGCTCGATATAGCGTCAACCACGACTATCACGAACCCGCTCGATGAGCAACAACAGCAGCTAGCGCAAGAGGAGGAAAGCTCCTTGCACCGGTAGAGGAGTATAATTACACGCCAAGGCCAAGGATACTATGTCTTTACGCCACCCACCGTGGAAGAGAATATGAATCAAACGGTTGGACACGCGATGGTAGGGGGTGGTCCAGCGGACCTGAGGCCATTATGCTTGAAGACATCGCAACGCGAACGTCTCTACGCGAAAGGTATCTCGAACCATACATTACCACGCAGAGCCGATATAAAGGCACGGGCTGACGAAGAAAGCACGTGATGCATCGGTATCTGCTATGAAATTTCCATCCTCTTATTCGCAGGCGTTGAAGAGAATAACGAGTTTATCCGACGGGTGCATAGAGCACTGCGCTTGAGTAACATGGTGGCTTTTAGATCAAGTGCGGGCGTCGCGGATGTTCATCCCGAACGGAAGATTCGCTATCAATATGCGAAGTTGAAGGCCAGAGGCCAGACTCGGTCGCCAACCCGACTACGTTATGCACCCGCTATTCCACACTTAAGTGCTTTGGCTACTCATGTAGCCGCGAGTTCACGACAGGCAGAGGCCGCTAACTCGCCTACCCCCACCACTACTGGTGAGAAGCGTCATCGCCAACAGGGTGACCCTGCACACGACGCTTAAAAACGTCCACGGCGTATGGGCAATCCTGCCGAAGGGAAATCTCGAACTCCCATGAGTTCCACGACTCGGGATATTCCCGCCACTTCACCAGATACTGGTTTTGACCATGGCGGAGACGTTTCTGCAACAGACGTGTAACATGGAAATGAAGGTTCCCCTGTCCATCAAGCAAAGCCGGAGGAGGCCGGCGTATCGGCACAAGCTCATGCCGAGTTCTTCAAGAGGTACGGTCTCTCCGTGAGGATATGCAGTCGATGAACTCCCGTCTTGAGTCACTGGAAGAGAGCCGAGCCCGAGTGCAGGGTCAACTTGACCTATTGGTGCAGATGATTCGCCCCGCGGCAATGCCGATGAACTCGGCGCGAGCGCTTTAGCATCTATTTGGGACGGATCCCGATATGGTTTCAGCATGCCAACGTATAACGCGGGATGTGTACGCAATTTGCGCGGCAGATTAAGCGTATACGCTAGGCCTTTCTTGGCCACTACCGTAAAGGGTACGATGAAGCGCGGACGCAACTTTGTCTTAAAGACAGCAGACACTACATTGGTAGGTAGGTCTTTAGCATTTATTAAGACTTGGTCTTCGACCTCATCACAAGAAATACAACTTCTGTCTTTAGCATCCGCATATTCCTTCTGCTTATCTTGGATATCAGTCATTGCGTCACGCACATGTCGTAAGACGTTTTATCACGTCGCGAAAAACGTGTTCACCTGTTTCTTAACAGTAACAGGGCTTAAATCGGCAAGCCAATATGCAAACTTTCCCTACAAAGCACAGAACCACATATTGGTAGCGCTAACACAAGAAGTTAATGCGCTGCGGTCAGGGTTAACTTGCGATCCATGACCCTTCTCACCAGTAACGGTGGGAGCGAGAGAGCTCATGGCTAAGGCCTGGCGTAAACTCGCGGCTACATGAGTAGCCAAAGCACTTAAGTGTGGAATAGCGGGTGCATAACGTAGTCGGGTTGGCGACCGAGTCTGGCCTCTGGCCTTCAACTTCGCATATTGATAGCGAAACTTCCGTTCGGGATGAACATCCGCGACGCCCGCACTTGATCTAAAAGCCACCATGTTACTCAAGCGCAGTGCTCTATGCACCCGTCGGATAAACTCGTTATTCTCTTCAACGCCTGCGAATAAGAGGATGGAAATTTCATAGCAGATACCGATGCATCACGTGCTTTCTTCGTCAGCCCGTGCCTTTATATCGGCTCTGCGTGGTAATGTATGGTTCGAGATACCTTTCGCGTAGAGACGTTCGCGTTGCGATGTCTTCAAGCATAATGGCCTCAGGTCCGCTGGACCACCCCCCACCATCGCGTGTCCAACCGTTTGATTCATATTCTCTTCCACGGTGGGTGGCGTAAAGACATAGTATCCTTGGCCTTGGCGTGTAATTATACTCCTCTACCGGTGCAAGGAGCTTTCCTCCTCTTGCGCTAGCTGCTGTTGTTGCTCATCAAGCGGGTTCGTAATAGTCGTGGTTGACGCTATATCGAGCGGAAAGCGTAACAGTTAGCAATTCCGCGGCACCACGTTCAAGGAACGGATTTGGTGCACGACGAGAGTCGTCTTCACACACATGTGTGCTAGTTTGGGCTCATCGTGTCCCATAAAGTCGGTATCACTAACGCTTCAAGACCTTCTTCAAGGAGGTCATGAAGAGTCTTAAACTCATGATGCCTCGGTGACATCATGATTGTGCGTACTTTGAACAACCGTGAGGTTTGATGTTCGTTCCATTGACTACCTCAATAAGGATATGTATCGAGTCACATTCTGTGCGAGATTCAGTGTAGCGGAGATACACAGCTTGTATGTCAGAGGAAGGTTTTTAAAGGGTGAAAGCCACTTAATTTTATGGAAAAAATGTAATGAGTGAATGAGTCTACCCGTTCCAAGGAGCTAGGAAGGGACTCAACAGTTTATAAAGATAAAAGTTTAAGGTTCAGATAGCCCAAACGCACAAAGTGCTCTAGAGAACAAGCCGATAAGGCTCTATGTAGCGGAGCTACACAACTCTTAAGACATGTTAGACTAAAAAGCCACTTAGCTCTAAGGAACTAATTAAACGACTTAAAGTCACCCTGTTCTAAGAAACTAGGAGGGACTTCTAGTCTACAAGCAATAGCTTAAAGTTCAGAGAACCAACGCACAGAGTGCAAGAACAAGCTAGGAGCTTAAAGGTTCAGAGAACCAACGCACAGAGTGCACAAAAGAACAAGTCTTAGAGAGACTTGAGATCTTAAACTCAAAATGAGAACTGATTTTATTTATGCATTAAGATTTTATAAATAATCTTACCCCTACACTAGATTAATTACTATTATAGTAATCATAGTATGCCATCGTTTGTATCTGGATATGGAATCATCCAATCATTAGTGTATGCTGTCCTTAGTACTACTGTAACAATTATGGAAATGATACGAATGATACAAGGTATTACTGATATTTATAATATTACTTATCTAACATACTAACTTTTGTAAGGATCAATATGAATAATTTATGATACGCAATAGAGAAACTTTAACCGTGATGTACTTTTTCGGTATCATGTTCCATACATTCGTGTAACCCCATTACACTTTGACTCTACGACTCAAAATGAGAACTATAACAACTTATTGCAATAATATCTGAGATTAAACATATTTTAAGACCCCTACATTTGACTAATTGCTGCAATTAAAATGCAATATTGGATGACATGCATCAGCGTATGTTGTACATGGTACGGCAATATCGGTTATCAAACCACCACCGTATAATACGGTACTACCGATATCATATCTTAAAATCAAGTATTTAGAATATAATTTATGCATTATGTAAATTTTCATATAATTATCCAACCAACGTGTGACCCCGTTACCGTCAGTCTGTCGGGGGAAGGTGCAACGAGGTTACACGACGGTTGGATAATAAGATGTCTCCTGTCGGTAACGAGGTACCGGTTTCCTGTCGCTTACCCTCTATAACTAAATACTTCGGTATAACGATGTCTTCCCTCTCGTGTTTGATATTCTTATAACATGGGCAAAGCATGTCGCGATATGGCAGAAGCTCTACGGGACTGTATGTTGCAGCACGAGTGCATGGCTGACGGTACAAGGACATTGAAGCAATGTCTCCACGATCGCACGTATTCACACGAGTGCAAGGTATGCAATAAAAAGAGCTACAACATGAGAAAGAGAGACTAAATGCACTCGTGATTAGGAGTATCGGGTGGCATATTTTGAGTGCAAACGCGGTCAATTGGACATGCGCCAGAGGATCCGAGGCCCAAAAGGAGGCATGTCGAAGCCTACGGAAGGAAATTAGAGGCTGACGGTGATGAGAAATGCAGTCAATAAACTGAAAACAAACGTTTAATCACTTACGAGACGCCTTATGCACGGAGGTAGCAGTTGTAAAAGAGTTGACTGATGGTGTAGAAGCAGCTGGATGTCACATTCAAAGACCAGTTGATGTAAAGCCATCTTGGTAATCCACTTGAGCTTGTGGTCGACTTGAAGTGTCGTAATCTCAGACAGCAACTCGATCATTTGAATGTAAAGTCGAGAATTCTTGAGCCAGATGGAGTTGTGAGCTAGTGATAGTTCAAGCAGTAGACTCAGAACGTCTACACAGCTATCAACGTCGTGGGTTCGCCGCTCAAATAGTGCGAAAAGGATGACAATTGCTTCTGTCGCCACGCTCTGTAATTCTCGAGCTGTAGACGAAAGTGTTGCACGGAGAATCAATGCTAGGAAGATGAAGACGTGCGGGAACAAGTGAGGTGGTGCTTCATCCAAATCTCGCTCCAGCTCGGCGAGCAGCAACTGCTTTTCTTTGTCGGAGAGTGACTGGATGTATGTTTCCACACGAACAGCATGGATAGATAGATGTGTCATTTTCGACGTAACGCCGTGAATGTGCTCGGCATTGCGAGTGAATGCACGTTCCAACTCGTCTCTGGTCGCAGCCATCTCTCTCAAGATCCTTTCTCGACTAGTGACATCCACTAAACCCACAAGATCGCTCAATAAAGTGCTTGTCCACAAGGGGCCAGTTGTGATTGACTCTGCAACAGTCTTGAATGCAATTGCATGCTGCAGCAGAGGTTTGGACAGCATTGGCTTCAGCATCAATGACCAGCGCAACCTCACCAGCACCTCCTCCTCCTGCGACAATTTTATCGTACTCCTCTCGGTTCTTATGGCCAACGCGTGCATCTTTGCAGCGCAGAGAAGACTGTAACTTGCAAGCTGCTCGGCGTGCAAGAAGCAAAAGTCCAGCAACTTCACAACGGTCTCAATCGACTGCAAGACCGGCTCCGATGCAGTAATCACCTTGTTGCATTTGGAATGAGCTTCAATGGTCTCGTTTACTAAACTTAGAAACTGTAACAAGGTCCTCTTCAATGACTTGACCGTCTCGTTTATCGTCGCTATCCATAGCACGTGTCTCCATTGCAATAGCATTACTGGATCCATTGATATCGTCAGATGGCTACATTTGAGCCAGTCACAGAGTAGCCATGTTCGAAAACGAATACTATGTACCTGCTGTAGCCATCCCTGCACAAGTCGATTCACTTGTATGAAGTATGTGGACTCGCTGTACCGCATCAATGCCTTTAATTTGGCGGATACGGGACTATAATCGGGTAGATACGGTACGACCTCGTCCATCGCAATGATCATTGCTGGACAACGGCTCCTCTTCTGCTCTTCATCTTTCGTCACTGCATCTACCACATCATTTTTCTCTTTATCATCACGAAATATGGAGTCCCATTCTTCCAACGTCTCTAATCGATCGTGCAGCAGCAGCAAGCGCAGCAACCTCTCTTTTGTCATACCCTATTCCCTGATCAGTACCAAGCTGTGGGTAGGGCTAAAACATGTAGCCATGTTATTTTGTAAGGGATGACCATCCAGTCAATGACAGCCATACAATAATGTATCAACAACTGTCTATTGCATTGACTCGGAGCTCGTCGTGTCGTGGGTTTGCCCAGAAAGCAGCAAATATTAATGTACAAGAGCGTCTAGTAGCTTTATGTCGTCATCGTGGCTTTGTATTTCCTGGTTCAGAATTATACGGTGGTCTTGCCAATAGCTTTGACTACGGGCCACTCGGTACGTTACGTCAGTCAATCAATTACTCTCGCTTTCTCTCATTGTACCCATTCATCTTTTTAATTGTTGCATTCCCAGGCGTTCTCATGAAAAAGAACGTGATGGATCGATGGTGGTTTGAGTTTGTGCAGAAACGACCCAATTGTGTCGGCCTTGATAGCTCTGTGCTGCTTAAGTCGGCAGTCTGGACGGCGTCTGGCCATGTCGACAATTTTACAGACCCCATGGCGGTCTGCCAATGCTGCAACTCTCGCGTTCGCGTAGACCAGCTGCTTGAGAACAAGCTGGAGACACAGGAGGAGATGGACGCTGTGGCATCACTGTCTTTAGCTGAGATGGATGCCTTGCTTCTGCAGCACAACGTGGCCTGTCCTCATTGCAACAAGATACACAGCTTCCAGCCCGCCAAGAAGTTTAATCTGCTTTTTCGCACAAACATAGGTGCCACGGACGAGACGTGCGACTGGATTTATCTACGACCGGAGACGGCACAAGGCGCCTACATCAATTTCGCCAATGTGCAGAGCACCATGCGCAAGAAACTGCCGTTTGGCGTCGGCCAGATGGGCAAGAGCTTCCGCAATGAGATCTCGCCTGGACACTTTCTGTTTCGCACGCGCGAGTTTGAACAATTAGAGTTACAGTTCTTTACGCACCCCAACGAATCGGACGACTGGTATCTCTACTGGGTGGATCAGTGTTACGACTTCCTGATCAAGTACGGTATTAAGCCCGAGAACCTCAGGAAGCACGAGCATGCGCCTGAGGAACTGGCTCACTACGCGCGCGCCACAACGGACATTCAGTTTAAGTACCCTTTCGGTTGGAGCGAGTTGTGGGGTATTGCCAACCGCACCAGCTACGACTTGAAGAAACACATGGACGCGAGTGGAAAAAGCCTTAAGTACCAAGACCTGGTTGCAAAGGAAGAGTTTCTGCCGCACGTCATCGAACCAGCGCTTGGTGCTGGACGTGTCATGCTCTCGATGTTGCTGGATGCTTACGATGAAGAAGAGGTGAGCGGCCGCAAGCGCACCGTGCTACGTCTTCACCCGGATATTGCCCCGTACCGTTTTGCTGTGCTGCCGCTTGCTAAGAAGGAACCTTTGTTGGAAGTGGCTCAGAAACTCTTTGAAAATTTGTGCGAAAGTGCTAGTGTAGATTACGATGTTGCGGGCAGCATTGGCCGCCGTTACCGCCGCCAGGACGAGATTGGCACGCCGATGTGCTTGACTGTGGACTTTGATACTCTCGAGGACAAGTGCGTAACTGTTCGTGATCGCGACAGTATGGAGCAAAAGCGCGTGCCGATGGAGCAGATTCTTGAACGCACTTCTGTGAAATACTCCAGTTTTTCATCCTTCTAACTGCCGGCAAGAAAGGAATTCGCGTGATAAATTTTGTCACGCGGGGTTAAATAGAGAGCCAGGCTTGCTAACTAAAGGCCAAAGGCCAAACTGCACCATCGTTGGCTTGTGTTTTCATCTTTGGAATTTTTCGCGAATTGGATAAGGAACTAACGGCCAGAAAAGCAAGGCACGTCATAGTCTAACGGCGACGGTGGTCTCATCGGCTATCATACAGTTATGTATTCCTCGTCTGTGTGGCAATTGTGTATTTGCCTGCTCATTCTTCATTTTGCGTTGCAGTCGCCAAGTCGCTCTAAGTATGCCTCGCAAGGATGTACGTCGGGATGCGGTGGTGTCGGATAAATGTTTTCGTCTTTTGTACTTGAAGCAAGAGATACAAACTGACATGAAAGTTTTGAAACCTGTTATTGATGAAGTCAACGTGCTACGTTTATGCCACTCGCTAGGCATGACCCTTTCTAGCGAAGGTGATCCAGATTCCATGCATAAGTTCGAGTTCGGCCTTTTCAATTCTGATGATTATGATACCGACTTTGCGCGTTTCATTCGTGAAAATGTGCTCGTTGGAAATTCCTGCAAGGAGCAAAAGAAAGAGCAAGAAGACAATGAAATACTTGAGATCGGTTGCTTATTTGGCAAGCAATTGGAGGTAAAGAATGAGCTTACTCGAATGGAATTCTGGGATAGCGGATGCGAAGAAGGACTATCTCTTAAAGACCAGGGCGTCTTTTGCATGAAGGGTAGCGCAGATCGTCGCCAGGTTGTCGTTTTCGCGTGGCTGGGCCCTAGCTTATTTGGACCAAATGCCTTTCGAGATACTCCAGCGTACGTGCTTCGGTTCTTACTTACTCTGAGCTTCAACATCACGTGCTGTTTATCACAGGAAGATCTTCGATGCATTAAAAGTGAGGTGGATGCTATGTCTGCTAGTTCGTCCATGCGGTGGAATTCGTGCTCAGTTGCTTTTCGAGTTCAAAAGCAAGTGAAGCAGGAAGACAGTATTACTTATGATGTAGTCACGAAGATGTCGATCCCAAAGTTTAGTCGCATCAAATCTGTTTGGTTTGTAGATGGAGTCATTCCGTCCGTAGCTGTCGAAAATTGGGCCCCATCAGCAACCGAGTGGATTACGCAGCACGACGTGGTGTCTTGTGGCAGCTTCGCGCAGTGGCTGTGGGAGAAACATGAGGAATACCTTATTGAGCTCAAACCTATTCAGCTTCATTCGACGAACGCATATGACAACGTGCTTCGAAGGTTTGATAAATTTCCAGACGAAGAGATGTGCGCTTTACGAGGCAAATACAGGGACGAACGCGCGATAGCCGAGCAAAAACTTTGTCTTGAAGCTTTTGAGTACGCGAGCACAATCTTTGACGATGCAGTTCGGAACGCCGACGTGTTGTTTGCTGTTAGATGCTTTGCAAACACATCAGAAATGGATTTGGTCCAAAGAAGATACGCGAGCTTTCTCCAGCGATGTGAAAGGTTTGGAGAATGCGGGAGATATCAGACGTACAAGATGCTCTATCTGCCTGAAAGTATTCAAATGAACATGGAGTTATTGTACGCCACTTACCGGCGTCACCCATCAGCGTTTGAGAAGCTGCTGAACATAATTGTGGCTGGAGACCAGATTGACGCAGATGATAGAAACAATAATTGGTTACTGGAAATAATGCACGATGTAGCGCATGGAGTTATCGGATGGTTTTGGCAAAGCTACAACCACTTTAGCCACAGTTTTCGGCTTGCGATGGAACAACACCAATATAGACTGCTGAAATTGTGGATGGAGGCTGTTCATCAAATCGTGTCCGAAATGCAAGATGCAGAATATAATCGAAACGTGCAACAATTTGCTAAGGACCATAAAATTGCGTTTGATCTGGATGAAAAAGAAACTAAGAAATGTGCTTTTGGCCGGCTTCGTAAATACCTGAAAACTGGAAATGATCGACCAGGTATCAAGATTAGCAAGTTAATGCGCACATCAGACGGCGCTACTGTCCATATTACGTGGAGCAAGGAAGTAGCAAAAGAACCTGTGAAAGTAATCTGCATGTATCAAGTTGGCAATTGCGGCCCTGCTCAAATGTCACTGTTGGGAACAATTGAGTTTGAGCCAGGCTTCGTGGTACGCAAGCTTGCGACGGTTAAGATTGAGACGGTAGTCGCAATCCTCGTGAAGGAGGACAAAACCCTAGTACGCCGAAATCAGTTTTCGCAATCAAATGTATCAGCCGCACCACTACATGTAGATGTGCGAATATTCCCACGTGCCTGCTCGCTGTGCTCAATTCGAGCGAGTGATCGACGGGTTGCTTTCTTGTTTGGAGTTGGTGAAGGAAGCCTCGGATCAATTGCGTTTTGCAGATTCAATGAGTCGTTCACTAGTGTCGAAGCAACGCAAACTATCGATATTGGCGCATCGTTCGGCATGGCTGGCCCTCTAGTCGACATCCTACTGACAGAGCGTTCACTGTGTGTTGTGGACGAAAACGGAGATATCCAGTCGTTCGATGTACGAACTCGACGAACCTCGAAGAAAGCTTCATGCGGTAACAACAACGTTGATGGCGACGGCAACTGGGTGGGCGGATTGCTGAGCTTTGCAGATGAACTTGTTGTAGGGCGGGCCAAACTCGTTGGAAAAAAGCAGCTGTGCGTATGCTCCATTTCCAACGAAGATCATCGAGCGCTCCCTTCTGCGGTTCTCGGAATGGATATGCCATCGACGGAGCTTGCAGTTGGTAGTATGGGTGACGTGCTGTACGTGGTTAGCGCTAGCGATGGCACCATTTACTCGTCACAGCTGAGTGTTACTGTTAGAAGTGATGCGTATCGCATTCAGCGTTCTGGCAATGGTGCGAAAAGTAGTCAAGGATGCCTACAAGCTAATCAGAAAGGGACTGCTACTCAACACTGGCTGCGGCTCTTTTACCACGTATTTGAAAAATTTCCCGTGCGAAGTCTTATCGACATGTCGATGAGCCCTGACAAATTATTCTCTCTTACCTTGGAAATTGCAGCTGACGGACATAGTGAGGAGAATCATTTTGCGACGAGTGATGCAAAAGCAGTGTGTGTGGAGTATCTTAATCGTGTGATGGTCGACTTGCGTCGTCTTAACAAACCTCTGTGTGGACTGGACTTGGTAAAAAACTTAACTTACCGATGTTCTGAGCTGACTGGAAATCACACTTGTCTCCAGTTCACATCGATGCAGCGTTTTGTTCTAGCACTTGTTTCGTTTGTTCCTGTCCAGATATGTCGAGCAGAAGACAACATGCTCCGACTGCTGCAAAACGGCCAAAATATCGCAAATAGCGCCAAGAGTTTCAGTCCAACAAATTCTGGTGACGAAGGTGATGCCAGTGGAACCGACGCAGCGAAGATTGCACAAACCATCCGCTTTGGCTTACTCTCTCCACTTCTAGAGTCATGGAATGGTCGATGCGTTGTCGTTACGTCGATGGGAAAGCAGTCCACCGGAAAAAGTTACTTTCTGAATCATCTTACAGGTACGTCGTTTGCCATTTCAGGCTCACGTTGCACAGATGGAGCTTGGATGTCGCTTCGATTTGTGTCTGCAGAGTTGCTGCTTGTTATACTAGACTTCGAGGGTTTGGGATCTTTTGAGCGTTCGGAACAGGAAGATGTCTTCTTGTCGGTTTTAAATGCATCGGTGTCTTTGTTCACGGTCTTCCGGATGGAAAGTCGATTTGATAAAGACATTGATGGTTTGTTCTCTCGTTTTCAAAAGGGTGTTCAGCTCATTAAGAACGACCCACGGCTTTTTCGTGGATTGTTGTACATGAGCGTTAAGGACGTCAATATGAACGACCGACAAGGCGTCGTTGACGAGCTCGTGGCAAAGCTGGACGCGATTTTCGAGGCCAATAAGGATCATAATTTCTTGACGGAAATGTATACCGGACAGTTAGAAATCAACTGCACACCTCCATTCGGTACGATGGATTACTATCAATGTATGGAGAATGAGGCAGCGCAAGCTCTATGTAGTATTGTGTTTCCTTCCGAAGGTGTGCGAACAGGTTTTGTAACAGGCAAGGCTTTTCTGGATTGCGTACGGATCGTCTTGGCAAAAATCTCAATCTTAGACTGGACAGGTATGGTCAAAAGCACGCAAAATTTGGTGGTCGCCGACACAAAGCAGAAGCTCCCTGGAATACTTCGTACAGGCTGTCACGTTTCGCAACCTTTGGTGGCCGACAAGATCATTCCTTCGCATCTGAAGGAAGATGTTTTGCAAGTAGGTTCTTATCGAAAAAATTGTGGTCACGTTGCAAGTGATGTGCGAAACATGTCCTGGGTATACGACCAAGTGGATGGCGCTCAACGATGTTGTACCTCTGGACAGCATCAGAGATGAGGAATTTGATATGGGGTTTGATGTGACCTCACTTACCGGCAAAAACTTGAAAATTTTGCAGAAGGCGATTGGTTTGCATTTCCAGTTTTTGCTCGATCTACGTGGCAAAGCTTATGGGACTTCCAAGCTTTCAACGGAAGATCAAAGTGATTTTGATGCCTTTGAAGCCTTCGTATTGCACCGACGAAAGAAGAAGGTATCCCTCTGGCTTTTCGGCTCGCTGGGTGATCATTTGGCGGCGGTGCGATCACAGCTCGAACAGCGTTACGCAGAGCCGCTAATACTTTACATGTCACGATGCCAGCAGAGATGCATATGGTGCCAACTTGGATGTATGTACTCTGTGACCCACTCGCCCGAGACTGAGCATAACTGCTGCATGGACCACAAGTGTCGGGGCCAGTGTGAGTATGGCGAATGCCAAACCGATTTTGAACCTGCGCGAGTTCCCGCGTGCTCTCGAAGTGCAGGACACGAGGGGAAATGTGAATGCGAGAAAGGAGAACATACGTGCGGGCAGCCGTGTTTACTCATCCGTGCATCAAATTGCGACAAGACATGTGCCAAGCGAGCTGAACACTCTGGTGACCATTCCTGCTCCGTTCAGGTTCATATCTGTGGCGTGACGTGTTCTGCTACAACCTGTACTGCGACTTGTTTGCTAGACGTTCAACGAGATCACTCAGTGCACAAGTGTGCTGAGGTACAATGCTTCCATCCGTGCATGATGGAGGGATGCAATAATATGTGTAGCGAAAAGAACCATTTCCATGGGCAACAGGTCGAGTCACGTGCATTTGCGAAGGAAAACAGTACGGCGGGCGTCGGTGATCTCTCGAATAATGCCGTGGTTACGCACATGTGCCGCTGCAGCCACGCCTGCGGAGAAATGTGTACTGTGGAAGGTATTTGCGAACAAAAAGTTCACTTGAAGAAATCTGCTCGCACGTACACGGGTGCACGTGGATCGTTCGAATATATTTATCAGGAGATGAATGGCTGCAAAAAGCGCTGCGCTTACGTAAAACCTAGCGGTGAAGTGAATCACGAGGGACTTGACCATACTTGTCTAGTTGAGACCAATGAAGAAAAGAACGAGCAGCATACTGTCCACTATTGTGACGCGCGATGCCCTTCGTGCAACTATTACTGCAACAAACACTATGGCCACATGGAATTGCACGCCACTTCCCACGGTAATATGCGGCAGACATACTTCATTGCAAAAGGGAATGACATTGATGTGGAAGATCGAAAGTACCAAGTTGGCGAGCGTGGCATTGCCGAGATGTGCAATCTCTTTTGCGCAAAAGTTGGACGCGGTCATGTCCATTATCTCTCCTGTGAGAGCATCGATGACGAGAAATGTGTTTACACATCAGGCGCCAGCAAAGATCATCGCCGTCACTGTGTCGATAAGTTGTTTCCACCCCCAGGCCGGAAGATGGATGAGTTATTGCACGCTCAGTTCTGGACAGCCATTGGTTGGGAAGATCCGTGCAGCGAAGAGGAGCGTAGTGTCTTTGCTAAGTGTGCATTCCAGTGCAATGCACCTGAACATGAAGCAGACGGAAAACTTTCTTACTGCGTCCTGAATGCTTGGCACGAACCTGAATTCAAAGATGACGGAGCTAATGATGGTTTTGCTTACGTCGATGGGCACAAGTTTGGTTGTGTGCACGCTGTCGACACGAGTAAATTCCACAGCATCTTTGTTTTGGACAGCTCCGGGTCAATGCGTGGCAAGCCGTGGAGAGACTTGCTGTGCGCTTGCAACGAGTTTGGCAACAATCGTTTAAGTGATGGAGGGGAGGACGATTTAGTTTCCTACATTACATTTGATGGTACGAGTGACATTGTTTGCGAAGGTGAGCCTTTACCAGAAGCCTTGAAGTTGGTAGTGCCGTTTACGGGGGGACTCACTAGCTATCGTGAAGGCCTGCGAGCTGCTAATGAAGTTCTATCACGCAACAATTTTGAGGAGTTCAAGAGCGTGTTGATTTTTTTTTCGGACGGCCTTCCACACGATATCGACTCGGGCATTACACTTGCTCGACATATTCGCTCTACGTACGCCAAGTATGACTTGAAAGCTTTTGTTGTTGGTTTTGGACGCGTGGATTTGTCGGTACTACAACGTTTAGCAGTCGAAATCGGTGGCGAGTATCAACAGGTATTGAATGCCAGTGCATTGAAGACTGAGTTTCAACGGATCGCTGCAGTTCTGTGCAACAGTGAGGCGAGCCTCGCGGTGCTGGAGCCGAATACTAATTCTGCGTGATTGTGAATTGGCGTACGTGAGCTAGGCGAGGAGTCGAGGATGACCAACGATAAGCCAAGTGCATTGCGTTCGCTGATACTAATTCTGCGTGATTGTGAATTGGCGTACGTGAGCTAGGCGAGGAGTCGAGGATGACCAACGATAAGCCAAGTGTATTGCGTTCGCTTTGTTGTTTAGCGCATGTAGTAGTGTAACCATGGAGATGAAAAAATAATGGAGAGAAAGAGGAAAGAACTGTTGCAACAAGTGACCGCTTTGTGCCATGTAGAGTATGGCTGACACGATGACCGGATGTCGAAGCTACCAATACTGACGACTCTGCAATAGGCTGCCCACATATTAACTGAATAGGATAAGGTAATGAGCATCATGCCATGCTCTCCTGTGCAAGACAAATTCTTGAATCAAGAAGGGAAAAAAAAAAAAAAATATAAAAAACACACCCCACCACCCACCACACACCCTCTCAAAAAAAAAAATCTCTTCTTTCTTTTTTTTTTTTAAAAAACCCCTTTTTTTGACAAACCCACCCAAAAAAAAAAAATATTAAAAAAAAGAGTAAAACCCCAACCCTTTATATATTTTTTTTCCCCCCCCCCACCAAGGGGAAAGGAACACTGGCGGGCCGCCCCCCCCCCCCCCCAAAAAAAATTTTTAAAAAAAAATAGGGGGGGAGAGGGGGGAGGGGGGGAGAAAAAAAAACCCACCCTTCAAAAGGAGGGCAAAAAAAAAAAAAAAAAAATTTTAAAATTTTCGAAAAACAAAAAATAGTTAAAAAAGCCCCCCTCCCCTTGGGGCTTTCCCCCCCCCCCCAGAAATTTCTTCTTTTTTGTGGGGGGGGAAAAGTTATTATATCACTTTCGAGTCGTCCCCTTCATTCAACATTAAATTCAGATTCAGAGCATATCGGTATCGTGAATCACAGCATCGGACACATCTTGAGTAACAATCTGTCTGCCTATTGAATGCGGCTATCAATTGTTCCGCTTCTTGGTCCGAAGCTCGATGCAGTAAACACCCTTGTGGTTGAAAGAAAAACGTCCATAGTTCAAAAGCTCCAGAACCTCAAGCGGGCAAGTTCCGTCTTCCCCTCGCCTTTTACCTACTAAATAGCACCAATCTCCAGTGCTTTGTCGTTCATGTGGTCAATGTCAAAATTCCGTCTGTTGCCGATAGCAAGCTTTTATCATGAACAAATCGTGTCATGTTTCCTCGGACTGAACAACCAGAGTCAAATAAACTCATTTGCTCTCATCCAAGCAGTCGTTGCCAGCGAGTGACATATATTGGCATATCCACTTTGTCCATGATTGTTTTTATCAGTATCAGCGCGTCATTTTGTACCTCGTGCTTCGGCGCAGACGAAAAGACATCGGTACCGCACCAAATTTGCTTTCAAATCATGGTCAGAACTTGGCCGATACGATTCCGGAAGACCTTTCGATGGCAAACCAACTCTCCGGTCTAACGATCATGATTTTTCCTACCAAACTAGCTTATCAGTAAGGTGTAAGATATCATGCTTCCCCAACTGTTTGATAAAGTGTGTTGCGATATAGCCGAAAATGCGATTGCCATCTCCTTCATCCACATAAACTCGACTGGTCCGTGTCTTGTAATTTCATCATACTCAGTCACGACTAGCAAAGCACGATGCCCACACGATCACTGCTCATCCTAGGACATCGCCAATTATACAGGTAATACTGCAATACTCCACTACCAGGTCCAAACTTGAGAGATTGCAGCATCTCAATGTTATCCATCACATCTAGCGCATTAAATACGTCCAAGTGTTCCTTCTTTGCCATGATCAGTGCGTCTTGCATCAATTGTGTTAGTGATACCGACTTGGCCACATTGTAAAAAGAGTACGCAGCGTTAAGTTTCTTGTATTTGTCATCACCGATGATAGTTGACGGTAGGTGGTAGAAGCTGCACACATCTGTAACTTGTTGTGTGTCCGGGTTTTCAACCACATAGGCGTTTACCACCCCTACTCGAGGCACCATCCAATGTGCCACATCTTCTTCACTAAACTCGATCGCGAGATGAAATTTTGTCAGATATTCTTGAAGCAATTTCGTGACTTGTGGGACGTCTGTCTTCTCCATCGGTCGAAATCCGGTTGTCAACGTACGTGTTGGTAAATTAAACATCTTGATCGTCTGTGCCAGTGTCTTTTGCGGCAATATTGGAGAGAATCCGACTTGTATAAGTTTCTTAGGGTTTAATGACCGATGAAAGTAGCGACATTCTGCTAAAGGTATGGGCAGGACCACTCCAGCCGTGTAAACAGCCTGCCACACGTTAGAAAGATTGATTCTGCGTGTAATTTCTTTAATCAGCACTGGCGTTAATCGCCGATCGCGTAATCTCTTGTGTACACAAAGAAAATTAATCTCGGCCATTTCAAGTCTTGACGCATAAATTCTCGTCTTGACTGGAATCCCCGATACAAAAGCCAAGAGCTTTTTATTGCACGTACTTCGTATGCCAATGTGCCAATTATGTTGATACTTTGGAGGTGTAAGAATCCCATTGTAAAAAGTCCATTGAGTATGCCAACCGAATTGTACTCGCTTCATTTTCAACGTAATTCATGGCCAAGAAGTTATATACTTCTGTAAGATCTAATGGGTTCATTACATTTAAATTGGACCATTGAAAACCAGCTGGTAAATGATAGGGCGTCTGTCTCACGGTCGTAGAAGGGACATGAATGGGTCCGGCTATTATAACTGGCTCTTTGACTTGTGGAACCGGTTGAGTTTTCCAAAATCGATATTCGTTTTGAGAGTATTTTTCGGGTGTTTGTATAGATGAATCCATATGAACGTGCTGAAATGATTGCAGCTCCTTTTCTTCGTTGTCTTCTTCTGTTGCCATCTCAAGTGTCTCCTTGTGCCCGTCCATTGAATTTAAAATCCTGAAATATTTAATAGTTATGGGTTTATTCGTAATGAGAGGGGATACAGGACAATTCATGTACACCACATATCTTTTAGCGCTTTTGTCATTGGTCTAAACTCCTTACATTCCGCCAACAATTCCCCTCCAGTCATCAATCCGTCCTCATGAGCAGCTCTTCTCCGTCTTCAGACAAGAAGACGCTGGAGACGCTTGTTACCGTGGAAGAACAAGAAGAATTCTTGGACGTATTGAAACAGCTTCAGTTTGCGACGGCCTCTCAAGCACCATCTTCTGATCGAAATGCTCTCGCGGCCCAAAAAGATTTTAAATTCTGGAAGACCCAGCCTGTCCCGGCGTTGGATGAATTTCCACGTCAACATGGAGCTATTGACCCACCAAAGAGCATAAATGATGTACGACAGGAACCGTACAATATGCCACCCGGTTTTGTATGGAGTGAACTTGATCTTTCCAATGCACATGAGACAGAGGAAGTGTATGATCTATTGACACAGAATTACGTTGAAGATGATGACAATATGTTTCGATTTGATTACTCTATTAATTTTCTTCGGTGGGCACTCACACCTCCTGATTTTCATAAGGATTGGCATGTGGGTGTCCGTAATCAGAAAACTAACAAGCTTATGGCTTTTATCTCTGGGATTCCAGTCAAAACAAGAGTCTACAAAACGGTTATGCCTATGGCTGAGATTAATTTTCTATGTGTACACAAGAAATTGAGAACCAAACGACTTGCACCGGTGCTTATCAAAGAAATCACACGCAGAGTGAACCTTCGCAATATCTGGCAGGCCGTCTATACTGCTGGTGTGGTGCTGCCAATGCCTGTGGCGCAATGTCGCTACTTTCATCGGTCGTTGAACCCCAAGAAACTTATTGAAGTAGGCTTTTCGAGACTTGCACCAAGGATGACGATGACACGCACAATCAAGATGTTCAAGTTGCCAGAGACCACTGCAGTGCCTGGATTCCGACCCATGCAAAAGAAGGATGTTGCCCAAGTGACGGCGCTGCTGAAGACGTATTTAGCCAAGTTTAATCTTGTGCCAGACTACGACCAGATTGACGTGGCCCACTGGATGCTCCCACGCGAGGGTGTTATCAATGCGTACGTGGTGGAGAACTCTGAGACGCACAAGATCACGGACTTTACAAGCTTTTACCATTTGCCGTCTACTGTCATTGGTCATGACAAGCATAGCAAACTGAACGCTGCCTACTCGTTCTACAATGTGGCCACGTCGGTGCCACTTACGGAGCTTATGAATGACATGCTGATCATGGCCAGGAAGGAGAACTTTGACGTCTTTAACGCGCTTAGCCTCATGGACAACACGGAGTTCTTGAAGGAGCTCAAGTTTGGACCTGGCGATGGCGACCTTATGTACTACTTGTACAACTGGCGCTGTCCGCGCATGGAGAGCAACAAGGTTGGTATCGTGCTATGCTAGGTGGAATGCACAACAAGCCGAGTTGCCGTGCTGAGACGGATTGTGCGCTCCGGAAACGTTAAAGAACACCGCGCAGACTCAGCGGTAAGGCGAGTGCAGACGAAATTCTAAGTCAGGACGGCGTGATGGTGCTGACTCATGAAGTAAATGGAGAAAAAGTAAGAACGATAAATACTGACGAGAAGTGCGTTTGACAAATGATTCGGCTGCTACATCTTTATGTTAGTGAATGCGTAGGTCGATAGAAGAAGAAGGAGTGCCACTGCTGTCGGCTTGCTGAAAATAGTCTGTCGCTCGTTTGCTGGTGATCACTGTCTGTCTTGCCATGATCTAGGTAGATTCAATGCATGTACAAGACGTTCATGTGCCGACGAATCTGAGTCACATTACGTCTACTAAAGACAATACCACCGCACTGGCTTCTCTTGCTTGTGTGCCTGCCGATCCTCATATTAAGTCACAAGTCTTTTCCACGCTGACATTTTTCGCAATACCCCCTTCGATCGACACAGCGCATAATCGGGCTAACTTCAGAAATGATGAAGATCACTCATGCCCATCACCCGTGCTCATCACCCGTGCCCATCACCCATGCCCATCCCACAAACTTCAGCTTGGTTCGTCTGCTTTCATGGCAGGATGACGCCCTACACCAAAACATGATCTTTGTAAAAGGTACGACCTCCTTTTGCAGACGCTACATGCGGTTCTGATATTCTAGATTGCTTGCATATGTGGACGGTGTCTTGGTAAGCAATTGGCACGGTGTCAAAACCGGACGCCGTAACGCGATGGTAAAAGGATGGGACGATGAAGTGACTGGAGCCGATCACAGCAGATGCCAAGCTGTTACTGCCAACTTGGCATCTATTAAACACGCTCCCAACTTGCAACGTCCAGGCACGAAAGCATGGACGTAGCAAGTTAAAGAGCGTTCGACTCGGGAGCTTAAGGCAGAGAAGCGCACTGAGAGAAAAAAGTCGTTGCCGTACCTCTTCAGATAGGCGTTTGTGTCAAAGGAGATGATCTGTCCAGCAGGCTTAGCATAGGTTGTGAATCCAACTTAAACAACTTGAGCCACCGCCAACATTTTGTGTTCTTGTGATTCTGATGCATATCCTGCAAAGGTGACACGTACTTATCGGTCGCACGGTTGCATGGCATCTCCACGTTTATTGGGAGCACAAACGTGCCCCATCACGAATCTTTGGTGTTCCGAACATGCGTACGGCCCCGTATTCAATCAGATATCATAAGGCGGCGAGAGCAAGGCCGACGAGAGGAGTGACGCGTATATGTCGACCAATGGTTGTCAACACCTAATGTGTTTACAGGTGCTCACTGGATTTCATGCATGTCACGTCCCTCTAGTCGTGCAGTAGAACGCACTTGCCTGTCTCATGTGTACCGGTTTCTAGAGAATTTCTGCAGCCTACCAGGCAGTACGGATGTAATGGAAGTTCACAGAATCCACGACGTTAGAGTAGTCGTTCATTGTCCAATCTGCTGACTACAGATCAAGTCGTGACCGATCCTTACTGAGCTCTAGGTCTCATGAATAGCTTTTTCGTCCCCGAGCCGAACTCCACTGCTCGACAACAAGACCTGCAGACCGCTGAGCTTGAAAAGCGTGGCAACTGCAAGAATTACACGCTACAAATGCTAGCTGACTGCGCTCGTCGAGATCTGCCTCTCCGCGTAAGCGTGTCTTCAGCCACTAAGAAAGAGGACTTCGTAGTGTACAACTGCACAATCTCGAGTGTGACCACGAAAAATTCGTGGGGCGTTTCCTACCGCTATTCAGAATTTCTAACCTTCCGTAACAAGGTGGCCGACCTATGGACGTGCGCGGAGAAGGACTGTTGTGGCTCGTGCCAAGCTATTCGTGATGCCATGGCGGCTTTCTTTCCAAAGAAACGTCCAGAAATTATGTCAAAATGGTCCGGAGCGGTCAACCACCGCAAAACAAAGCTAGAGAATGTGTTGGTGTATTTGCTTCGATGCATTCTTCTTCCCGGCAGTGCTATGAAGTGCTTTCATGCGCGACAGAAACTACCGTCCAATGTCTTGGAGTTCCTCGTCGTCAAGCACGATGCGGATAAGCGCTCACTTCTGCAAGTTTTTGTGGACAACCATCAGCCCGGCATAAAAAAATCGGCGACCACCACGGACCTATCAATATTGAAGCGCAAGAGCACCTTGAAGAAATCTTCAACCACGTCGAATTTGTCGTCACTAGATTCAAGTACTTCTTCAGAAGATGTAACAGATGAAGATCATTGCATGATCTGTCTGGATCTTGTGGGATCGACCACTTTTAATGCAGTTGGTACCAGCTGCAGTGACAGCTCTCCGATCGTTCTCCAGTGCAAGCATACCTTTCATCGCAAGTGCATCTTTGAGTGGTTATTGTTCCAGTACGAGTGCCCATTGTGTAGAGCTCAGGTAGGGCCTCCTGCTATCATTAACTATTGTCGCCTGAAGAATCAAGTGCAATGGTGGCTTGGCGACTTTAACGAGGACCCACTGACTTCAGCAGCCAAGTAAAATCATCGACTACGACAGTGCACAGTCATGCCTTATGGCTTCTTATATATGAATGACGCTATTTTTCAGTCAAGCAAACTACACACGCGGTCCTTTTACATGCCCGGATGTAGCTGGACCGCAGCCGTTTCGGGACGGAAGCAAGACATAATCAGCGAATTGCAAACTTCTTTGGCCGGTTCTCGCTGACTGAGAAATCACGGGATCGTAAAGTATTGAAAAGCTTATAAGACAACTTTTGTAAGCAAATATGAGCTCTTCATGGATACTTGTATTGTAAACAGCAACAACAGGAACTCATAACGACAGTCACGCCGCCAATCCCCATGACAAAACAGTGGCAGCGGCGTGCCCACGATGGCATTCACTAGAAACTGGAAAAAATCTAGGGTAATTTGCAGATACCAACAGTGCACAGGCGCCATACTTGTCTTGCGCACGGTGATGGATTCGAGGCATCATTGATGTGCATGGACTTGGCATGTCGATCTCCTCACGAGACGCCGAGGTATTGACTTGTACGCGCATTCTAGCGCGTCATTTAGCACGCCCGATCCGTACAGTATTGCTGGAACACTGCACCGTATTCCTTACTCCATACAACAACTCGTTCTCGAGGTCATTCACATTTCTTTCTATCTCCCACGTCTGTAGATAAAAGACTGAGTAAGCATTGCCATTTGTCATATTGGCATTGACCAAGCACCAAGCGGCCTGATCTTGTTCTTGTCCAGCATGCAATCGTCAAAAAAATACTCGCTTTAACACATGCGACATTCTATTCTCGTGCAAGGAGCTTCGCGTGGTTCCTCAGCCAAACGAGATGTCGGCCCCGCAGGCACCGAAGCGACCTAAGTCGAAGCTGTATACGTTGAAAGAGCTACGTCCGTGTGTGGGCAACGAACAACCACTGCATCTGACCGTGTTCGCGACCAAGAAGGAGGAGGGACACAACGTGTATACCATCACGACGTCGAGCGTGTCAACGCAGAACAGGTAGTATGTGACGTGCCAGTACTCGAAGTTTCTGTCGTTCCGCAACCAAGTGGAAGAGATGTGGACGTGTCACGACGACAAGTGTCAGAGTTCGTGCCAGTCGCTACGTGACCTCATCGAGGCGTGCTACCCGGACAAAGCGGGTCTCATGTCGACGTGGTCATTTACGGTGAAGGATCGCAAAAACAAGTTCAAGAATGTACTGATCCACTTGCTGCGATCGGTGCTGCTTTTCCAGACAGCACAATGAAGTGCTTCCAATTACGTTAGCAGCTGCCATCCGCTCTGTTCACGTTCCGGGGCATTGAGGACGGCCTAGACAAGCGCTCACTGCTGCAGGTGTATCTGGACAACCATTAGAAGGGTATGAAAAAGTCTGCGAGTCACACTGGTCTGTCATCGCTGGAGCACCACAGTTCAGACATGAAGACGATGACCCCTCAATGAAGAAGTCTGCTACGATGACGTAACTTGCTCAGATGGAGCTGGACATGGAGGAGAAGGGCACCTTCTCCATGATTGAAGGTCCGCAGTGTATGATCTGCATCGAGGACGTGGGAAACCACATACACATCAAAAGTTCACAACGTTTGGTGACACTTCCGGACGCCAAACGGCAGTTTCTTGCGCATGGTGCTCTGCACATTGGCGAAATTGATGTAGGCGCCTTGTGCCGTCTCGGGTCGTAGATAAATCCAGTCGCACGTCTCGTCCGTGGCACCTATGTTTGTGCGAAAAAGCAGATTAAACTTCTTGACGGGCTGGAAGCTGTGTATCTTGTTGCAATGAGGACAGGCCACGTTGTGCTGCAGAAGCAAGGTATCCATCTCAGCTAAAGACAGTGACGCCACAGCGTCCATCTCCTCCTGTGTCTCCAGCTTCTTCTCAAGCAACTGGTCTACGCGAACGCGAGAGTTGCAGCATTGGCAGACCGCCATGGGGTCTGTAAAATTGTCGACATGGCCAGACGCTGTCCAGACTGCCGACTTAAGCAGCACAGAGCTATCAAGGCCGACACAATTGGGTCGTTTCTGCACAAACTCAAACCACCATCGATCCATCACGTTCTTTTTCATGAGAACGCCTGGGAATGCAACAATTAAAAAGATAAATGGGTACAATGAGAGAAAGCGAGAGTAATTGATTGACTGACGTAACGTACCGAGTGGTCCGTAGTCAAAGCTATTGGCAAGACCACCGTATAATTCTGAACCAGGAAATACAAAGCCACGATGACGACATAAAGCTACTAGACGCTCTTGTACATTAATATTTGCTGCTTTCTGGGCAAACCCACGACACGACGAGCTCCGAGTCAATGCAATAGACAGTTGTTGATACATTATTGTATGGCTGTCATTGACTGGATGGTCATCCCTTACAAGATAACATGGCTACATGTTTTAGCCCTACCCACAGCTTGGTACTGATCAGGGAATAGGGTATGACAAAAGAGAGGTTGCTGCGCTTGCTGCTGCTGCACGATCGATTAGAGACGTTGGAAGAATGGGACTCCATATTTCGTGATGATAAAGAGAAAAATGATGTGGTAGATGCAGTGACGAAAGATGAAGAGCAGAAGAGGAGCCGTTGTCCAGCAATGATCATTGCGATGGACGAGGTCGTACCGTATCTACCCGATTATAGTCCCGTATCCGCCAAATTAAAGGCATTGATGCGGTACAGCGAGTCCACATACTTCATACAAGTGAATCGACTTGTGCAGGGATGGCTACAGCAGGTACATAGTATTCGTTTTCGAACATGGCTACTCTATGACTGGCTCAAATGTAGCCATCTGACGATATCAATGGATCCAGTAATGCTATTGCAATGGAGACACGTGCTATGGATAGCGACGATAAACGAGACGGTCAAGTCATTGAAGAGGACCTTGTTACCGTTTCTAAGTTTAATAAACGAGACAATTGAGGCTCATTCCAAATGCAACAAGGTGATTATTGCATCAGAGCCGGTCTTGCAGTCGATTGAGACCGTTGAGAAGTTGCTGGACTTTTGCTTCTTGCACGCCGAGCAGCTTGCAAGTTACAGTCTTCTCTGCGCTGCAAAGATGCACGCGTTGGCCATGAGGACCGAGAGGAGTACGATAAAATTGTCGCAGGAGGAGGAGGTGCTGGTGAGGTTGCGCTGGTCATTGATGCTGAAGCCAATGCTGTTCAAACCTCTGCTACAGCACGCAATCGCATTCAAGACTGTTGCAGAGACAATCACAACTGGCCCCTTGTGGGCAAGCACTTTATTGAGCGATCTTGTGGGTTTAGTGGATGTCACTAGTCGAGAAAGGATCTTGAGAGAGATGGCTGCGACCAGAGACGAGTTGGAACGTGCATTCACTCGCAATGCCGAGCACATTCACGGCGTTACGTCAAAAATAACACATCTATCTATCCATGCTGTTCGTGTGGAAACATACGTCCAGTCACTCTCCGACAAAGAAAAGCAGTTGCTGCTCGCCGAGCTGGAGCGAGATTTGGATGAAGCACCACCTCACTTGTTCCCGCACGCCTTCATCTTCCTAGCATTGATTCTCCGTGCAACACTTTCGTCTACAGCTCGAGAACTACAGAGCGTGGCGACAGAAGCAATTGTCATCCTTTTCGCACTATTTGAGCGGCGAACCCACGACGTTGATAGCTGTGTAGACGTTCTGAGTCTACTGCTTGAACTATCACTAGCTCACAACTCCATCTGGCTCAAGAATTCTCGACTTTACATTCAAATGATCGAGTTGCTGTCTGAGATTACGACACTTCAAGTCGACCACAAGCTCAAGTGGATTACCAAGATGGCTTTACATCAACTGGTCTTTGAATGTGACATCCAGCTGCTTCTACACCATCAGTCAACTCTTTTACAACTGCTACCTCCGTGCATAAGGCGTCTCGTAAGTGATTAAACGTTTGTTTTCAGTTTATTGACTGCATTTCTCATCACCGTCAGCCTCTAATTTCCTTCCGTAGGCTTCGACATGCCTCCTTTTGGGCCTCGGATCCTCTGGCGCATGTCCAATTGACCGCGTTTGCACTCAAAATATGCCACCCGATACTCCTAATCACGAGTGCATTTAGTCTCTCTTTCTCATGTTGTAGCTCTTTTTATTGCATACCTTGCACTCGTGTGAATACGTGCGATCGTGGAGACATTGCTTCAATGTCCTTGTACCGTCAGCCATGCACTCTTGCTGCAACATACAATCCCGTAGAGCTTCTGCCATATCGCGACATGCTTTGCCCATGTTATAAGAATATCAAACATGAGAGGGAAGACATCGTTATACCGAAGTATTTAGTTATAAAGGGTAAGCGACAGGAAACCGGTACCTCGTTACCGACAGGAGACATCTTATTATCCAACCGTCGTGTAACCTCGTTGCACTTTTTCCCGCGCGTCATTAGATGGGCGCAAATTATCGTTTTACTCGAGCCGGTACAGTCTTAGTTTTTATAGAATGACGTTGTTGGCGCTGCGCAAATACTACTGACATCCAGATCGGCGGTTGTATTTTTCTGTCTCAGACATTGAGCCTTCGAGAATCTGGTATGATGAAAACAGGCGAGGGCACGTAATCTCGGGAGAACGGCTGAAAAGAACGTGCAAAATCGTATACTCCTAACTTAAATAGATATTCATCGTACAAATCAACGTCCAAGAGGTGAAAGGCTAACTTGGTGGAAACACGAAACATGTTTGGTCCATCTGTCTAGTAAAGAATGACGACTTATAAAGAAAATGTACAACATGTGTTTATAAGTTGAACAGAGACATATTGAATGACACTGACACGCTAATGCATGGCAAACGATGAAGTCTTTATTATGAACAATTATCGCTTGCATACATTGTAATGCCTATTTCTGACGTACCCAATCTCCTCCTTACATTTTTGCTAAGCCATTTACAAAGCTTTAATCACTTGCCTAGATCTTCCAGCACGTCGGTGAGATCGAGGCCATTCATGTCGCGACAGCATATTCACCAATGCCACAGACGAAGGGCATCTTTAGGATAGAGCCTACGTATCCCTTTTTCGCTTTTGTGTTGAACTAGTGGATGCAGCTTCGATATCTTCCTTCTTCGTTTCAATCCATTGGGCTAACATACTGGCCAAGCTTTTAGATGACTTGCCTTTTGCCTGGTCCTTCAATTGCTCTAGCCCCTCCCAGTCATACCTCCTCCATAAAACAGGGAACACCTTGAAGTTATTAAACCTCTGCTTTTTTCGTTTAACCCAACTAGAAGCAAACTTGTTCATCCATTCAAAGAAACGAGAGAAATCGAAACCGGTCAGTGGTAGGGTCGGCGAAAGACCGAAAGCGTCGAGGGCTTGTTCTAAATCATAGCCTCCAACTAGCCATGAATTCGTCAGCTCATCCAATATATTCGTTCTAATTTCCTTCTGACGTTTGAGCAGCGATTTTATCGTTTCCTTTCTGCTCTTATCGGAAGGAAAATACATGTACTTTTCCACTTGCCTACGATGCTTTTTCGACGCAAATCCCATGAAAACACCATATTTACCAAAGTTTCTTCTTTGATCCCCCCTTCTTCAATGCATCAATCACGGTTGTCGGATTCTCGGGGTGCCTGTCGTTAAAATTTTTTACGTATTTTATCCACGTGAACATGCGCAAATCTCCAAGAAAATTCTCACCTGCTTCGCCAAGTTTCAGTAATTTTAGAACATCGGTGGGGTGGACCCCGTGTTGCAGCCACACTGCATATTGATCTTGATCGCTCATTTCTTTTGGAGTAAGCTGGACTCCAGCGATCTCGGCGGGGCCTTTGTCTTTGGAGCGAGCTGAAATGGGTTCAGCGACCGTGGAGTGAACGACCTCGGCCGGACCTTTGTCTTTGGAGCGAATTGAAACGTGTTCAGGGAGCGTGGGGTAAACTCTGGAGTTCATTTCGTTGACGTATTCCATGTACGCCTTCTCAAATCCCGCTCTCACCTCTTTGTCGTAAATCTCCATTGTCGTATAAACGTCGTTAACTTGCATTCCTCTATTGTAAAAATTTTTCAAGAGATCAGTGAAGTATCCCGACTCCAACGCTTTCTTAACCACCTCGTGTAGTGGTGCGTCGCTCGGTATTTCCATTACATTTTTGTATTCTTCCACGAGCGTGCTAAATTCAGCTGCAATTTCATATCCTCTCTCTTCTTCACCGTCTTGTGTAGACCTGTGAGTCCTCAAGTGCCTAGTACCTTGACCAAGTTGAAGCGCAGAAGCTGACTTGGTGATGGCGTTAGGTGACACGTCATGCGCACCAACAGTCACTAGATGGAAAGCGACAGCCACTAGATGGACAACAACAACCGCACAAATGTGGACGAGTTGAGGACGCATGGTTTCAAAGGCAAATAATTGGAAATGCAGAGTCGAGATCACTGCGAGCTGGGGACGAGTGCGAATGGACGACGAGGGGATAACTACCAGCACTGCTGGATGAACATAGACGGTTGATGAATGAGGTATAAACAAGATTACAGAGCTGAGCCGATTCTAAAAGTTTATTGAACCAGGAACACTGTCCGTTTTACTACCACATACACATCAGTATTCACCTCCGTAAGGCAACTCGAGCTCGTCGTTAATATTGAGGCAATGCAACGTGTAAAGCAAGCAATGAAGAGTACAAACGCGGGATCGTCAGTAAAAATGTTGCTTTTCGAAACGCAACGATGGCAGCAAAAAAAGATGGCCATGTTTGTAGAAAGCCTTTTCCAAGTGCTTGAATGCTTTGGAAGAGACAGCCATATGGGACAGCCGAAACGACAGGATAACTCCATCGAGATACTGGAGAGACCGTCTATTTGAATTGCAGTAGGATAGTATACTGCTCGATGGGCAAAGACAAGGGTAGAAAACGAGAATACAGAGCTGGTTAGTGGTACCGCTGTTACAACGCTGGAAAGGCTCATCCTAGACCCTGCAAGACTTAGTTCATGATCATAAATTTATTGTTGTAGTATCCACCGACCATGCAGCGTCGAGAGCTGCGAGAAGTGCTCTCTCTGTTGCAGCAGCCAAACGATTGCGTGAGTATTTTAGCACGTCGTATGTATACACAACAGGTGACGCCTACTGAGATGCTACAGTGTTCACTTTCTGACAATCGCCGAGTATTGCCCGAGCTCGGCCACTTTGTGGACTCGTTCCTGCCGATACCTTTTACTACAAATAACAATAGCATTGTTGCTCCACCATCATCGCTCGTGCGACACGCTTTCCGTTATCCAGAAGCTCCGTGGTTGAGTCATATTGTACAACAGAACGGCTTCTCGGCGCTGCTAGCCAACAACTGGTGCGACTTACAAGACAAGACAGTGACAATGGCATCCAGGACCACAATAACAATACAACATATTTGTCGGCAGCAGAGCCGACGAATATATTGGCTCATTATGCACGTACTGCTTGATGCGTTGCTGTCATTATGTGCCCAGAGACTTGGACTAGCTCCTGACGCCTGTAGATGGCGTCCGCTGCAGCTCAAACCCAGATTTCATGCCATGACGTGCCTTCCAGTGTGGCCATCCCTGCTGCCGTTTGCAGCACTGATTGGAATTCCATTCCGGACGACGTATAACAAGTGGTGATGTAACATCGGCGCTTATAACGAACAATCCATCGAGTGAGTTGTGATTTTGCACTGATACGAAGCATCTGGAGACTTGTGGAAGAGTTGGATTGAGGTGACAAGGAGACGCAGAGAGCGGTGACGGACGTGATGTGGCAAGTTTGGTAAGAGTTGCAAGTGATAGAATGCTACTCTGTTGCAAAAATGCGAAAGTTGACAAAAAGTCGGTGGACTCGCACCTTGACGACCAACTACTGGAATAGGTTTTATTGGGATGCAAATTTTTCGTTTACAAGTTGGCGAGCTGATGAGATGGTCAAGCAGACGCTTCTTGGTACATTACAGGAAGCATTGGGTCTTACAGCATGTAGTGTATATCGTATATGTGACGTTGCTTCGAATGGAAAGTGTCGACAGCTTACGTCGAGAGATCAGCTCCGATGCAGCGGCAATATAAGTGCTCCTGAAGCAGTTTCAGATGCAGCTTGGCAGTGAAATCGTTTACGAGGACTTTCAAGTCGCTGCCCCTGTGCATTGGATGGCTCGGGTTTGGAAATATTGGGTCTTCCTGTCAGACAAAGATGTACAATCCATTGTGTCTGAGGCTCAAGAAAATGATACGGATACCGAGCAAGAGTTTCAGAAGCGAGCGACAACGTGGCAACAACGTGACAAGCGTGGGAGGCGTTTATCTTTTTCAAATTGCCATCATTTTTGCGGTTTTCGCAGATGAAAACTTTGGTGAACGCGTACTCAATATCTTTACCGCTCGCAGACCTGAATGATGAAGACCTGAATGATGAAATTGAATATATCATTCGAGGACGAAAGCGTCGGCGGACAGAAAGTTTGTTGACGACTAAAATCAATCCCGAGCAGCTGGAGCGTTCGTTCGATGTGCTGCTGCTGCCGGATGTAATGGAGCGAGTTTGCTCCATTATGAGTGGAACGCGACTTTGCCGAATGACCCTGATGGGTCGAGTTTTGCAGAGCTAAGCCACAGCGCGTCACTGTATCGCTATCTGTATTTACGAATCGGGTCTTCCATCGGTAAGAAGCAAAGCGTTGTACCTGCTTCGCCAGTATAGAATGCCGCCACGGTGACAGCTACAAGCACAACTGGTGTCAAATGTATCAGGAGCGATGGATAGTGCTGCGAAGACTTGCGTCGTATGCAGCGACGCACGTCGAAGCGATGCAAGCGGCGAGGCTTCCTCTGCCAACAACCGCATCGCGACGTTCATCCCACAGATGCGCACGGATTGCGGCTGCCATCAGGTGCTTTAATTTGCAAGTGAACAAAGCGGCCATGAACACGCGATGTATGTGCACGGAATTCTATTGTCAAGCATCATTCATTGGTCTGCACAAGTTAAACCAGCACATGAAGGTACACGCGACTAAAATATTGTCCAGTCAACCACCATTTGTCGTCTCGTATGTGATTACAACGAAAGCGAGAGGGAGGTTCAGATTGTCTATTTACACGGTGTTAACTATGTGCAAGATCTCTGGAAAGTCCTGAGCCAGGATATCAGCGCCGGATGGCCCTCTAGGGTCGCGCTCACGTAATTCAATGCAAGCATAAAGCAAGGCACCACGTGTGGCTAATGCAATTTTTCGATGCTCTCTCTTTGCGATTGCTCGGAGCTGACAAAGGCACGAGGCCCAAAATCTGGCGATGCTGCTGGGAATGTGGAGTGTGACAGCCTTGAAGACGGCTGCATTCCTGTCTATCCAAATTCGTGTTTGGCATATCGTTGCGAGGACATGCCAAAAAAATTGTGTCCAGACGCGTTCGGCTTCGTTGGCGTCTTCCTGAAATCAGTCCGCTATGATTTTCGTGCGGCACTCGGGTATGCTGTCAACTCGTCGACTGGTACAGGCCTTCCGAAAGTTTTGGGTCAATTGTCGGGTGACGATTTGCCCGGTCCAGTGACCAATGAGTTATTTCCAAAGCGCTGCAGCGCAATCACATTCCCAAAACAGATGGACAATGGTCTCCTTCCTGCCGCTGCAATCCGGCGTCTTTCTGCAACTATTGTGTTCGATTCTCTCGGCGTAATACAGATTTAATTGTCTTGTCTTGTCGCCACCCGGTACCCTGTCCAGACTTGATATGGAGTGAGACCATTACACTTGCGTCGACGTTTGCCGGAGCGCTGCGCTTTGCCATTCATCCGTCGTTGCCGATTGTAAAGGGCAATCAACGAGAACCAAAAGTTGACGGGCGAGAACTTTTTTGTGGACCCGAAAAGCTTGCTTGCCTAAGACCTTTGTGATGAAGTGGTTCGACGTTGTGTCCGGAACAGACCAAGGAAACCGATGAAGCTGCGGGTGCGCCTCGAATACGAGACCCCCTCGTCGAATAGCGAGATCAGTTGCCTGTCGATCAGATTACGAGTCATCAGTGAGCTCCGGCAGTAATCCATGGCAAAACCAGTGTATCCCATCACCAGCTTGGTGCAGAGTGACGGGGCTGGTTTTGGCCATGTTTGATCTCCGTTAAGTGGCCTACGATTATGCCGTCGCCGAGAATCCTACAGCGATAACTACCCAAACTCTGTGGTGCCTGTTAATGGCGGTGTCGAGTACAATGCTGTCTCGATGGGTAAGTCCAGGGATGATAACAGGAGGGCTATTGCCCACCGTCGGAGTTTCGCGTCGAAATGGGGACCGGGTGGACCCCGAGAGATTAATACCCGCATGACGTATTCCGCTAGTCCCGTCCACAAAATGTGAAGGGTCTGTGGTCGGGGCGAGCCATTGTTGCTGGCAGGTGAAGATTACGTCCAAAACCTGTCATCCATCACCATTTCAATATGTCAGATGAGAGGCTATGAAAACATACTTTTTACTAGAAAAAATAAATTTTATTTTACAGATTATTAAAAAAAAATATTATTTTTCCTACATTGCCAATGACAGATAATAGTGATCATGGACCACCACTTCCGACTTTGGAAGCTCGGGTATCAATTGATACTGATGAAAAAAACAGCAGCATTAGTAGTCACTTGTTCCTTTATGTTGTCTCTAGTACTGGTATTACGACTATTACATTTCTACGTGGCCAAGACTCGACGTCGACGTAAACGGATGCAATTCCTGCCTGGTATTTTAAATATTTCAATACCATTCGTAGCAGTTTTACATGCTTTAGACGTCAGTGTTTTTGTCGTACTGTGGTACGCTGTAAGTATTGGGATGACGCTATTTAATAAGTGGTTTCTACGTGTCTGGGCTGGTAGTGGGTACCCTTTTGCTACAAGTATGACAGGTATCAATATGTTTGTCAGGTGTCTCTTATCCCGAGTTTTTAATCGCTGTTCCAGTGATAGATGCCATGGTAATGGAGCTATGATAGAATTACCTACAAGTATCGATTGGAAACTTGCAGTTCCCATTGGTGTCTGCACAGCTCTGGACATTATGCTGTCCAATATGTCGCTGTTCTACATTACAGTAACGTTTTATACGATCGTCAAGTCGGGAGGAAATGTCTGGAACTTGCTCTTTTCCATTTCTCTCGGACATCAACGTCCGTCGTGGCCGTTGGTTGCAGTCATTGTGCTGATTTCGAGTGGCATTGGACTAGCCAGTTATGGCTCCGCTCATTTTGTTCTCCATGGCTTTGTGTTAGTGCTAGCAGCGTCAGTTATTGGGACATTGCGATGGGTTCTGACCCAGTCGCTGTTGCAATCAATGGAAGACAATTATGGAGCCCCGAGGAACAAAGTACTTGCCGTGGTGTATTACGTGTCACCGGCGAGTGCACTTGGTCTGCTCCCAATCGCGCTGTTCACAGAAGCGAGTGATTACACGTCGTCACGCTTTCTGTTGGACTTGCAGCTGCTCATGATGTCGCTGTTTTTCATCTTCATTAGTGGCTGTCTGGCTTTCGTGCTAATTTTCATCGAGATTTCGCTGGTCAAGAAAACGTCGGCGTTGTCGTTAGGCATCGCTGGTAGCTTTAAGGACGTCACCCAAGTGCTGCTCGCAGTCTTCATTTTTGGTGACGAGCTCATCGCGATCAATGTCTTTGGCCTCGTTGTTGCCACGTGCGGTGTGCTTTTTTACACCTTTACCCACTCGAAGCAGAGGTGACTGTAGAAATGGCAAAGTGCAGGGATATCGAACCGTTCCAACCTCTAGTTCGGACGTATAGGTCTCCAGTCACTGGAAAATATTTACATGAAGAACAAGAGAGGTATCGCAGCAACAATAGAAAGCTGAACTCGGGTGTCTGGCGCAGAGCTCATGCGACGAGAAAGTAAAGAGTGCTGTAACACTTCAGCTGCATTGTTCGTGAACTAAGTAAATCATAGAAGTTGAACAAAGGGATTTGGGCTCCGTTTACAGCTTACTACTGTTGGTCCATTTAGGCTCCGTACAGCAAACTACTGCTGACCCATTCACGCGACAACAGGTGGAACATACACACGCAAACGCCCATCGCGGCAGGCGCTAAAAACACGACCAGTTTGGCTTGCAAGTGCGATACCGCGTACTGCATCATAATGCGGGCCGGTTAGCTCATTGGAAACGTAGGGTTTATTGCCAAGGTTGCTCCAGTTGCAGCATACACCATCGCCATGAGCGGTCCACACACTACTCGCAGAAACTGGGTCATTTGCAAGTGAGCCCGAGACTGAAATGCTATGGATTGGCGATGAGCTTCGAGATAAAGCGTGCAACGGTGCACTGTATGTTGCCAACGAGGTGGTCAGAAACTGCTCGGAAATTGTATACCACCCCGACTTTAGCATAGTAAACGTACCTTGTACGACGTAAATCCCATGCAGTCAGAACACCGTCCTCACTTCCAGTGAATAGCATCGGCAATGAAGCAGTTGAGGTGCTAGCAGCGCATGAGATAATAGAGCCGGCAATTCCATCAACGTTAAGCACCTGACCAAGGACAATAACTGATCAGTCTTTCGCCTACCAACATCCTCGCTTCATACAAAACGTACAGCTTCGCGGGCACGGACGTCCACACCCAGCGTTTCTCCGTTGTCAAGCCCAGCAAAAAACACCTTTCCATCCGTCTCAACCTCGTTCTCATTGAGACACGGTGAGTAGTTGCCTTCCACTAGGAGCTGCGCAGTGTCGTCCATAACCGACAAACAATGCACTGGACTATGATCATCGTTAGACCACTTGGCAACAACATCTTGCGTCCCGCAATTCCATAGCTGAATAAGTCCATCGGTTCCACATGCTACAATAGATTTCAACAAGACACATGGTCATACCTTCTGGCCACAAAGTAAGAAAACAACCAAAACAATATCTTACAAAGCACATTCCTCCCTCTTCCAACGATCGAAACGTCCTCGACTCCACCTCGATGTCCCTTCATCACTGCAGCACAACGTCCATAGACACTAAAAATCCTCAATGTAAAATCTAGCGAGCCCGTAAGCACAACCTGTGAGCTAGGAAAGAAGCGAACACAGGTGACATCCGCCACATGGCCTAGCAATGGCAGCATCTGCGTCTTGTTCTGGCTGTCCCAGAGCATACATACACCATTTGAGCCTCCAAGCACCACGAATCTCTCATCCTTACACACATCGATGGAGTACAATTGCAATAGCGGTGATAGTGGCGTCACAACAGCCTCCGAGCAGCCAAGAACGGACACATCTACCGTTTCTTTAGGAGCTTGGAACACTGTGCGCAGCTGCTTCGTAGGTGACTTGGACGACTTTAAATCCACTTGAATATCAATCCTCAAGTCTCTTTTGTCCATTATTTGCACCAAAGACGGCTCTACAGGGGCTTGTATAGACGTCGATAGAGGCAATTGATACTGATGGCTTGGAGTCGTGTGCACTTCAGCAATTATACGCTCGTTCTGAGCACGTTCTTGAGCTTCTGGAGTGGAAATTTGGACAGTACGTTCATAAACATCTAACCAGCAAGATTCTTCAGCTTTTTCCCAGTCTGGTTCGATCTGCATGTACATCTGCGCATCCAATGACGACGTCTCCATGACGACGTTTATCCTGTATTGATTGGGATAAACGTTTTGGATTCAACGTGATTGGTTAAAATGTAGATGGCTACATTTGATAAAGTTCAGCCTACTATATACACATCAAATCTGAAAATTTTCTGAGTCTGCTGACTGTCGTTAGAACGTAACTTGAAGTGGACAGCATCCGCTTTTCTACACATTTCCCACTGCTTTTATTGCACAGATTAAGTTTCACAGGTCAAATGAACATTAATACAAAAACCAAGTCAAAAGTAGCTGATGTCAACCACATATGACAAAGTATTCAGTATTGAAATATGGCAAAACAAAAACACTACGACTGTCCATAAACTGCACACTTCAATCCACGATTTTCATTGGTCAAAAAACCGCTCCGAATTCTTCAAAGAACAACACAAAAGAGCCTGAAGGTGGAAGCGGTAGACGCAGTGTTTGGCAGTGCGTCCTTCACGCCCGAGCTGCAGTCGATCGCTCTTAATACGAGCATTAAACAGGTAAGACGCTCTTTTTCTCTAGTCCCGTTTTTCCGGTCCTTTACCGCTGCATCTTTGCATCAAACGTCTTATTTAAAATATTGCCTCTAATTAACGTGATTTTGGCTATTATTAGGGTAATTTTTTGGCTTTTTCGCTATAAATTTGAACTGTGAAACCCTAAAATACAAGTTCTGTGGACCTTGATACCAAGTCATTGATATTTCAATACCAAGGAAGGAAAAATGCAGTTTTTTAAGCAATTGACCGACCCAGCATTGAAACGGTTGTATAAATTCGTACTTGAACGAATGATCGGTCGTTTCTTGGCTGCCGATGAGCTGAATCTGGATCAATTGGACGTACATCTTCGGTCTGGACGTCTCGAGCTTTGTGATTTATTGCTAAATGCTGACGTGCTCAATGTAGAGCTTTGTGAGGCTCAGAAACTACCGTTCAAGGTGAAAAAAGGTTATCTGGGCTCCGTTCGGGTGGCTATTTCCTACGCCAATATTATGAGCGAGAGTTGCTTGATGGAGATTGATGATATTGAGATCGTTCTGGTGCCATTGGATAAGGACGAGATGCAGCAGTTTAGACGAAGCGAGACAACAGCTAAAGATGAAGCACAACAAGAGCAGAAGGACAGTGGACAGAAGAAAAAATCAATGATGCATGAGCCAGTCGATGAGATCTCACAGGAAGGACTTGACTTTGTAGCCAGTTGGATTGAACAAGTCACGTCTAAGATTAAAGTCACTTTGTCGAACATTTGTCTGCGACTGGAGACGGGAGAAACACATAACGGACGAGACGTTGCATTGCTGTGTAAATTGGAGTGGGCACAGTTTATGGACGAGTCCGCATCGGAACTACAGAGCGTCTACGGACGAAGTAGTGTGGACCAGCCGGCCGGCCCACAGACGACGGATGGCTGGACGCAGTCTTCCATGGCAGCGAGCACGCTGTTTGGTATATCCCAAAAGGGCATCAAGTTCCGTGGAATCAGTATGGATTTGCACTTGAGCAGCGAAGAAGAAAACGGCGAAGAGTACTGGAACGAGCGTCGCCGTAATGAATACAGCGACATGGTGCTGCATCCCTTCCTCGCAAGTGACCCGAGCAATCAGTGTTATATACAAGTGAAACTTTCTCATTACGAGGCATTGGAGGCACCAGCAATGGATGCAGATGTTTTTTTTCGCTCTATTCGGATTGTGTTGCAGCCTCAGTATTTCCCGGAACTGGGAAAAATCGTGGATGCCTTTTCGACGGATCCCACCAAGCTACATACGCACCATTTCGAAGATCGATATGCATCGGCAGCAATGTTCCAGTCTATTTGTGACGATCAACCTGGATGGATGACCGGAAGTGAAGATGGCGAGGTCGATGCGACGGGAGGAGCGTTAAACTTATCGTTTAAGGAGTTTCAGCGCATTGAGCACCTGCTCTTACAATATCGGCAAACGCAGGATGAACTACAATTTGCGCGTCGCAGTAGAAGTTCATCTGAAGCGAAAATGGTACCTGCAGAAGGAAATATACCTTTTAAGACACAAAAGCTGTCTGTCGCAGATAGCGTTGAGAGCATTGGATTGTCAGATGTCGAAAATGAGGATGATGGATTTTTTGAGTGTGATTCGGGGATCGCTAGTTCGTTCGCACCAGGTGCATCGTTTGAAAGCATGAGTGCAATGGGCCAGTCTATGTATGCGTCGGCTCGTTATGGCTTCGACGATGGTGAAAAATGCGAGGACCGAAGTCATTTATCATGGTCAACAGCAGCAGCAGCACAGGACCGAGCGGCACGGCGTGTGCAGTCACGGATAAAAATTCATTTGCTTGAGTGCGAATGCGTCTTCCTGTACGATGACCTACCTGATGATGGTGATGAAGAAGATAAAGTAAACGGAGATGCACAAGGTAAGCAGGACGACGAGGGCTTAATGACCGAGAGCTGTACTCTCCGTGCCCCTGTCAGACCGAAAAAGGCCTTACCTTCTGTAGGCGGACTCGAGCGCTTGGAGCTTTCTTTCAAGGATGTTATTTTTTCAAGCTTGGCGTACTCACGGTACTCATTACTCGCATTTACGATTGGAAAGCTCACGATTACGGAAAAGACGCTTCCTCGAATGTCAGTAGACACTGAAGAGGATGAAGCAGCAATGCTGTCTGCATGCGTTTTGAAGTGTGTTGATATATCTCCAGTTTCCGGGCGGAGAGCGAATTTGTCATCAAATTTGTCTGCTCAGGTACGAATCGATTTTGAATTGGAGGACGAAATGCCGGCAGCGCTTGCATCTCTTGGGGTGCATGTAAACGTTCAGCCTGTTGTCGTAGAATGGGATATGTATCTGTTAGATAGAGCGCATCGCTTGTTAGCCTTACTGGAAGATGATACACCGGTATCAAAGCGAAAAGCGGCTTTAGCAGTGGATTCGACAAATGGAGTTCGGGAGCTTGCAAAATCTATCGACATGACGACGGAATGCATGCAGGTGACGCTGCGGTTTCCTATGGTTAACAGCGACCTTATTCGGTTTGGCCCGTCCTCAAAGCGGGGACTGTGCGAAGATAGGCTACTGATGACTTTAGAAGACGTGAAGGTTGGGTCATACTCTCCACGCACTAAGGATGGGATTGACGAGGCCGCTGAACCAGGCGCACCGATACCACCCCTGCATAGGAAAGGGTGCGCGCTTCCGTGGTTGTCAGATTTTGAGGTTTCTTTCGACAACGCGAAAGTGTCGTTGTTGACTCCTGAAAATGGTGACCAGCGGAGTTCCTGCCTGGAAAAATTCGTGCTTGTTACTGCTTGTAGCGATGAACGCTCAGGAGACGTTTGTACGCTCCGTTTGCGTCTTCAAGTGCCATCTCGTGAAGAAATGGAAGATGCTATTACTAGCAAGCAGAACCTATCTCACGATTCTAGTCAAAGCCCTGATGCTGCATCGAGCAACTTACCTGACGACGTAAGTGGCGATGACAACGACGGTGGAAGAGTGGGGCTGAACGGTTGGAGCCTGGATGCTTTCGGGCGTACAGAGTCCTACGAAAGTGCAGCAGCAGCGGCTTCACTTTATTCGGTGAAAATTGGTTTGCCTTGTGCCAACGCAACCTTTTCCAAGTCTTCGCTGAATCGATTGATGGTGCTGTTTGACGCGCTTTTGATGATCAATCCTATTGATGTCGACAGCTACAATCATATGCTCGCTACGGCTGCGCTTAAATATCGATTGATGCCCAGCTACATGAGCATGAAACTCACACTACGCGAAGGAACTGTCAGCATATGTGACTACGTTACATTGCCTTCATCGCTGTTTGCTCATGCTCCAACCCCGTCTGGAAAAAATGAGAGCGAACATAAGGCGCTAGATGAACTTGAGTCTGACAAAGCTCTGTTCACGTATCATTTCGCGTTTGAGACTCTCCAGGTATTTCAGGTATCACAGTGGATGGGACAATTGGTCTCTCGTGTCCACGTACTAGCACACAATACTACTTTGCTGGAAGAAGATGGTCGCACAAACGCTGTTGTGCCAATAATTTATAGGACACCTTTTGGAGTATCGAAAGCACCTATCTTGTTCATGGGTGTCGACATCGCTGACCAAACTAACGAGATGCGCGAGATGAAAGTGGAATTACATCTGTCGCATCTCAGTTTACGCTACGACGTACGCTCGAAATGGCTACTTCAAATGCTGAATATGATGCTGATGGAATACCCGACCCCAATTATTCCGCTGGACTCGGTGAGCATGTCAGATGAAGAAGGTACGAAGCTCTCTGAAACTATCAAGGGCGGAGGCAGCTACGACGCTGAACCTCTGGCAATGGCCACGAAAACTGTTTTTACAAATCTTTTCGTCAATTTTTACGACGTCATAGTCGATTACGCGCCTTTGACCTTGACATCACGCATGATTCTCGTGTTGGGTAAGGTCAATGTGTCTTCCAACGTTGTCACGGGTGCTGTCATGCAAGGATACAAAATTTCCGTCGGCGACTTGGAGCTGTTTCTAACGCAAGCACGTGCAGGCTACGATGACATCGATGACGTTCTTCTGGGCAAAGATCTTTTTCTCCGTGGCAGCTCTAAAGTTTCAAAGAAGAAGTCACTTAAGTTTGCTGACACGTATGCTGGAGGAGGAGGCGGTAGTCTGGATGCAGTATACCCTTCCTTGCTTACGTTTCTGGAAAAGTTTGGCTTCTTGCAGATTGTTACGATGGATTTTGTGGATGTTTTCCTACGCGTGCAGGTGCCACCTTCTACGCTTAATGTTTCATCTGTATCCCGTGGCCAGCGTGAAGAAAAAGTGTCAGCTCCATCAGTGTCACCGGAGCTGTCAGTGGAACTGAATTTAGGCACGGCCAATGTTTATGCGTGCTTTGATTCTTTTAACACATTGATTAAGTTGCTTTTGGTATGGACGGATCAGCTTGCATCCGAACAGGAGCCACGTGATACTACTGCATACGTGGGTCTGGATGGGGTGAGCGATCCATCCAGTGTGTCAGTTGTCACGAATATAACCTCCGCACCTGCAAATAGTTTGCGACCGATGAGTATTCCTTCATCTGATTTTGCGCAGGGAGTAGCTGATATATCTAGCACTAGCAGCGTACGAAGTGAACGGCTTTCCGTCGGTAACAAAGGCGATTCTAGCCGAGGCTCTATCAACGTCCTAGAGCAAATCGATGAAGACGCTTTCGGTGGCGGGAAGAAGATTTTTCCTGGGAAAGCTGTTGCAACTGATACTGAAGCCCGCTTGCTGCGCACTCGAATGGATTTGATTCAAAAGGAGAAGGATCGTATGGTTCATGGCCTCGATCGTGACGACCAGTTATCAGCGTCAGAGTTACGATTAAAGCATCAGCAAGAGGAGAGGCGGAAATATTCAAAACCTGTTCGTATTAACGAGCTAGTCATCGAAGACTATTATTCCGAGGTGAGATCGTTCGAGGGACACGAGTCTGCAGGAGCATTTCTAATGGGACCCGAGCCAAACAGTGGTCGCTCACCCCAAGGGGCTACACCTGAAGATGACCCTTGGTTTTCTCCGGCCACTGGAAGCTCATTAAATGCCTCGATGCAAATGGGTTCCTCTCATGAGAGAGAAAAAGTGTTATACAACGAGCACAATGCGCGGTGGCTTGCACGTGATGCAACCACTGGTATTGTAGGCGAAGATGAAAGCGCTTCTACAGGCGAAGCATCTGGAGAAAAAATTTCTTTGTTTGAGCCAGTGGAAGAGAAGCCTCCTGTTCCATTTCCTGTACAGCCAATGAGCTCTCCAGCGAGTGTTGAGCAAGCAAACGCGAGCTACAATGATGCGTACGCGTTTAATGACGATAATGATGGTGACGGTGTTGACGTAAATGCCGCGTTCCCGGCTGCGTCGAAGAACTGGTGGGGTATGCAGAACGGGCTTGACGAAGTGGAGCTTAGTGATTTACAAACAGAGGGAACTGCATCTTCATTCTCGCACCAAATGGACCTCCTGGAGAGCAAAAGTATGGCTCGTCAGTCTTCCGGTGAAGTAGACGGTGAGGAAGTGCACGGTGCAAACAGCAACGACATTTTCCCCAATGGCATGTCCATGTCAATTGTCGACGTCGGTGAGGACGAAGGCAAAGAGATCGAACTCGAGTTTGCTCTCGACAGTGACCTTCAGTCGCGGTTCAATAGACTGCTTGACATGGAATCGAACAGCGGCCATGAAGTTCAGGATATGGACGGCGATTATGGCGAAAGTGATACGGACGAGTTAGCGTGTAGACAACAGAGCAGAGAGGAACAGCGGCGCAACCACTCCGTGACGTCGTCTCCACGTGCCGTTCCGAAACGACCAGCATCGTTTTTGTCAACTAGTAGCCACGCTGGTGCTCCTTCTTCGTCTTTTGGAATGCCGACGGTCTCTCCATCGGATGAGCCTACGGCACGCTGGTTCTACGATGACCTGCGGTCTGATGATGGTGGTCCCCGCGTGACGGGTCTGCCATCGCGAATTTATCCGCATCATGTAGAAATACCGATTGGTGGCTCTGCGACATCTCTATCATTTGGTGAAAAAGAATGCGAAGCTGCCATAAGATCCATCACACGAGAAAATGCAGTTCGGAAAGTGGTGGCGCCGCCCCCGATCGTTATACAGCACGTGCTGCTGCGTAACTTTAATATTTGCATGCGGTTCTTCGGTGGCCACGACTGGACACGCGATGCCAGTGAAGCTGTAAGACTCCACCCTCCAAAGGATACCGATATGCCCACTGAGGATATGCAGCAACCGGACAGTGCTACCACAAAGAAAGAGAAATTGCTGGATGTTCTGTATGACAATTACGTTCCTTCAGATGGTGGTGACCTCTTTGGAAACGATAGCAGCTCACCTCTATTTACCAGCGCAAAAAGCGCACCCGCTGCATCCTTTATGAAACGAGATCCAGCTACACGATCAATGCGGGCTGCGTCAATTGATTGCATGCCTGCATCGCGAAAGCGTTCGTTAAAGAATAGTGGTCGCAAAACAGAAGAAATGCTCGAGTTAGTGGCGACACGGATTCAATTGCGTCTGGACATATTCGATAATGCCAAGGACCAATCACTGGCATCTCACATGGTGCTCGCACTAGGGGATGTGGAATTGCTGGATTACATTTCAACATCGCAGATCCGCAAGATCATGTGCTACTGGAAGTCTGAGGCGACGCACCCGCGCGAAAGTGGCAGCTCAATGGCGCGATTGCAGTTGACGACAGTCCGACCAGGTGCTAACTTGTGCGAAGAACACCGTCTAAAGGCTCGGTTGCTGCCATTGCGCATTAATCTTGATCAGGAGGTTGTAAAGTTTCTGCGGCAGTTCGTGCCTCTTGAGGATCCACCACCGGCGCCAAAGATACGTTCTACAATGTACCAGATTGACGATACGGATGATGTTGAATCAGCGATGCATGAAGGTGGGATGGAGATGAAACCTATTGGTGAGACTATACCTGCACTGGAGGCGGATGTTAGTTTAGGTGCTTGGTTTTTCCAGAGCATTGACATCAAGCCGTGCAAAATTAAGATTGATTACCGGCCTAATCATGTCGACTACGCGGCGCTTCGTGCCGGTGACTATCTAGAAGTGATTAACCTTTTCGTGCTTGAGGATATGGAACTAGTGCTCCGACGAGTGCAAATGAGTGGACTGGATGGATGGGCTGCTCTGAGCGAAAGTGTACTATTGTCATGGGTACAAGACATTTCAAGGCACCAGATTCACAAGTGCGTTGCGAGTGTGTCGATGCCTCCTCTACGTCCATTTGTAAACATTGGCGCAGGCGCCGCAAACTTGATTTTGCTTCCAATGGAGCACTATGGGCGTGATCGGCGACTTGTGCGTGGAATCAAAAAGGGTGCATCCAGTTTTCTCAAGTCTGTGACAATCGAGACACTCAACACTGCTTCAAAAATGGCTCAGGGCACTCAAGCATTACTAGAACATGCAGATGATGTCGTGTCGTCATCGTCAGCGCTGCGTCGTAAACGACTGAAATACCGACAAGCTGGTAGTCGAATTGCTCGGAATTCTCGACGGATGGGTGGTGGTGGTATTCGCAATGCTCAGGATACGGGTGGTGGTATTGGAGGCCGTCAATATTTGACTCAGCAACCAGCGACTGCCGCAGAGGGGTTTGGCCAAGCTTACGACTCACTTGCACGTGAGTTTCATGTAGCAGCCAAGACTATTGTGGCTGTACCGCTTGTCGAGTACAAGAAAACTGGTTCTCAAGGTTACGTGCGATCAGTTATTCGTGCTGTTCCGGTGGCAGTGTTACGTCCTATGATTGGTGCATCTGAGGCTGTAGCCAAAGCATTAATTGGCGTACGCAATGCTGTGGATCCAGAACTTAAAGAAGACATTGAGAATAAGTTTAAGGACTTTCGAACAAGTTAAGACGATGATAATCGAAGCAGAAGTCGACGTTGGCAGTTTATTCTCGAAGAAAAAATAAAAAACCAAAATTTCGTTTGTTTTTATTCGATATAAGATTGTCGAATTGTTGAAAAAAAAGTGTTTCTACAAATTAAAGCAAGTATTCTCCAATTGTTTGGACAATTAGGATGGATGGATAAATCCATCCTATACTTGATCACTTACCGTAACAGATTCGATAGTTTGTTATTCAACTGATTTTTAGGTTCGCATGTGTCCTACTCGCAAGTTGTTGTACTCAATTATCATTGGTCCTACTACACCACATGACCTGAAGCTTCCCTTTTTTTGTCACTCAAACAAGAATTGGTGCGCAACAGCTGGAATCACTTGCCCTCAGTATGTGCCAGACGATCGATACGAGGACTGACTACTTTCTATTTCCCACTCATTCCTTCTTTTTCCTTGTGAAATACTCATGAAGTCCGTGGCTGATGTGTCTACGGATGATCTCGTGAACAGTCTTCTTCAATCTGTTACACCTGATACTACAACAAATGGTCCTAATTCAATCACAAAACCTATCGAATCAAAATCAACGGCGTCGAGTTCTTCTTCATCAGGAAGTTTACAGAGTCCAAATCCGTCAATTTTACCAGACAATTCAGCTTTATCTCCAGTCACAAGCGCTCCTTCATCCAGTCCAGCACCTGTGACTCCTCCAACGGCAAAAGATGTGACCCCTGACAAGGTCATAGGAAGTACAAATACGGACAAAGATGGCAATGGGACGCTTCTGTCTATTGGAATTACCATGGGTGTCTTATTCTTTGTGATTGCTGCATTGTTTTGTCTACGATTGCAACGAAAACGACCTCAAAAGAAACGCACTTCTGTCAGTCCTCCTCCTCTGGGCGTTGCTTCAATGACCGTCCCTGTTCATCGAGGATTCAAGAATGAACAAGACCTTGGAATGCCAGAAATGTCCATTGAACTCTCTCCCGGCGAGTTGGGACTTTCAAAAGGGTTTGACATGAGTTATGTGTCATCGACACGAACAAGTGGAGCTAGTAATCAACAATTTGACAATAGCAATGCCAGCAGCACGGACAGTAGTGTGTTTAACACGAGAGGAGGGTTGAGTCCTACTACTTTCAGTAACCGGAAGATGAACAGCTACTCGTACCATTATCGTGAATCCGAAGAGAATGGCAATCCAAATGTAAATCCTCAGCTTGCAACGAGTACGATGTTTCATCTGACGGGCTTAATTGGCAATGGCCACGCTAGTGGTCGAGGCAATCACGCCAATTCGTTGCGTATTCCTGCAAGCCGTAAATTATCTGCTCCGGATGAATACGCAGAACTTGCGACGGCTACCAATGCACATGCAGAGATGGAGATGAGCTCACACATTCAATCACCCAAGCAAGATGCAGGCTTTACACAGAGTACTACGAGTCAGGATGATATGGACATAAGTATGGGACCTGATGACAACCGCAGCTTTTTGGCACCTCTCCTGACTCATGCGGTACCGGCTCCGACTCGTGCGATACCGGCTCCGACACGCTCAAAGCCGATGGCGGCTCGTGCGTCTGAAGAGAGCATGGGACCGGACTCACCAGCCAAGTTGTCGACTTTGCTGCGAAGTTCTGACGACGACCCAAACGCCATGTCGACTGCTTCGTTCTTGTCCGAGTCATCAATCTCGTCCGTGTCTACGAGAGACAGCTTTGCTACAAGCGCGCATGGGTCAGCATACGTGTCGTCGATTCCTTTATTGCAGCAATCATCCAAGACTGACATTAGCGGTTACGCGGATCTTTCGTCCGACCGTGCGTCGATGGGGTCTTTGAACACGAACGCTAACATGGCGCGTCCAGGTTCGCTCATTGCATTAAACCCGGAAAAAGCCAAAGGAAGTAGCAGTGAGATTGCCATTTAGAAAAAACAAAAGAATGAAGAGCGATCGATCGGATGGATGTATTTGCAGTGCGCTGGATGGATGTATTTGCAGTGCGCTGGATGGATGAATGAATGGATGGATGAATGAATGGATTGATGGATGTAGTTTTTTGGTCAAGCGGCAAGTAGCAGCGCGATTTCTCGTTTTGGACAAGGTGGTTTTGAAGGAAGAATGGACAGTAGGTATGAAGCAAAAGACAAGGACGGATTGTCGAGCATCATAAACAAGTGTTATTCAAGCACAGGGTTCCTCTTTATTGTCATGTTGTTTCATTTGTCTGTCACCTTTACATGTCAAGTGTAAACGACCACGAGAGAGCAGTACTATCCCCTCCTCCCTCCCTCCCTCCTTAGTTCACGTCCGCAGGACGCAAGAATTGCTCACGAGTCTCGTCCGAGTTTTCTGGATTGTTGTAATCCACATGAGCAAAAAAATGCTGCTTGTGCTTACGTGTGCGACGCAAATGACCAGGTTGGAGATAATACTGATCCGGTTCATCCGGTTTCGTAGCCAAACTACCAACATTATAACCACGTGAACGATAGAGCGTCTTGTTTGGATAATATGGCACATGGTCCCCCAAATGAGTAGTAAATGGTGCATCCGAATGAGCCACTGTCTCTGTTTTTTCCCAATTATGAGGATCTTGACCTCCTTCATTCGGTGGTGAATCCGTTACATGATGCATCCATAAATGCCACTCGGGTGGAACAAGTGTGCCTTCCACTTCGTCAAATGTATCCACTTTATATTCCGTCCATCGATGTTGTCCATACACTTCCGTTGGATCTTCGTAATACTTGAATCCATTCGCATCTTTGCCCACCAATCGTCCAAATTTCACATCCCCGACATTGTAAAGTTTCCAAAGCGTTTGTTGCCATCCAAAACGTTTGTTTGCTTCCAGATATTTTTGAAACACGGTAAAGAAGGAACGCGTTTGGAGAACGTGACGCTGGACGACGATGATAGGGGCTTTACCAATGAGAAGAGCTTGTCGACTGTGAAATAGGACCATCTTATGATACTGAGGAGAGAGAGACAGAGAGCTCCTTATAGAGCCGTAGATTTAATTACGGAGATGAAGTGGACCACGTGAAGTAGAAGAAAAATAGTGTGGTGTGGTACATTATTATCGTTATACTAGTACCTTGTCAGTCAAGCAAGTCGATATGGGTGACAAGAATTTGTTTGATAATTTCGACAACATCTCGTGGCATGGTGGACTCTTGAGTAACTCCGGCTTTTAGCAATGACTCCAATAGTTCCAATAGATCCCGGTTGCGATACAATTTTACTTGAAAATAGAGAGAAGAGTCCAGCACTCGTTGCAACAATTTCATAAAGTAAAAACGAGTCATATCGTCTTGTGGAAGATCTGTCGATTCCCGAATGATAAGATCAATGAGCACTTTATAGTCATTTGGAAACACCAATTCCGAAGCTGTTTCATCTGCCAGAATATCGCCAAACAACTACACAATACAACAAAAACAATTAAAATATAAAACAACGACACAGCGTCCATCAATCCAATCTCACTCAAGTCTTACCTGCAGAGTATTCCAAAGATGTATCGTCCTTTCCGTCGGACATGGACACCCACACGAGTTAATGACGTGCAAGAGTGCACCACTCAAATGTTCCCTTCCTTCCTTCATCTCCCTCAAAACTTGTCTCACCAAGACAGAATGGCCACAAGCTTTCTCATGAGAATGAAAGAGACCCAGACATATTGTTGTCGCAGCAAAGACTTTGGTCGAACACGCCGACAGAAGTCGCAACATCTTGATCAGCATGCCTGTATACATGCTATTCTGGAAAACTTGGCTACACACGTCACTTTTTGTAGCCAACAAGACTCGTTCCAGGAATCCAAACCATGTAAACAGTTGATCCGCTTGTATCGTGTCCATGGCGTTTAATTCTTCAAGTGCTTGACAGGTGGAGCTTACAATTGCACGAAGTTTATGTGTCTCTTGAGTATGAAGTTTCACAAGTTGATCTGATTCGGATTCCGTGTCACAATAGACACAAAGTAGCTCTGCAGCATGAATACGAAGCCATAATGGAGCAAAGACAACGTCCAGTACAAGTGTCCAAAGATTGTGAAAGAGTTCAGCAGAGAGAGGAGACCAGACGTTGACAGAAGAGGAAGTAGCGCTAGCAGACTTAATAATACGATTGTCAGTGGTAGAATGTACGTACAACTGACGCTCAATACGTGCGAGCAGCTCCAAGTGCTCGCTCTGGTCGACGGACGAGTCGACGAAGCCCATTGTACATGTAAATAGAGACGTTTTGTGTGGTGCACCTGAAGTTGACGTACCATCCTCCAATATATGAATCTGTGATGGATATCTTCGGTGCTATAAGTACGACTTTAAGTTTTTAATTCTTCGGCTTGGTGTAATAATGACACTCCAGTATCCGGAGCTACCTATACAAGAACACTCGAATGCATTCTGGTGTAATCCAAAGATTGTACCACGGCTTGCAGTGCTGGTTCTCAATGCATCTCATGATTCATGGTGCGTGGCAAAGAACGATGTGGGATTCGACAGTTCGGAGCTGTTTTGGAACTTGTGGACCCATGCGTCACTTACAGTTTGTGCTGACGGTGGCGCCAATCGTCTGTACGATCGTAGCGTAGAAATTCAAGCACAGGATATTGTCACACCACACTATATCAAAGGTGACTTGGATTCGCTTCGTGATGATGTACGTGACTTTTACGCTGCTAAGGGGACAACAGTTTTGAAGGATCCGGATCAGGACACGAACGACTTGGACAAGTGTTTGCAACTGATCTATCAAGTGCAGGAAGAGCACGATACAGAGGGAAATAAGAACAGACAGTTTTCCGTCATGATTTTTGGTGCTATGGGTGGACGTTTTGATCAGGAAATGCAGAACATCAATGCATTGTTTCGTTGGAGAGACAAGTTTGAGCAGATGGTGTTGCTGGCAAATGAGACGACGGTTCGGTTGTTAATGCCGGCGATTCGGCATGTGATCATACCTAATTTTAACTTTGAAACACGCACGTGCGGCTTGATTCCAATAGCAGGAACGTGCAAGGAGACAACAACGTCGGGATTAAAGTGGAATCTGAGTCCGGGGATGGAAACAGGTTTTGGTGGACTTATTAGTAGCTCAAATCACATGGAAGATTCAAGTGAGCAAGTGGAGGTTGTGACATCGCATCCATTGATTTGGACGACGGAGCTGAAAAAGTAGATCGAGTGGAGCTAAGGAGGGACTAAAGAAGTAGATCGAGTGGCTTTAATTTGACTCGAGGGTATCACATGAACGATGAATTACTTACATCTTTTCATACAAAACATTTATGACCTTGACGACGGTCGCAATGTAAATTATGAGTAAATTACAGAGACTACCGGTATTATCGATTGATATCGGTCTGATACACAACCTGCACCTTATACTAGGGTCTACTCCTTATATTACTCTCTCAACCCTATTTTCGCGATAAAACTGGCATTTTCGCACAGAAAACAGACATTAAGAAATGACTGGAGCACGTTACACGTTCACTTGGAATGGTCAATCTTAATATTATCATTCTGCCTTTAGCAGCGTAGTACAAAGAAGCATAAGAATTTATATGGGAATGCAATGACGATCTAACCTTTCATTTTCAGACTAGAGTTTCTGAATCCAGGGGGTAGTAGCCCAGGTTGATGAGAATTATACTCTGAGCATTCATACTAAGTCATCAACTGCTAGCTAAAAGTACATTTCATAATGTGGTGAGGAAAGGAATGATGAGTTTTTATTTTCTGTCAACCATCTTTCGGGGCTGATATTCCAAGTATTTGATGCATAACTAGAACTACTGACCTTTCCTCCATGCAAATACATTGTTTTACTACAATGCAAACCATTCCTAAGCAAGGTCCTAATGTCTACTATACAATACCATCCTTTTGAAACTGCTTTAGCACGGCAGATCTACTGCCTTTTGCACGTTGATACGGTCTAGACGACAGCAACCCAGTACTTGCTCTGGAAGTTCGTCTTCTGCTTCTCCTTGGATCACAAAAGCTAGATCAATCACCAAACGTGACGTCTTGTCGATCAGGGAGTGAATGCCTCGACGTGCAATGTACGAGAAAGCGTGAATGTCTATGACAATCTCAGTGCACTCGTCTTGGAAATGGTAGATACGATGCTGTGGCCGTGTTAGCACAGGCGTTGCATTGTGGCTCATTAGTAACTTCTTGCTCATTCCAGTGATGCCACACTCTTCTTGGTTCATCACTTGTGCAATGACCTTGAAGCGATCGGTTAATGACGTGTCGTTGCCAGCTTCGAGGAAGCGTTTGAGCAGCTTGAGTGTCGTTGTCGTGGGGTTCTTCAATTCCTGCATACCCACCACACAAGGTCAAAGTTAGTATCTCGGTGTGGATACTTCCGGTAGTGTTGACAGCGACTCACCTCGAAAATTTCGTCTGGGATCTTCCAGTATAGAGCTAAGCTGTAGCCTGGGCCATCGTACGAGCTATCTCCCCATACACTTGGTCCATATGACGGAAGCTGAGGACATAAAGGCAGTGTCAGAATCGTTGGTCCGTCCAATGACATATACACTTGACTTTACCTGAGCATTGATGACAAAGAGCCGTCTATTTTCATGCTCTGGAGGAAATTCAACGCGCTCAGAGATCAGATCCAGCTTGCTATCGGTTCGAACGAAGTCAGCTCCGATAAACTCGAAGAGTGCTGCCTTTGAAGGCTGCAAGACAAGTACAAATACAATGCGTTAACACAGTATTCAACGCTGCAGGAAGTGCTACGCTTCAAACCAAGTCGTACCTCTTTCTTCCGTGACTTCTTGTAGTCAGAGCTCCGAACTGCAAAGGCTTCAGCTCGGGTTGACGTCCATGAATGCTCCACGTTACTTGATCGCCCGTCTGCTTGCATATCGGATTGAGTCATGGTGCTGCCCATAGGTATCTTCGCAAGACTTCGATTGTCAGCACCGCTGGAGCGCTGGTGTGGTTCATCAGTAGATCCGTCCATACAATCGTTTGCTCCTCGATCCGAGCCCGCTGGCATCACCTTGTGTTGGCAACATTTTGCTGGATCACTACACTGTGCGACGTCAGTCCCATGTCGTGTTTTCTCCATATTACCATTCAAGTCTCCATAGCTTCCATGTCGCTGCTGACGCAGTGCCCTCGGGTTGTATACGTTGCGCACAAACATGCCCGACACGGTAAAGCAAATGGCCACTTTCCACAGCACGTGCTCGCTAGCAAGGAAATGGAGTGCTACAATGTTCAGCATGAAGCCGACAATGAGGCATTGCTTGGCTCCATCAACATGAATGTGAAGATGCCAGCTCGAAGCACCACCGTCGAGGTCCGAGGAAAACTGCGTCACGATGCGAGGAGGAATATTTCGCTTCACGTACGACGATGGGGCAGCATCGTTCAATACCTGGGTGGTTTGTCTATCTTCAACAGGGCCATGACGGTCGGGAATAGCTCGTCCAAGAACTGGGGGTGGCGAGTCGTGGCCACTATCAGCTGCTTCGTCAGGACCACCTTCCGAGTCATGAGCCTGCACTACTTCCGCCTCCATTTGCTTCTGGAGTAGCCGCTGCCGATAGAGCTGCTGATGTGAACGTACTGGTGCGCCACTACTAGCTTTCCCATTTTGAGCATCCTTTCGGTTGATGACATCGGCTATCGCAGATGTCCAGAGATTAAAATCGGTTTCCGTGTCCGCGCACAGCTGAAGGATGGCAAAGAAGTGCGTCGCAGTATTGTCAGTCTCAAGTATGAGTACAAGAAATCTCTTGTCGTACCTTGTATTTGACGCCGCGCTTCGAGTCGATATCGTGCAGAGACAATGTGGAAGCCTGAAAGAAATACTGTGTCGGCGCATTCCTTGCTAGAGTCTTCTCGAAAAGCAATGACACGTTGTCCATGTTTAAGTCCAAGGCACCGCGATACCAGGGATGGGCCTCGTTCAGATACAGTACAGTCTGTTGCTGCTGCTCTTGAGATTGGTCCTGCTCTTGCTGTTGCCCAGAAGTAATTGGTTCGTCGATAACTGTGGTATTTCGGACAGCCAATTCTGCTTCTTTTGCTTCATCAGTCGATGTACTTACGCAGCCAAAGATGTCATTATTGTCATCCTCGCCGATGCTACTACCGGTAGAAGATGGAACGGTCGTCGTTGATCCAATTGATTGCGTTTTCGGCTCGGAAGATGGGTCGCTAGAGGCAGCAGTCGTACATTTACCTGGTGGAAGGGGGGAATCTACCATGTGAACAATGTTGTCATTTTGAGACGATGACGTTGGCATGAGGTTGGCGGGGTTATGTCGATAGTAAGAGAGAACTCCACGCTGACGATCAAGCACGAACCATCTTCGGTGCCACGACCCCTTCTTACCCCACTTGCTGTCGCTTATCTTGTGCAAGTAGCCACAGACATACTTTTTTGTACTTTGAGACTCCGATGAGAACGAATAACCTGCGGGCAAGACTGCTGCTGGATCATCGTTGTGCTGGTCACCAGAATGTTGTTGGTTGTGGCCCTGGGATTTGCGCACATGCAAGATGCTTCGGCCCACGTGGCCAACTCGGGAAATACCACCACCAACGGCCTTGCCCATGTATCTTCCCATCTTTTGAACGCCACGCGAACGTAAACGTCCAGACCGGTTTTGTGCTTGCCTTGATTGTGTTGCGGAGTCTTCAGACGGGTAAGCAGGATTGCGAGCAGATACGGGTACTGACGGCGTATCAACTCGTTGCCCTCCCTGACCGCTTACGTCGCTTATGTGTTCACCAATGTCATCTTGAACCACTGCGCCAGCGTTTTTCAAAATGCTTGTCCGTTCATCGTTCCCATTCATTGACGTGGCGCTATCACGATACGAACTCTGGGACATCTCCATCTCCGTGAGGTGGTCAGAGTCGTAGAGTCCGTCCGAGTCTTCATCGCAACTGTCCTCGCCACCTATGAAGTCGAAGGAACGGAGCGGATTCGGGTTTGTATCGTTTTGGCAAGATGGGCTGTTGTTCAAAGAATCCCTGGAAACCACGCCAAAAGTAAAAATGGGTAGAAGTCTGAAACGAAAGGATCAGCAACGTACAGGCTTGACAGATTCTCTTCACTATTGTGAATAGATACCAGCGGAGTTCCAGGTACTGCAGGTTGCGCAAGATGGATAGTAAGAAACTGCATAAATTGCGACAAGACAGTAGCTCAACATTAGATCCAAACGAAACAATATGTTGTACAAGTTATACCAATCAATACTTGCCTCCATGACGTCTTGATATTGACGCATCCACGTTATAAATTGCGAATTTGACAACAGTCCTGCCATGGGAATCGTGCATTCTTCAAATGCAGCGTAGAGTTGTTTCGGCAACGTCATGTGATCCTCCAAGTAGTTAAGCAGATAAAGGTAGTCCTTTTCCGCAATAAACCCTTCTTTCTTGTGACTAGAATTCACCATTTCCCGTCATTGCAATTAGTCACTCGATTCATTCTTTTGTCATGTCCTGACACCAATAGCTGCAACGTACTTTTCACCCAAAAAAATGATACTATACATGGTGAACATGTAGCTGATACGATCCTCTAGAGAGCCTCTAAATCCATTGCAATGTCCAATAGCAGCAAAATAAAAGTATCATCAGTATCGTATCACCAAAGAACAAGAACGATATCCTCCAAAACCACCACGAACTCGTAGAATAAAGCCAAGATACAGACAAATGCCTCCTTGGAAATCAAATTCTCCGGAATGTCTTCAAAATACTGCATAATAATGTCTGTTCCATAGAAAATAATAAACACCCTTTCATCACCACGAACCCCATCATAAACGACGTATTTCTATCACCTCCAAAAAGTCCTCGTAGTAGCTTTGATGACACTAATTCGTCCTTCTTGGCTACATAATGCTGCTCTTCATCTTCTATAGCATCTCCCTGCAATAAGTATCCCATGTATTTCATTAATTCACCACTTTTTAGACTAATTTTTAAGGTAAAAAAGACCTTAAATGTGAGCCATGCGACGGTAAATTCCCCTGTATTGACTATGAAAGCAACAAGATGACGATCTAATTTTAAGTTAAATGATAACGTTCGTGAGGAAATTACGTACATGGACGATAGGGACGACGTTGTGTAGAGATCGACGTGCCCATGACGACGACTGTTACAAAGTGAGCTGATGTTGTTGTGTTCGTTCACATCAATAACATGTGTGCTACATGAGAGCTTCAAAGAGATATACAACATACAAAAATAACATTTAATGTATATTCTTGACGTGTACATAAGTATACACGTCAAGGACTTGCGACTTAGAGCGCAACACGATGGAGCATTTTGCTATTGACATGAACTTGAGGCTGCACGTGGGTTGATACCAAACAACTTCGTCTAATTGCACGCTGCAATTTCAATTTGCAATGAGCTTGAAGGATTTTCACAAGTGGATGAAGTTTGGCTTCATTTTTCAAGTCATGATCGAGTAAATGCTGAGGCACGGAGAATTCTTGCAATGCTATTTCCATCTGCTCAGTAGGTCTGTAGAGAAGGTAAAGACATTCGACATACCCACAAGATTAGAAGTGAGTTCTAGATATGTGCAAAGAGGCTGGCTACTTACATGAGAGCTTTGATCTGGAACAGGTAGAGTGGACACATTGCAAGAGAGTTTTTCTGCTCAGTCCAATCATCTTCCTTCGTGATCTTGTTATCTTCAAAGATGTCGTACACGCACGGGTAACACAACAGTATACCTGCCAATGCAGTTGCATTAAGTGTCGAGGGTCTCTTCCAATCGAGCACTCGAGAGTACGTCGACGTGAGGAGACTTCTGCAGGCGAACACGATCCAGTCTGCAAACACCTTTAACCTCTCTTTTCCAGATTCTGAACTGTTGCAAATGAGTCGAGGAAGAGAGAGACTAGCACTCACATCCACGTACATGTCTTCACTCAGTCCAGTCGCCAACTGGACCATTTTCTCCCGCACAAAAGCTTCCACGTTTACAAAAAAGATGTTGCCATCCAACAGAATTGCACGAACTTGTATCGGATCAAAGAACCATTGCTGAGGGCTCGATACATTCTCAGTGACGAAAGAGTCGAGCAACAGCTGAGCCAGTTCTTTTGTCAATGCACAAGAGTCCACTAGACACGACGGTCGCAGTCCCACCACCACGGGCACCAAGTCTTGTAGCAATACATGCACTTGATGGATACTCAACCGTTCTTTCTTCTGTTGTCTCTTCATACAAATGTCTTGACTTCTTCTTCTTCTTCTTGTCAATTGAGCATAAAGTTGTTGCGTTTGTAGAAAAAGTTGGGCATTTGTTGGCCATGAGGCGTCGTATATTCCAGCGCTTTTTCTTCTTCTTGGAGCGTGAGATAACCACCAATTTGAGTGAGATAAATGGTTTTGATCGGATACGATCAGAAAAGCTCGAATCTCATGCTCAAAGCCCAATAGCACATTTAATGCCCTGGAATGAAGAGGGACTGGACATGTCCACATATCAACAATTGTCCTATTGGGTACAGTACCGTAGACATTATCAAATTGAATCGGCTATTCATCCCGTCTTTTGCACTGCTCTAACGCTAAATTAGGATTCTTTTTGTTTAAACGAATATAAACGCGTTAAAAAAACCTTTTATATACGAAACAATGTCTTTTGCTTCTTAAGTAACATATTGCGACTCCCAATAGTCATACGAAATTGCTTGTCATACCAATTTTAAATGGTCTCGAGTCACCCATCTTCTTATAGTAGCTCTTTGTCGCCTTCATCCAAGCGAGCAAGAACATCCATTAAATGTTCATCACTTTGAATCTCGCTCAAACTTTCGCAGATTAATACGAAAGCTGTAAACAAATTCTGTCCCACCTTAGCGTCAACTTTGTGCGCCATGGAATAGGCAAATGCATTGACCGACGATAGAAAAATTGTAACTGACGGCGCAAGATGAGGTAGGGTCTTGAACACGTGCAAACTTTCGATTGAGAGTAGATGGTGTCGAGTTGAACTCGTGCTGTCGAGACACCATGATCTTGTCAAACGTCCTGCTCTTTCAGATGTCACCACTGCTTGACAATTTTTCTTGTACGATAAGACACTGTGTCGTTGACTTGCTGTATCAGATGAAGGTGTGAGTGAATGGTGCTTTTCAAACGGGTATTGCATCACTTCAGCAACTCCAACATCTGAAATGATAGAAGAAGGAACACTGATGTTCTTGAGAAAAGAGGCTTCCATCCGTGCATTTAGTTTCTGATCAGCTGTGATCGTAGGTAGTGCCATTGCCATGGTGTTCTTAAGGTTAGCATCAATCTCCCGAGTTGCACGACCGCACAAGTCCCAAAAGCACGTGGTCAGCATGTCGACACCTTCTAAAGTGAGCCAGTCGAGGTTGGTAGTAGCGGTGAACAATCCAACCTGGTCTTCGTCAGCAGGGGATTGCACGTGCTGACGCATGTTGCAGTCGATATCTAACGTGATCCGGAAAGGGTTAAAGCGTCCGCGTTGCTCCTTGTAACCACGCATGCGATAGAACGCGAGTAGCATGACGACAACTACAACACCGTTGAGAGCCACACCCTCTTTTTTGCATCGAGCTAAAGCTTCATGCATGCACTTGGCTTCTCCTTCGGCAAACAAAGCACTGGTACTGTTTGTGACTGGAGGCACTGCGAAATCTTTCTGATCTTCCCGAGCAGGCAGTAGTGATGTGAACCTGTGCACATTCCCACGAAACATGCGTCGGCCAAAAAGGGCATTGGTTCCCTTTAGAAGAGGCTTGGCCCATGTAAGTTTCTTGAGCCACATCCGATAGAGTGACGGACGTAATGGAAACTCCTTCACAGGCAATATGCTTGGTGTTTGGTGCTCCGCTGTGGTTTGTCTAGCAAGCATCGATACCTGTTCAAGAATGCAGTTGAGAACCACAACACCCGAAAATTCGTCGGACATGTACTGGTCCGAGAAGAGCATGAGGCGAGCAGTGCCCTTGCGTTTGGCCACCCACACCGACAGATAGAACGGGAGCTGGCTGTGGCGATCGAAGCCAACACTACACTCCTTCTCCACAAACGCCTGCCAACTCGTTGGAGTACCGTCTCCGTAGTCTACTGGTGACAGCATTCTCACTCGAAGCAAAGTGGTGAGGTTGTCCGGCGTTAGTGGAGCTTGGATCTCCGCTGAAAATATCCGGTCTTGAAGTTGAAGTGCTCGCATCCGAGGATGCATGTTAAAGGTATTGAGGACTGCAGTGGGCAGGAACCGAAGCAATGTCATTGTGTCACACCGAACGAGCATCGAGTGTGCAATCTTGGTTGATACTCCATTAATTGCGGAGACCATCCGTTCAACACCTCGAAGGGATACTCGACTACCGGCAGGGCTACAGCTTTCCGAGTTCATGATGGAGTTGGAGATTCTTGGAACGAGATCGAGTGCTGGGTTGATATCAAGACGGATAATGAGGCAGGAGCTTTGACAATGAGATACAATGACACCCAGTGTTGGCAAGAGAAGTGATCAGCGTTGATAGGCCTCGATGGCATTGTTTGACATGCGTTGGATAGTCAATTAATGGGAATGCAGAGACCCCACCCACCCTGTCTCTAATAGACTTTGTGGAACTATTACGATGTTGTTGTCGCTACCAGCATACCTACGATGCTTTGTGACACTAAAGGATCCTCACGTTGTATTCGAACGTCCGCAATCGCTCAAGTCTTGAAGACTATGTCTCTTCCTATTCATAAATGCTCAGCATTCGCTTCCTCGCGTAGTGAATGACGCACTGTTTCGTCGTACTCTTTCTAGCTAGAAATCCGGTACCGATTCGACATGGTGTTGTTGGACTTAGAATGGCAAAAGCTTCATATGCTGTAGCACTTCCAGGACACACTTCACCCAGTGCTCGAATCGTTTGGTTCTAGTCTCACACTGCAGCCATTTTTACAACTATTACTAGTAGATACAGAGTCTTCAGTCAGTATTCCTCTAAATTCCATGTTAATAGTTTGGCATTTATCAAGGTTCTCTCTCCTACAAGTCGACTTTCTCCATTCTTTCAAGTCCCTTATCCATGGATCATCCTTTGCCACAACCAAGCGAATCCAGTGATATCCCAAGCGTTTTATCAACTCACCAGCGTATCAATGGATTTGAACGGCCATTTTCACGGGATCAAGTGATTTCCTGGATTGGTCATTCAGTCTCCGGGTTGAGTTTTTATATTGGAACAGCTGGAGTTTATCTATGCACTGGACAGGAAAGTCGCAATGAAGAACAATCGACGAGTTCTGTAATGACTACATTGGTATGAACAACAAATGGGAGATAAAGTAGGAGGAAGATTAAGTTCCATGACTAACCGACAAACTGTTTGTGCTGTCTACAGACACTGGTCGCAGTTGGAATGCATGTGGTCAACTCGACCATTTTAATCACATCCTGGAGATCTTGTGAGACCATTGACCCAGCTGCACCTGTGGACGATTCGATGTCCAATGGATGGAGATGTGTGAGACTTAGTGGACCAAGATGGGAGAAGACACGGTACTGTGCTTTGTGTCGGAAAGCCGTGCCTGGACTGGACCACCACTGTACGTGGCTGCAGACTTGTATCGGTAAAGTCAATTACGCTCAGTTCTTCACAGTAGCATGCACGGGCACAGTGCAATTCGTACTGCAAGTCGTGTATGCGGCTTTGTGTCTCTTGTGGCTGCACTACCATCCATTCGATGCTGGCATATTCGGCTACGTCGTGGAAAGTTGCTTAGTTGTGTGTTTGGTAATGTCCGTCCCGTGCATGTTCATGTACTTTGTATTGGTGAGTTTTCATCTATGGCTCATGGTGTTGGGCTACGGTACGTACGAGTGGATGCTACGTCGACGCAAGGAACAGCGTGCGAAATTGGAGGCCAAGAAACAGAAGAAACACACTGCAACAGGTGAAATCATCTCCACCAGTACACGAGTAGTATCCATGTCTGTCGTCAAGGACAGTCCCGCCGTAATTAAGGTCACCGATGTTAAGCTGGAAGAACGAGACCGAGAGCTTACAGTGCTCTAGGACATTCACAGACACACACACACGAACGGATCAACACTACCTTTTCCGTAAGCTATGCAACCAGAATAAACAACTTGGAAGCACACTGGAGCCTCATCTAGCTCGTAAAACGAACAGCCCCAAGCTCTCAAGAAAAAAAGTCCCAGATCCGTCTCACCCGTCTATCTATTGCTGCATTATTCCTATTGCTGCTGCTGCTTGACTTGAGCAACGGCCTGCTCAATACGTGAGCTAATGGTGGGCAGCAGCTTCACGTACATGTCCACGCAGCGGTTCACGCACTTCTCCATGTCCTTTTGAGCGTGAGCAATCTGTGACTCACTAGGATTTCCACTGGTCGGTAACGAATCCTTTGCCTTGTCCTGACAATCCTGAGCGCAACGCTGGACACGATTCTGTAAGTTTTGCATCTCTTGCTGCATAAACTGATTCAACTGGTTCGTTGGCATTTGACAGCGTTCCACGGCAGCGGCCAATTGATCCGATGACAAGTTCTTGTTCTCCAATACTTTAGCTGCACATAAGTAGCCATCACGTTGCATCGTACGCAGGAAATTACGATCCAGGCGGTTCACCATTTTAGTCACGGCATCCTGTAGTTTATTGTCAGCCATTGTTCGGAATGAGCGAATTATTTTGTCCATTTCACCCATAAAACACTTGGTGTGGTCTACATTTCGAAGACATAAAACCCATTTTTGGGTTAAACGACCTGAAACAAAACCGTTTTTGTCATGAACGCGAACACGTCACCACCACCGTCGGAGCTACACTTGAGTGCATTGTACGGGCGTTACCGCGACTGGCGGTCTCCCTCTATGCCCTCCTCTGATACTTCAATGGAAGACGCTTCGAATGAGACCTCTCTCGCTTCTCTATGTGCACTGGTCGTGCAGTTTGAAGCTTCAGCACGTGAAGATCTTCGAGTTGGTTTTGCTCCGTCTTTGGACGCTTTTCCTGACGTCCCTGAGGACACTACAAGCAACAAAACACACAGGAAATCTCATACGAAATGGAAGTATGAAGTAACAGTTGGAACGAGTGGAAATACCGAGCTGGTGTGGAGAAAATCGGCTTCAGGACGTAACAAGGAGGTGGATCTGGTCCGGGTCTTTACGGGTCGTATCTGCTCTGCCCAGGAGTTTGTGGCCTATTGGATTGTTGTAGATATCAAGAACGGCTTGTTGTCGATTGGTGTAGGCAATCAGGTGGGTCAGGACGTCCTAGCGACGTGTCAGGATCCGGATTTTATTCAAGTGACGCAGACGGCATTCACGTCGTGGGACTCTTCTGTGTCTCTACGTGGCATTCAAGTTCATGGAGTCTATGAAGGTCAAACAGAAGCTCTTGCAGCTTCTAATGTAGCTGCATTCCCGTCTCCAAGGCTTATGGTGAGAGCTGATCCGCTGGGTAAAGACGATTTACTGACAATGGAGCAGCGAGAGAACTATGAAACGGAGTATGCAACTTCAAAGCGTCGAGCCGAGAGATTTGGAGCTCCATTCGTCGCACCAGATATTAAAACGTTTTTAGACCCACGAGAAGTGAGGAAGCTGCAACGGACGGGAGCAATTGTACCTGGTTTTACAACCGGTATTGACATTACAAGTCAGGAGGAGCAAAGCAAGAGAGAACAGCGTATGAAACGCTTTGATACGCCCCAGTTTGCAGTAGAGTATTCTGCTGAGACAGCAAGGGCGTTGGAGCAGGGTCTAACTCAGGAAGAGTGGGTTGAAAAGCAGCGCGACCAGGAGAAATTGCGTGTTCGCGCGCAAAAGTTTGGGCTACCAGCTGAAGAAGATCGCTCACAGGTGGTCCCGACAGGCCTTCATCCGGCATCTGCTAAGGTCGGTCGTGAACGCTGGGACGCTAAGGCCGCCGAGGATGGACACGCGGTGGCATTTCGTGACGACGCATTGCACATGTACTCGCTGGATGACAAGTTCCAACAAGTTCGTACAAGCGATGTGATGGAGTATTTCGTTGGGTACGGCCCTGCATACGTGGAGTGGCTCAATGACAGCTCGTGTACTATTGTTTTCCAAGATAACTTCACCGCTAGTAGAGCGCTTATTGCACTCGGTCAGGCGATTCCGCCACAGTTTCTGAAGCAAAAGAAGGAGAAGGTAAAAGCTGAAAATGTACCAGTATCAGGAGAAGACGTTGACATGGGAGATGTAGAGACACCTGGCGATAATGATTCTGCTACGGTAACACAGGAAGAGGAGGAGGAAGCTAAGGCCCATGATGTTGCCTTTAATCGCTCGCAGTGGTATGTGGGTAACAAACCGATTGGCAGCAAGACGCAACCTCGTGACAAGAAGTGGCGAGTACTGCTACGAAAAGCAACCGACGAGGACTTTCCGCCTGAAAAGATCCCTAAAAAGGGAATGTACCACGCTCGGGGCAACCAGCACCATGACGCGCGTGGCAGCCGCCGCCACAACAACCGCGACACTGGATCTTCATCACGACGAGGCAGCGATCGCGCGCGGGCTCACCCTTACGGGGAATTCTGCGAGGACAGACGTGGCGACGAATCGTTAGGAAGCCGGCGTCATCGCAACAAGAATGATGACCGCGACACTGGCAAACCGTCTAAGCGTATTCGTGTGAACGCTGATGGCTCCATTAATATCGTGCGTGATGGAGCAGTCATGAGTAGATCAGCGGACGAGAAGAAGCCCGCCAACTGAGTTGTATCATGCAAGCAAGCGATGTGAAAGATAATATTGCCGACCGGAAACGCAGTCAAACAAAATCAGCTTCACCCAAAGCTGTCGATAAGTTACCGCTAATTGTTGTCACCAGCCTCTTTCATTTAAAATTTTGGCTGAAATTTGGCGCTGATTGCTTCCCGGCAATACGGACACTCACCAAAAACGGTGTGAAAAGACTGACGCGACGTGGGTAGCGCACGCAACCAGTCAAAGAGGCATTTGACGTGGAATGGCCGATTACATTTCACATTCTCGCACAATCTGTCCGGAATCCGAGAACCTTGTTTCGGCGCTTTCTTTTGCTGCATTGACGTAGCCCCAGAGTCTTGCTTCGTTTCCTCGGTGTCCTCATCCTCTTCTTCCAAACGGTATGAATAGCAAATCCCGCATTCCACGGCAAACTCATCTGGTTTGGTTGTCTTTTGGGATGGCAGCGTGATTTTTAGTACATCCTCCAAGTTTTCCTGCAACGATCTTGTCTCATCCCATCGACTCGATGCACTGCCCCAACGTTCACGCAGTGCTCCAACACTTGCTTGATTGCCAAAGAAACTCAGCTCACTCAACATCGCAGTGGGGTGTGCTGGATCCACTTCAAACTGCACTGAAGCATGCCGTTCAAGGGCCAGTCTTCTTCGTCCCGTGGCTCTTGCAGGACGATGTGGCTCCAACACACACGTCGTTGCATCAAGTACATCCAGGACATTCCAGAACGTCTGGAACCTGTCCAAGAAAAGCTCAAACTGTTTCAAGACTTCGTCCAACACCACCTGGTTGTTATCTGAAGGCCACTGCAGCTCAAAAGGCTCAGGAGCGTCTACAAAACACTCGGGTTTGATGGCAAACCCTTGATCTTTATACTGCAATGGCAACAGCACTTGAACCGTGTGACTTCGTCCAGATTTGTCCATTATCTCGAGCTCCAATGATCTCAAGTCGTCACTCAATTGACGGAGCCGATTCCAGCCCACAACGTCCAATTCAGCCATTAATCTCGCGTAATACTTGGCACTAGGCAATGCCACTTGATTGCCGACTAGTTTCCGACAGCAAATGGCCACTAGTTCTTCCAATTCTGCTCCAAACCCTTCAAGAGATGACGCCTGAGCCAATCGAAGCTTTAGAGTCGCATGATGTGGTTTCAAACGCGCTGCGAGAGCGCGTTCCACGTCTAATTGTGCATTTTTTAGCACGATACGACCTGTAGACGCATCATACTCGACATTCGATACCCGAACGGCAAACTCATCGCCTTGGACGCACACGTAGCCACGATACGACGAGCGCTCTCCATCCTCTGATACGAAGAACATGATTATTGATACTCTGTAATATTTAATAAAATTTAGTACTGCAGAAACATGTACCTTGAAAGGTTATTATTCTAGTTGGTATTTTATCCAATCTCCTCGCAGGCTCACAATTGACCTGCCCATAATGCTGTCCTTGGTACGTCGAGCGGCGTTGCGCCCTCGTCGACTAGGACATGACCATCACTCTTTACTATTACGTGGCTTTGCATCAGCTGATTCCAAATGGGGTCTTATTAATGAGAACATTACTGCACAAGTTGTTAATATCGTTGAAGAGGGTGATAATGTGCGTCTGGATGTCCCGATTCGCCAGGCTATTCAAGACGCAGAGATTCAAGGCGTTGATCTGGTGCAAATGTCGCCTGTAGGTAAACAACCAGTTTTCTGTCGACTTTTTGATGCCAAGAAACGCTTCTATGAGCTCAAGAAGGCGACTAAAAAGGCCTCGAAACAGCAAAAACCAAAGCCAGACAAGGAGGTCGTGGTTGGTGCCAAGATCGCGGTAAGTTTGTAGTACTACTGATGAAGAGGTTGTGTAGGCTAAAGTATTGAAAATGATCCATTGGTGTTGATGTTTTGTAGCCAAATGACTTGAATATGAAAGTCGAACAGCTCAAGAGGTTCTTAACCAAGGGCCACAAGGTCAAAGTCACGATCAAGTATTATCAAGCATATCAGTTGAAGATGCAGTCAGTGGAGCAGTTGAAACAGATTGAAAGCCGCATTGATGCCACGTTGGGTGTCCCCAGTGGCCCAGTGAGAGAGCAGTTTGGTGCTGTGTATGTGTTCTACTCACCGGCCATCTAGAGAAGCAGCAGCTTCAGTTGTATCATCTAGAGGGAAGCACAGCACTAGAGCTGTTCCGACTCGCTATACATTACTGGAAGGATAAGATCAAAGCAGCTTGACTACTAGAGAACCAAGACAACCACAGTAAATGTATAGCCTGCCAAAATCATAGCAATATCCACTTGTAATTCAACTTGGCTACATTGATATCGTGCTAAGTGGCATTTCTTAGCCACAGCATTGGCAAAGTAGTGTCCCTTTTAACATGATCAATGTATCCATCTATTTCAGCGGGGAACTTATGACAATATGGTGTCCCTTTCAACATGATCACTGTATCCATCGTTTATAACGGGGAGCTCCCCCCTGGTAAAAAATCCGGATCTTATCCTCCTTACCGACTTTAATCCATCTCATGGCCGCCGACGACGCGAAAACCCCCTCTACTAAAGTCCCAATGCTCAAGAAACAAGTGAGTATGGGCAATATCTCTGAAGAGATCGAGGACGAACTCAGTACATTGCCAAATATGGAGTTAAGTCACTTGCATTTCCTGCTCCAACACCAGCACGCGACTAATTCACCCGAAGACGTAGCAACGAAGCAACAAGTATTGGATATTATCCAACAAAACAACATGACGCCTTTCTATCGTCTTGTGTGTCATGAATTTCAATGGCCAGTGGATACAACACTTGAGGCTCAAATGAATGACAAGAATGCACACGAATTAGTTGATTTGGACGAACGATTGGCGGATGCAGAGCAGAATCTCGGTGATATTGAAGTTCTGGAGGCACTTTTGACGAAAGCACGGATGTATTCAAGAATCGGTGATAAAGAGAAAGCACTGGAGGCTTTTGCAATTGCAGGAGAGAAACCTCAGTCGATTAACCAGAAGATTCTCGTTGCTCTGCACATTATCCGTATTGGTCTCTTTTTCTCTGATCTGGAACTGGTTGAGCAGTATATCAAGAAAGCTGCAGTGTACGTCGAACTTGTTAGATGTGTTGTGAAATGAAGAGGACTGATGAGAGATTGTTGCAGGTTAATTGATGAAGGTGGTGATTGGGACCGACGCAACCGTCTAAAAGTATACGAAGGCTGCTATTTACTAATGGCTCGAGACTTTACGAAGGCATCCAAGCTGTTTCAAGAGTCAGTGGCGACGTTCACTGCAACGGAATTGATGCCGTACAATACAATGGTGTTTTATTGTGTCATTACGTGCGTGCTCAGTATGAGTCGTGTGGATTTGAAGAAAAAGATCGTGGACTCACCGGAGATTCTCGCGGTTATCAAGGAGATCCCGTTCCTTACGGACTTTCTGAATGGAGTGTACGACTGTGATTACAAGAAATTCTTTGCTGCTATGGTGGATATCCAGCCATTTATTCTACGTGACAAGTACCTCTCGACACACTCACGTTTCTTATACCGTGAACTTCGTGTGCTTGTCTATGCACAATTCTTGGAAGCCTATCGCAGTGTGACGATTGCATCAATGGCTGCTGCATTTGGTGTGAGCATTGATTTCTTGGACACGGAACTGGCACGGTTTATTGCTGCGGGTCGATTGAATGCCAAGATTGACAAAGTTGCTGGTGTGATTGAAACCAACCGTCTAGATGCCAAGAATGCGCAGTATCAGGATGCTATCAAGAAGGGCGACTTGCTACTGAACCGTATTCAGAAACTTACGCGAGTTATCAATGTCTAGACAGCTATAAACTGATAGTCTCTAGACTATTGCTCTAATTTCAAAATGCTAGCTCATGTGTTGGCACACTAAGTGCGTACCATTAAGTGCGTAGGATATCGTTATTCTTAATTTCTGTAAGTACGGTCAAAGGGGTGTGCACCACATAATCTTATAATTTTCTTGTGGTGACTGGTGGTTAGTTACGGTCAATTTTCTGCCCATAATCCGATTCGAGATGGCCGAGACCCTCAATAGTGTAGCCGTAGTGTCCGGTGAGGAGACATCGCAAGCGCAAGAGATTCTGCACTTGCAATGCCGCTTTTATGAGCAGAAATTCCCCGAGATTGATGAGCTGGTGATGGTGAACGTGCGTTCTATCGCTGAAATGGGCGCTTATGTGTCACTCCTCGAGTACAATAACATTGAGGGCATGATTCTGCTTTCCGAGCTGTCTCGACGTCGTATTCGATCCATTAATAAGCTCATTCGTGTGGGGAAAAATGAGGTGGTTATGGTGCTACGTGTAGACAAGGAGAAGGGTTACATTGATCTGTCCAAACGTCGTGTATCCCCTGAGGATATCGCTAAGTGCGAAGAGCGCTATAATAAAGCCAAAACGGTACATGGTGTACTCCGTCAAGTGGCTCAGGAGAATCAGATAAAGATTGAAGATTTGTATGCAAAGGTGGCGTGGCCACTGTACAAGAAGTTCAAAATTGAGACTGTAAATGATGATGAGAAGAAGATCGAGTACGTGCATTGTTACGATGTCTTTAAAATGGGCATTACAGATGATGCAGTCTTTGAGGAACTGGACGTGTCGTCCGAGATTCTCACGGCTCTTAAGACTCAGATTCGTCGTCGTTTGACTCCGCAGCCTATTAAAATCCGAGCGGACATTGAGGTTACGTGCTTCACGTATGAGGGCATCGAGGCCATTCGATCAGCTTTACAGGCTGGACAAGATGTGGGTACGGAGGATGTACCTGTTAAAGTGAAGCTTATTGCACCCCCCATGTACGTCATGACTACCAGTACGCTGGACAAGCAGAAGGGGATACAAAAGCTACAGGAAGCCATTGAAATGGTGCGGGAACACATTACTGCCAAGAAGGGCACGATGTCGGTCAAGATGGAGCCGAAGGTCGTGAGTGTGAACGAGGAGAAGGAGTTCCTGCAAATGATTGAGAAGCTTGAGAACGAAAATCGCCTGGTGGATGGCGACGCGCCCGAGGATTAGACAGGCACAGAGCAGAGGAAGGCAGGGAAGATTGGACGATGCTGTGGAGGCTGCAGTTAAGCTTGGTGGCAAGCTTTTTGATCCACCCCTTAGCCACATAGGACCATATCTTGCACTGCGACTCGATTCTTGTGAAAGATTATGGGAACGCGTTGCATGCAAACTCAATAGAGCTAGATGCCTACGCAGTGGTGAATTCGCTACTTTTATATATCCGCAGGCCTTATTTGGTGCTTTGATTTGATGGAGTGCATACTGTACCTATCAAATTCATTTATACACGTATCTTGCCCTTCCTTATGCCCTGACTGACTTCTCTACAACGTCGACTCCTCCACTATACGCATCCGCTTGTACTCGTTGTACTTCTTGGACGATCCTCTTATCTGCAGCCGCCATTACCAAAACATTCGTTAGCAACACGAATCCTCACACGTAATGCACATGTTCGCACCAGCTCAGCGGGATATTTCCGTGCATTCTTGGCGATCTTGTCGTTCAAAGCAGCAGGCAGATCTACATCGCACTTGTCAGCAAGTCGCACCAAGTAGATCAACACATCGCTAATCTCCTCGCCAAGATGCTCTTTTTCGCGTGCAGACCAATCTATCACCAAGGAAGCGAACAGTTGACATTTGCTGATACCGTCTTAACATCACAACGCAATCAAAAAATGTATACCTTCGGTATTGTTGACCTCGCCTTTCCACTGAAAAATCTCGCACAACTCGCCCACTTCACTATTAAGAGCCAGCAGCAGATTACGAGGCGTGTGAATCTGGCAGTTGCAAATAAAGAGAGCACGAACAACGGCGCAAAAAGGTTAATGCTATCAAAGTTCACCCCAAACCATAACGAATTAGCCCTTACCTGATTCCAGTCACGTTCATCAGCAAAGTCAGCAACACGTTTCCGAAGTGCCTCGAAAGTCATCGTTTCTTCAAACTTAGAAGGCGTTTCAACACTATTAGATCTAGCTGCTTGAATACTGCTATTAGCTGCAACAGCAGATTCAGCAGCAGACATTTGAGCTGCTGCTGAAGTTCCCGAAAAAACTTCATCTCCCATACTGCTGTCCATAGTGCCATCTAGAACTCCCAGTGACTCACTATCATGTCCATTACCACTGAGAATATCCGACGTGTGCTACTGATTGAGACTGTGGGTGGGTGTGATTGGGTTGCGACTGCAAGATCTCCTGTGCTCGAGCATCTCCCGTCATTGTCTGTACTTCTGCTTTTAGTAGTGCCTGTGCCTGAGCAATCTGGTACACCTGTGACTGAGCTTCAGCTTCAGCTTCTGCCTGTGCTTGAGCTTGATTCAGCATGGGCATGATGAGCCGCCGCTTCAGCCAATTGTTCCCGTATCTGATTCTCATAAGCTGCTTGTGCTGCTTCATCTGATTCTTCTGATGGTATAACGTGTTCCATCGTATTTGTTGTCGAAATCTCCACGTTCTCAGTGTCTCGATTGGGTGTAGCCAACTCATAATCCGATTCATGAAGTGCCCCACTCATCATCTTCATTGAATCTGGTCCAATTGGATGATTATGTTTGTCATGCATACGTACTTTAATACGATACGTCGGTCCAAACTCCACTGCTGATGCATAGACGTGAAATGGACAGCCAATGTCCCGTAATTTATGTCGCATTCGCTTCCCACTTCCACGTGAACGAAACTTGATTCCATGTGTGCATTTAAACGTCTTGGAGAGAAACTCAGCAATATTTTTACGATCGTGACGGCCCTTAGACACAGTGCGATTGTAGACTTCAAAGGTCAGGGACGAGCGTTTCCGGATCGGATGGTACGCTGCTGTTGCACGAGCAATTGCGGCGTCAAAGGAGGCCCAATCCTCGTAAATCTCATCAAAAAGTGGTCGATCAATGGTCTCTAGAGCGACGTGTACAGTCGGTGACACCGTTCCGATGCTCTCTTCCGTCACGGCGGTGACGTCCGCTTTTATTTCCTCCATCTAAGATAAATTACTGACTCGGGAAAACAATGACGGAGAATTTATCAGAAATATATTTCACTTGCGTTTTGTATACGCTACCATATGTTGATGCAGAGTGATGGTCAGTGCAACCCCGCACTATTCCGTGCATCATGTCGAATGTGCCGCGCAATGACAGCGCGCAATTGCAGGAGATGTTGCAACGATTGCAGCATGAAAAGAGTGAGGTAGAAGGTATGATGCAGATCTTGACATCCAAGCTACAGGAAGCACAAGAAGAGAATTTTGATTTGCATGCCAGTATGTCTCTTTTTGAGACAGAGACACGTCTTGAAGGTGACAAGAAGGAACGTGAGATGCAGAATAAAATATCGGCGCTCGAGTCAAAGCTTTCTTTCATGTCGGAGAAGTTTCAGAACGCTGAACGTGCCAAGTTACGAGTCATTAAAGAAGTAGAGGATCTGCAGCAGAAACAGCGGGTCGAGAACAAGCGGCGCGACGCTGAGAGGCGGCTCATGGCCACGAAACGACGTAAACATGAGAGTTTCTTGGCCACCAGTCAGTCTATCGCTATGACTCAACAGCAGGTTATGAAGGTGTCAGTTCCTGTGATGGAAACTTCTGTGCAAACTGAGAATCCCGTGAAAGAAGAGACTGAACGAGGTCACCCAAGTCTCACGAAAGAGAATGCGCGTCTTATTTCGTATCTTTTGACTGGAACTTCGAGGGATTTACTGACGTTATTGAATGGAGTTGCAGTTGTGCGCTCAAAAGACGAGGCACAAGAGAATGCAGACGTTGACCGGACGCAGCTTCCACAAGGATGGCACAGCTCGACTCCGACGCAGTATCTTACAGAATTCATCCGGAAACTCTTTGAATGGCTCGTTACAGCAGTCATCAGGTGGTGTCCCGTTCTCTCAGAGTGTATTTTCTCAAGTGACAGGGAGAACATCAGCTTCATTCTTGGATGATGCGAAGGAGACAAATGCTGAGCAAAATACTCTGGTGACAGAACGTGCTCGAGAACTGTACGATGTGATGGGGAGAATGTTGACAGGAGACGTTTCTGCTGTTGCACTAGTACCGGTATTCATTAAATACCTCACGACACTAACAGATTTAGAGTGGACGGTGATGTGCAGTGTACTGCGCGTCATGTATTCGGTGATGCATCATAGCACACATTTTCAGCGCTTTCTTACGGTAGAATCGTCGTCTTCTGATGCAACGTCATCTACAAATGCCGAGCTCCAAAGGAATAGCAACAGCATGGAGCACCCACGAATAGTGTTACCTGGACTACGGTTTATTTCGTTGGATGAATACTTATCGGCTCAGTCAGAATATGGATCTATGGCACAGAATGATTTACTGCAGGCATCGGCGGCCGAAGCTGCTGCAGACCAAAAAGAGATTCGGTCTAAGCTGATGTGTGCGCTTTGCCGGGCTGTAAAGAGCAATATCAAGGAGCCTGTCGTCGTGAAGGATGGCCTACGCGTGCTCTGTTTTTGGGTTGACCTTGGACTAGCACATGGGCCTGCATTAATGCCAGATTTCAAGCCGTTGTTGGCAAGTAACGTAATTTCAGGTATTCTGTTGGCACCAAAGAGTATTCCTACCGTCAAGGCGCAAGCTGTGGGGCTGCTTTCTCAACTGCTACGCGTTCCAGAAATTTTTATTGAAGTGGCGGCCGAGTCAAAGAAAATTTTGCTTTTCAACCGATGCGTCAAGATGTTGTTGTGCGAAGGGAATCTTTCTCGGAATGAAGTCAGCAGTGTTCGGGCGTTTCAGCACCAGATCGTGAAGTTGTTGCTGTCGATCATTACGTTGTATCCATCCGAAGGGATTTGTTTTGTGCTTGAAAGCACTCATGGCCTGCCTGGTGACCCAGACGGATATCGGTCGGTGATTTATTATCTGGCACGTCTGCTCGACCAAGAGACATTCGAGATACGGACTGGAGGAGAAAGTTTCGAAACGCACGCATTGTTACGTGATCACTTTCGTTTGGATTTGATCCAAGATGCATTTGCTTTGGTTGGACTGCTTTCGCGCTATGTGGATCTACGAAGCGAACTAGGTGGAGATGACCAAGTGCATTCGTTTCTCGCTGTTTTGCATTTTCTAAGCAACCTTCCCCATGACGGTATACGAAAAATAGCTGCATCGGCACGCGCCTTTGTCATTATGATGAATCTTGCCCGGCCATAGACACGTGTCATGAGTAAAACATGTAAGCAAAGGGCTGATTTTTCTTTTGATCGTGCTTTTGGAATTCGCGGAAGACAAACGGAAAGTTCCTCACCCTTCATCTTTGCAAAGATCTTTAAGAAAGGCTCTTTTTTTGCGCTGGATCCGTCTGCTCATAAGATCATTTAATGAAACGCGTCACAAAGAACGCGTTTCATAAAATGAGAAAATCTTATGAGTTTTATCATTTGCGAAATCGTAACAAAGGGAGCAGTACGAGTTCGATACAAGTACTGAAAAGTGCGGAAAAGTGCTGCACAAAAGCTGAGCAATGAAGTTTGCAGCTGTCCAAGTGTTGCTGCTGGCATTGGTTGGGATCCATACCAACATGGTGCTAGCAGTAGACATGAGTAAGTCCATTTTCACACTCGGTCGAAGATAGATCATCAGATCATCTAATCTAACTAATGATGTTGCTTTTGCAATGAACTCAGCGTGTTTCGAGTTACCGATCGTAATCGTGTCACCTACAAAGGTGAGGCTGCCAACTGAGACCTGTAATCAACCTCGTGTGCCCGCTCCTGATTGCATGAAAGACCCCGTCGAAGCCAACATTGAGGTAATTGACAACGTTGAAGGCGTGCTCAATTGCCTGAATGGAAGCCGAACCGCGGTCTATTCGGGTAGTGCTCACTACCGCGGCCAGTCCAGTCTTCATTTCACAAAGCACCAGATAGCGGTTGAACTGAGTGAAGATGGCGAGCTGCTTGGGTTTCCAGCGGATCGCAGTTTCGTACTGAATGGTCCAACAATTGATGATAGCTTATTGCGGAACCATTTAGCCCATTGGATGTTTCGCGGCACGGATCGCTATTCACCCCGGACCCGTCATGTTGTAGTGTTCGTTCGTGACCGATTGGATACGAACGATTGGAGCCCACGGTATCGCGGTATCTACTTGGCGTTGGAGAAGATCACGTACACTCCAAACCGAGTCGGACTGGCAAAGCTGAACAGCAATTGCCAGACGAAGGAAGAACTCTCTGGAGGCTGGGCATGGCAAAACAACCCGCTTGACTACGGTGATTATTCGCCCAACTTTGTGCTGAATGCAGCAACCGGACTCTTTGGGTCCGGTGCAAGACCAGTTCTGACATTTCCGGAGGCAAAAGTGCTTACACAAACTATGCGTGACTACTTCGTGTCGCCCGAAACAGGGCCTCTTCCTCGATTGTATCAGTACCTTTACGACAATATGACTGATCCTGATGGACTAGAAGAGCACATCGACATTGGTTCGTTTGTAGACTACTTCCTGCACACGGAGCTGTCGGAAAACTCGGACGCCTACCGTCGCAGCACTTACTTTTTCAAAGACCGTGGTCAACCCATTAACGCTGGCCCTGTCTGGGATTTCAATTTGGCTTATGGACGTGCTGGTACTCAAACGACGTGGTTTTACACGGTTCATACGTTTTGGAAGCGTCTCGCATGCAATTACAAGTTTGCATCCCTCGTTCAACAGCGATGGACTACATTGCGCTCGACTTTGTGGAGTAATGACGCGATTGAATCCTTCATCTTAACAAGTGCCGAGCCGATTCGTCGACAGTTGATAAATTGTGTCGGATGGAAAAGCGAGAATTTGCAGTGCGCAAATGTCAATGGAAAATCAGCGGACACCTATGACGATGCAGTAAATGATTTGATCATCGCGGTTCTTGCGCGTGCTATATGGATGGACTCAAGTGTGGCTGGGTTTTATAAAAAACTGGACCGTGACCTGTGTGTGCCTATTGGCAAACTTCCTGCCTACAACTGCGCTGCGGATGGCAGTGACAAAGGATGCCTGTCGAACCCCGACCTATACAGCAACGCTGTCGACTTTCCGGAGCCCCGCAAATCTATGGCTGCAAAGGTTTGCGACCCATCTAAGCATTCCAGCAAGCTGGAGAAGCCATCAATTGACCCGTGCTGGTTGTCAGCGGGTGTATACATGACGGATGGCTCGATTACACCTTTCTGCGGAGGATATGGCTTTTGCCCCGAGGGACCAGGAGCGAAGTGTACGTGCACGAGTGGACGCCACCCACCCACCTGTGCTCGTAGCGACGATGTGATTGTACCTCACGGTGGCTTCACTGAAGATGACATGGTCGAGCCAACGTCATTGCTAAGCCAGTATCTGGATAGAGATGATGGCACGCACTTCCGCTATCCACTCTTCTTCTTGTGTGCTTTCTCTGCGATGGTGTTGGGTGTGGCCGTGGCAGCCCATCAAAAGCGCCGTCACCGCCGCTTCATTCGTTTGCGCGAAACATTTGGTCGGACGGCCGCCAACTTACGTGATGAACATGACGGGCAAAGACTTTTCTACGGCACTTCGTAAGCACTCAATTGCGTCACCATTGCTGGATTATCGAACTATGGACATCCCTTAGTTTTTTTGCGCCTCGTTCACAAGAATCTTCGCTCAGTGCTAGCCACAATGCCGATGGCGGGAATCCATTTGCTAGAGACTGTTTTTGCTTTTTTTGGCCTTAAGAAAGACAAACATTCCAACGTGATGCATGCAAAGTTAAACTACATGGACTGACTGTTTGAGGAAGGATGTGGATGAATTCATACAACGTCTTTCCAAACGTAAAATTAGTTCCTTGATACTGTCATTTTCTTGCTTTGTAACAACATATACTTAGCTGCATTGTAGGAATTCAACCTACATGTAGTAGTCTTACCGTAATAACGAACACCAGACCATTAAGAAACACATCTTCTCAAAGCGATTGTAAAACCACATCGTTACATGTTGCTGCTTGTACACTTGTTTTTGAGTCCATGGTGATAAGTTAGTCGGTCTCCAGCCGCGCACTCGTTTCCAGTTCATAATCAAAGCGTAGTGGTTCTCTTTCATGATGGCGTGGTTCACTAGCAACGAGTCTACACAAGTGAGATCCGAGAAACGTGTCCTTGTCAGCACAATTTCTGCCTAAACCTTCGGTTGTCGTGACATGAAGATGCTTGGCAATTCAGCTATACTTAGTCTTCTTTCTGCATTTGGCTATGCGGATCGACGCTCGATAAGTTGTTTGTCTTGGATTTCAAAAATGCTGGAAAAACATGGAGTAATTTCCTCTTCGTGGTGTGTGATGAGTACCATGTGAGTGCGCTGTGCGGCATGTTGCCCGATAGCTTCAATCACACGCAGCACGTGAGCGCGGTTAAACGGATCGAGTCCGTGCGTGATTTCATCCAGTATCAGCAATTTCGGACGTGCGGCCAGTGCACGTGCAATCAACACGAGTTTCTGCTCTCCCTGCGAAAGCTGAGCTAGAGTGCGGGTCTTAACAGCATCAGGTAAAGCTAGCAGGCGCATAGCGAGTCTAGCAGTCTCGGGACTTGCAGCATTGTTGTCGATGAGGTTAAAGGCAGTTTGGTCCTCTACCTGGTCGGACTGTAAACTTCGGTGCAGTAGCTGAATGTGCTGATCAGTCGAGATCGCTTCAACTCGTGGCTTCGAGGCCGTAGAAGTGCCATCCTCGGTGAAAGACAAGCCAGAGACACACACTTGCTCGCCAATAACCAGCACTTCACCTTCAGTTAACCCATGCCCAGGCGTCTGCATCAGTACACGCATCAGGGAACTTTTACCCGAGCCATTTGGCCCAAGTAGAGCCCAGTGTTGATGGGTTTGGCGCACAAAATTTACATGTTTCAGTAAGATCCTCTTGTGGTTGTATGCGATCGAAACATCCTTCAATTGCACCGCAGAGGCTAGCTCGACCTCGGTCAGATCTTCATCCTTGCAGCTAAACAGTTGCTCGACTAATGACATTAGTTCCGTGTCCTTCATCCTAACTCGTTTTCCGTGCTCTTCATTATAAAAATTTTCAAGACGCTCCATCATAGCCTTGTTGCGTGCGTCATTCTCTTTATCTCCCGGCCATGCCACCATTTCAAAATTCCCAATCTCATTGTGCTTCAACAGGATTGTGTGGGAAAAGATCTCCGGGAATACTTGCTCCAATCTGTTAGCAACCAACAGCACCTGTGTTTTGAAAGCAAACGCCTCGTGCTTGGCACCCGTTGTCTCAACCAACAGTCTTGTGAATCCTCTTGTCAACTGTCCAAGCATCCAGTGTAGTTGTCTTCTCGCTTTTATATCCAACCCATCAAAAGGCTGATCCAAAATCAGCACCGATGCTCTTGGAGTCTCCAACAACGACACAGCAAGCAAAAGTTTTCTCATTTCTCCCGTCGACAAGTGACGCACTTGCTGCTCCCACACAGGATACAGCCCAAGCCTTACAATAAGATCCCGTGCAGTTGGAGACCCAATACCACCCAGTACATCGGCTACCACCCGCTTTCCATGCTCTGCTTGGAAATCTCGATGAGCATCGAGACTGAGAGTTGCAAGACGAACCGATGTCGATATTGTCCCATGAGCTTGCTGCATCTTCACATATTCCTGTAACTTGGCTAGAAACTGCGTCTTGCCACTACCATTGAGCCCCACAAAGCAGTGTACATCATCCGGTAGTAGCTCATACTTCGATGAAAACTTAATTACTGGTATTGAAGCAGCAACGGGTGTCGTACGGCGTCTTGTAATGCCATTATCCAGCAGCACACTGTAATCACGAACTCTGACTGGATAACCTTGAATTGCAAAGCAACTAGAGAGAGATGGTGCATGAAACAACATTCCAGAGTTGAGGGAGATGACGGAGAGGAAGACAGGACGATTATACAGATAGTAACATCGACGTCGCGTGCGGGACGAGCGTCGCAACGCAGCCCATGCCCGTCGGAACGACAGCATGTCGTTGGAATCAAAACTAAAGTTGCGCAAATGTGGCCCACATCAGCTCTTGCATACATCATCTTCCTATAATCGGACAGACGCATTCCGTTCCTTAGGTTTTCGCTGCTCGTCCCTTTAGTGCCATTGTCACTCTCACAATGGCTGCGCGTGTGGTTAAGTCGTTTATTAATGGCAAGTACGTAACCCCAAAGGCTCTGAGCCAATCATTTACTCTATTAAATGCCGCTACTCGTGCACCCGAGACATCCTTCTCAGCTGCCGATAAGGCTCAAGTAGACGATGCTGTAGCTGCTGGTCGCTCTGCTCAGCGCCATTGGAAGCGTCTGAGTCCAGCGCAACGTGGTGCAATTTTGCGCAAAGCTGCGGACATTCTGACGGCTCAAACGGATGAGATTGCGATGCTGGAAACGCTGGATACCGGTCGTCCCATTGCTGAGACCAAGGTTACTGATGTCTTGAGTGCTACGGACTGTTTAAATTACTATGGAGGCGTGTGTCCATCAATTGGTGGGCAGCATTTGGAGCTCACTGGAGGTAGCTGGGCTTATACTAAGAGAGAACCATTGGGCGTTACAGCAGGTATTGGAGCCTGGAATTATCCGTTACAAAGCGCAGCATGGAAATCTGCACCTGCTTTGGCATTTGGGAACTCGATGGTGTTCAAACCGTCGGAGGAGACACCACTGACAGCTTTGATTTTAGCTGAAGCTTATCTTGAAGCAGGAGTACCTGAAGGTGTTTTTAATGTTGTACTAGGAGCAAGTGAGACGGGAAAAGCACTCGTGCAACATGAAGATATTGCCAAGGTGTCGTTTACAGGTTCTGTGGAGACTGGGAAGAATGTTTATACTGAAGCTGCCAAGCATTTGAAGAAAGTGACGATGGAACTTGGAGGCAAATCACCTTTGATTGTCTTTGAAGATGCTGATGTTGAAGAAGCTGTAGCAGGAGCCATGATGGGCAATTGGTACTCCTCGGGGCAAGTGTGCTCAAATGGCACGCGAGTGTTTGTGCAGAGGGCAATCTTTAAGAAATTTGTACAGCGTATGCATGAACGCACGCTAAAGTTACGAATTGGAGATCCATTGGATCCAACCACGGACATTGGTCCGATGATTAATGAGAAACACATGAAGCTTGTGCAGAGCTATATCAAGAAGGGTGTGGCGGAAGGTGCTACTTTACTAAAAGGTGGAGGTCAACGTATGATGCCGTCAGAAGCCACCAAGAACGGATTCTTTTTAACACCGGCTATTTTTGTGGACTGTATCGATGAGATGGCTATTGTACGTGAAGAGATCTTTGGCATGGTCATGTGCATCTTGCCGTTCGACACTGAGGAGGAGGTATTAGCCCGTGCTAATGATACAATCTTTGGTTTGTCGGCGGGTGTCTTTACGAAGGATATCACCCGTGCACATCGAATGATTGATGAGCTGCAGGCTGGTACCACATGGATTAACAACTACAATCTCGCTCCTGTGGAGACCCCATGGGGTGGTTACAAGAAATCTGGTGTCGGCCGTGAAAATGGTCTTGCAGGTATTAACTCGTGGACGCAATTGAAGTCTGTTTACGTTGAGATGAATGGTGTGGACTGTCCCTACGCTAAATAACGGCAGGAAAAGGTCTTTCAAGCGATTCCACCACCAAGTGATCTAAAAATGATACTGCCTTAATTGATAACTTTTGTTAATTGCTTCTTAGTATTGATGCCATACAATACAACTGACCTATTATAATACTTGTATAATTAATAACTTGTTATAACGGATAGATGTCTTCTAGTATCATTTTAGACAAGCATTCGAAAAAAAATTGTATAAGGAGGCGTTATATATCCCCCACCTCATTACAAAATCAAATTTATATAAAATTGGGGTGGGGCTGATAAACAACAACGTGGGGGATATATAACGCCTCCCTTGAGCACATAATTATCGTCATACATTAGCAATATCTTTTACACAATCGCCTTATCAAGTTATGGTTCATTGGGGTACAGTTTTCGTGACGGTAACGGCAGCAAGTTTTCTGCTTGGACGGCGCGAGTTACCGAAACTCGGACGTTTCATCGGTCTCTATACTGGTCGTTCAATGGGTGCTATTCTTCGAGCCAAAAAGGAATTCTTCAATGTTACCAATGATAACGATCTTGTCAAACTCCAGCGCAATTTCCAGCGAGGTATTGAGGAGCTCAATGAAATCCGTTCGGAGCTCACAAGTGTCGGTAGTTTGCGGCGGCCTTTGGAGCCAACAGGGACGACATCTAGTGCTATGTCAAGTGATACAGTGACCCACTCGGCAACATCTGTGTCCACTAGTGCATCAATGTCGCAACAAACCTCTGGAGGACGTTCGAGCGTCTCCTTGGCGTCCACAGCCGAATATGAGGTGCCGAAGGAAGGACGACGCAATGCTGAAGCTAGTTTGGCTATGGCTGAATTGAAGCTGGCAGAACAAGGTAAGTTTAGTCCACGAGTGGAGATTCAGGAAGGAGGTGCAGATTATGTGTCTGCAAGCATTATGGACAGCTTGCTGCTCGACGAGACAAAGATGAAGCAGCAGACTTAAGTTTGTGATTAGCAGCTTAATGTTGACGTATGAAGGATGATCCTGCACCGTTGCAGCCGGTTCCAAAGTCAGTAGTTATTGATATCAAGTGCTGGTCGATGTTATCGTCATTTTACCCAGTATCTTACTGATAACAGCGTCTCCTCGAGACGAGTGCTTAAGTTAAATGATCGACTTGATGATGCTGCATGAAGCCACGTAGCACATTGAAATGCTCAACATCTTGGCTAACATCAACGAAATTTTTTTAAGAAGAGTATGACTTACTCTCAAGCGCAACATCACGTGTCATCTTCAGCAATCACTCGACAAACTGTCGATCTATGACCATTAAAGTCTTGCGCTTGGATCATATCAGTGACGAGATTCTTTTCCACAATGTCAACTACGGCCATCATGGATCTATCTATGACTCTCTCGATATTACTCAAGATAGATCTCGAGATAGATGATCTTGCGTGGCAACGAGCAAGATATCAAATTATCATACAGCACATCAAGTGCTATTGGCATCAAGCACATGATTCATCATGTGAGTGTGCAACTTCTGACAAATAACTTCTAGTAAAACTGTAATCTCGCCTTCAAACTCAGCGGCGCCACCTAGAGTACCTTGTCGATTACCTCAAAACCTCCGGCACAAAGCATGACAAACCCTAAAACCATCATTGCACACAGAAAAAACTGCCGCAGTCGATTTGTGCACGTCGGCGGCTCATCACGAAATAGGCATAAGTGAAAGAATGCTGGCAAGATGAAGGCCAGCAACGAGCAGCATGTTGAGCCAACGAACGAAATAAACCAACCAAAATCTGTCAGGAAACACAACGTTAGGCTCAACGAGATAATTCACAACAAACTGACAGCACCTTTTGTACCTGGAATTCCAGCCGCGATAACCGCAGTGACCAACACGATACCCACGCGCAAAATTATACCTTTCGTTTGACTAGGCTGCGGGCTTTCAAGCCTTTGGCCGCGTACCATCATAGGTTGCAAAACCTCAAAGACTGGAAACAGCATCACTGGGTACGTAAAGAAGAGGCCCAAACACAGAGAAACTTTGACAAGAATGGCCAAACTGCCGCCGCCATCAAAGTTGAGGGTAATGACAGCGTTGGTTTCGTTGCCGAAAGCAAGGTATCCACAGATTCCAAACGTAGCATACAGTGACGAAATGATCACAACCGTGCTGACAAGAATAGGCGTAAAATTTCTTTTGTTCCGCATCGAGTTTTCCAACGATAGCACCATTCCCACTCCTTCGAAGCAGTAGTTGGCCACTCCAAAGAAAAAAGGTATTGCAGACACGACGCCTATAACTTCAATATCGTCGTGATCATACTCCATGTAAGTCAGATCAATGTTAAGCACGACCAAAAGTCCAAAGATGCACATAAAGTCAGCAAATAATGCCACATAAGCCAACTCTCGCATGTGTTTTAGCAGTGATAATCCAACAAGTGGTGGCACACACACCAACACAATCAGCTGCTTTGACACATTCAAGAACTGATTAACATTGGAAGCAATGAAAATCAAATCTACATTAAAAACAAACCACCAGCAAAAAAAATAAGTAAGAAAGAAAAAGAAGTTAGCACTTGTCTTGATGCACCGATAGTATTCAAATACCTACATGCAATGCAGAATCCCATTTGAGAGATTACAAGTGCCGTATTTACAATCACTGAGCCAGCAGAACCCATTGCAAAGTACCCAATTTCTCCATAACTTGTGACATTTTTTCCTTGTTGCTTGAGTTTGTATTTGCACTGCACCACGAGCATCATAGCATAGGTTGTAACTCCAGCTACACCCATTAACGTCAGTAGCCCCGTCTACAAAACAATTAATATTATTATTAGCAATAGAACAAAGACAATAATATTATTATTGAAATGCTGACAAGTCGTTATTGCAAGTCAGTACCAAAATACCGCACTGTCGAAATGCATACGGAAGACCTAATACTCCTGAACCCAAGAAAGCAATGCACGTGTTGATAAATATCTTCACGTCACTATACACAAAAATATCAAGAATGATTACGTCAGCAGTCAGTAATCCATTCGGTTTCCTTTTGTTCCCTCTATTTGCACTTGTATAAGTATACAATCGAATTCACCTACGAGGTCAGATGTAAAGTAGCTTCTGCGTGTTCATGCAATGCAGGACTATCAAGCTGCTTAGGATATCGAACTATCGATGTTATCGTCCCTCTCTCCCAAACACACACTAGAATTCGAGATAGTAGAGCTAGTATCAGACAGGCGAGTCAAGTCAATAGCTTGGAGATTAGGCTCCTGGAGCGTAGCCATATTACGTAGTGACGGTGTCTGCTCGCGATAAACACTCGTGCTTGTCGCATTCTGATTGGTTTATTTTCATTTATTTATAGACCACTAAGGCTGTATCTTTACAAGTAACATTCCACCAACATTTTACATCCAGGCGATCCTTCCTCCCTACTAAAAACGAATTAAGAACCATGTCGATGAATCTCGAGGCTCTGGACAAGGAAGCGCATGTCTTGCGTACTGCTATTGACGATAATAATGTCGTCGAAGCGACAAAAGTGCTTGTACAATTGAAAGTACGTATAATACTCATGTATTCCACTTTAAATAACCTCAATATTCCATCGCCATAACGTCAGAAACTCCATGCTTTTTCATGGTGTAGATGGCACTTACGACACTCCCAGCGCTTCCTCCATGCGGAATCGACTCTCCTACAGCTAAAATGGAGCTGGAGGTTGCACGTACGTGTGTCTCTCAAAGCTTTTGAGTCTTTTAAGTCACGATTAACGTCCTATTGCTTCTTTTCTCGTCTTTTTTGTAGGCCACGTACTGGAAAGCGCGACGTTGCTGAGCATTTTGCAAGAAGATATGACTGCTTTTGAGCGCAATATGATCCAGCTTAAAGTCTATTACAGTTGTGGACTACCACTATCGCCACTGCACTACCCGATTCTGGGCACAAGGCTGCTGCAGCTGCTTGTGGAGAATCGCATGGCGGAATTCCACAATGAGTTGGAGCTGCTGCCTGAACAGAGTCGCCAAGATCCAAATATTGCCTTTGCTGTCAAGCTGGAGCAGTATTTGATGGAAGGCACGTACAACAAAGTGCTAGAGGCACGCACTAACGTACCCAATCCGTACTTTCCTTTTTTTCTATCGCAACTGCTGCAGACCGTTCGTGAGAACATTGCTGACTGTGCTGAAGTAGCTTATCAATGTCTCACGTTGGCCGACGCTCAAAAGATGCTCATCTTTGACTCGGCTGCTGAACTTGGTGCCTACATTCAGGAAGAGAAGACAGAGTGGACTGTGCGCGAAGGTCGAGTGTGGTTCAAGGCACCGGAGAAATCGTTGGGCGCTTCGGATATTCCTTCGTTGAGATTAGTTGGTGAGACGCTCGCGTACGCTACGGAACTGGACCGTATCGTATAAAAAGAAATGAACAGGTTATGGCGGATGGAAAAAAGCAAATCCATGAACCAAGGAATAACAGCCATGCCATTGTTTCCAAAGCGTGGCGTCATTTACTGACGGTGACGTTGATTCATTCTTCGATATGTGATTCTTACCCCACTTTATGGTACACCAAGATTTCCAGCTAGTCAACAGATTGCAGCTTTTGTGTCGCGGCGTTTCTTGGCCGGGGCAGCACCTAAAACTTTGTCCAACCACACCTGCGTTTTAATCGGAAGCGTGGCGCGTGCCTCCCACATAGGCAAGTCCTGGTTGATCCATTGAATCATGTAAATGATCTCTCTCGCTTGTGTGGTCAAGTTGTTCACCTCCCTGCGCTCGTGAGCGACTTTAATCTGATACTGGCACGCTCGTTTGGCGCGTTCACGCCCACGAAACATATCAATAAGTCGTCGTGGGATGTTCTCGTCCGGCTCCCATGTCAGTTCATCGTAGCCTTCCCACTTGACTAGGTACAAATCTGATTCTTTGTGGCGCCGCAATCCTCCTGCCGACATCAATACCCGTCCTTCCTTGACGCATAATATAGCCTCCACAACAAAGACATCCTCTTCATTTAAATCAAAGACGCCACTGTCTTCGTCAGTGGACGAATCGTGTTCCAGTGACTGCGTGGATTCCTCCTCTATTCTTCCAAAACTGGCCTCTTCCTTATCTTGTGCTTCTTCGTCCTGTGCTTCCTCCTCTTTGTCTCCCTCTTTCTCAGTATCATCCACAACGATTGCAGACTTGGGAGAAGCTCCTAGCTTAACAAGCTGTTGTTCCTTCTCCTCGTAAGAAAAATACTTGGTTTCGTTTACAGAGGCCGCTTCATCTGCTCGGATCTTCGCCACAACTGCAGCTAACTGCTCCTTGGATGTCATCTGAATAGCAGTCTTCTTTTCTTTTACTTCTTCTACCATCTGCTGCTTTTGCCGTTTCAGTGGCTGCACCTCTTCACTCTTATGAGGCTTTGCAGGAGATGGAGGATTATAATGCAGCTCTGGTACGAACTCTGCTTCGTCTGATTCAGATGATCCCTCACTAGATTCTTTCTCTTTTTCTCTTTCCGATTTACAGACCCCTTCAGATTCATCCACAGACGGCCTTGACTGTTTAGGCCTCCGTTCTCGATCTCCAGTCGAATCTTTTGGTTTGCTCTTTTTCTCCTGCATCTGCGAAGTATCACCCACCGTCTCCAACGAGCGTTTCCGACTCAGCTTAGGCTTGTGTTTCTTTTCCAATGCAGTTTTAAGCTGCAGTTTTTCCAGTAACTTGGTCAATTCAGTTGACATGGCTGCATTGTCACCCTTGTCTAACTCCATCCACTTGATCATAGCCCTAAACTTGTTAGTATCGTGCACGACATTTCCACACAATGGCAATTTTCTCAGCTTCTTCAATATCGATTTCTCATGTGCATTTAGCGTCCCCTTATCCTTCCCAACTGCAACAACTGTCTCCAATTTCTGAGGAAGAGGTGACGTCGTCACGATCGTCATTTTCTTCTTCTCGACACTTTTCGTGTCCATTTTATCACTGGAAGAGCTTTTTATATTCCGTAACGAATCATACAAGCTATGATTCTTCATCTTTTTTGGGACAGCACTCTTTTGCACATCCTTCTCCTTTATCTTCTCCTTTATTTTTTCCTTCTTCTTTTTCATTGAAATTAAATCTTCTTCTCGTTTTTTATCTTTGTTCTTGCTTTTTTCCTTCTCTCTACGACGTTGTAACATCAATTTCCGCTTTTCAAACGTCTCGGTCACTTGCAACCACGTGGAACTGAGCGACTGTGTCTCAGTCTGGAGCTTTAACGAGTCGGGAAGAGGTGGCGCGTCCTGTAACAGTTTCGACAGCACGTGGTCCATACCCACGTGCATTTTGTCAAAGAGCTCGAGCTGTTTCGAGCGCATTGACGTATCGTCCGTCATGGAAAAAATGTAATGAAATAACGTCGTATTGAGTGGAGAGGCGGCTTTTTTTAGGTCTACCGTTAGAGGCAGAGGCGCTTAAAGCGGTCCTAATTGATTGGGAATTTTTTATTACTAAAATATGAAAATCGAGTGGTGCACATGATGAATTAACATAGAGATTGTGAATATTTATATATTTTACAACCATATTTAAGCTTATTTTATGCAGGACGGATGCAAGGATAAGGTGGATTTTGGGTAATTAGTAGGTATATCTCTTGCTTTAATAGCTACCAACACAATGGCTACAAAGTAATGTATATCGTAGCTTACCACATGCAACAAAATGACCTGTTAGCTTCCTATCAACTCTTGCAACCCTTTGACGCCGTCGCTATCTGCTCGATCAACATTTGCACGGGGACAAGACTCACGTCGTGGGTAAATACTACATCATAAAGCTCGAGGTACTCGTCCAACGCTTCGTCCACATGCACGTTAAGGAATCCAACGCGGATAATTTCGTCCGCAATCAACCCTTCGGCCATGTGTACATCGCCTCGCGAATCTCCCATCAGCAGCACATTGCGCCGCTTCTCCATCTGACAATCCTTCCAGAATGGCGAGTCAAGAAGTACACGCGCAGTTTTGTTTAGCGAGTGAATAATCTCCCCATAAAAGCCTTCAATGATTCCATCGGCATCGAAGCGCATCATGTTTGAAACCACGTGCACGTTGCTAGGAGTGAAAACTCGGTTGGCACCACTTCCAGCCTTTTCTGTACTTCCGTTATGCTTGCACGCAATAGCAAACTCTTGCTCCAATACAGCGTGGATGACATCGTAGAGTCCAGCCGAGAAGATAAGTATCGGTACATGCTCGTCGTGCAGTAGCTTCAACAAGGAGTGAAAGCCCTGACGAAAACTGAACGATCCTAGAGAAACTGCTTCTTTCACCTGCTCACGTGTCAGCTTGTACTTAACAAGCAACGCATGCGCACTGTTCCACCATTGCTCCATAAACGGTAGCTTCTCCTCATTTGAAAGTGACAGAGACATCTCCACAGGGTAAAATTTTGCAAAAAGCTCTTGCTCTCCAACACGTACTTGTGGGTGCAACACACTGCTGGTCATAAGCAGTCCATGGCTGCTATTTTCTTGCTCTAATGGGGCCTTAGAATCATTCCGTTGCTTGTAGTATGGCGTCAACGTCCGATCAAAATCGGTGATCACCAAGAGATGGTCTGGTCCGTCCTTAACAAACTTTTTTATCTTGTGAGCAAATGCATCTGGAAAGAAATATTTATAGAAGGTATTAAATGTATTAGTCCTAGTCTTACTAAGTATAAAAATAAATATCGCATCGCTTTGATCTTCGTACCAGGGTCTGCGATTATCATTCGAGGGGCACGACGTTTGTAACCATCACTATAGGAATGCGCGTGAATAGAAGGTCCCAAAGCAGAGGTGTCGGAATCCGAGCAATTTGTACTAGAGCAGGAAGCGAGAAGAGAACCACCTGTAGCTGTACAGAGAGTTAAGATCCTGGAGTGAGACCGATGCCAAGTCATTTTATTCCAAATCATACAGTAAAACAAAGGAGTCATAAAGGGTTTTTTATTTTAATAAATAAAAAATATATAGAAAAATTATGCTGTCTTAATAATGTTATGATAAAGACTCCAAATCACTCACTGTGAACGAGCTCACAGGACAAATATATCCTGGAGCTCTATTCGCACTCGAGCTTCGCTACAACTGTCTTCAACGGGGGGGCAAAATATGTACCCACCGGAACAGGTGAGTAGCTTAGAGCAAGGTCCTAAGGACGACGAAGTCGTGCCACGTGGGGTTCAGCTCGCACTTGATTCTAACCATACGACTGTCTTCAGCGAGGGGGAAGATATATCCCTTTCCCGGAACAGGCGTGTGGCCAGACTCGAGTTCCTTTACAGCGCGACGAAGACTTGCCAAGTAGATTGCAATGTTGAGTAGCATTTACTTAAGTCTTATCCTTTAAACTCCTTTACTGTAATAGGGCACCCTCCGACTATACTGATTACAGTATAGTCTACTTTCACTGATTACAGTGAAAGCAGGTGCCTCAATTACCTCACGTACACGTGAGCAGAGGAAGGGAATCAACTAAACAAACGCTTAGTTGAGAAGGAAAAAAAACTGTAATTTATATAGTTAAGTGTCTAATAAAACTAATCTGTTATAACCTATGTTAACTATATTAAACTACAACTATGTATGTTGACAACTTGCCCTCCACTCATTGCGCCCGTCCATCGGTCATTGGTCAGCGCGGTGGTTGATATGATGGCCCATATCAACCAATTAGAGGGCATCTCCAACTTCAAGGAAATGTGAGAACAATATTATATGAAAAGGTAATATTATCAGCTATTATTAGTTATAATAATATTTTTATTGACACTTCATATAAGTGTCAATATTATGTAGCAGGCTCGCCCCGTTACATTTACTCTATCCTTGCCTGAAGCTCTGATTCCTTGAGTCGACTGCTATGATCCTTGTGTTGACTGGTCAGAAGTGGCTGAACCTCGAGGGACTGATGAGGGACTCAGTTCCACCAATGAGGGACTGGGTTTCGCGATGAGGGACCGGGTCTCGAGATGAAGGACTGGGGTATTCCTATGATGAACCCAGGTCTATTGATGAGGAACCCATGTCTCGAAGAGGGACCAGGTCTGTCGAAGAGAGACCGGGTATACCGAAGAGGGACCGAAGTCGTCCGACGAGAGACCAGGCGTACCAATTAGAGACTCAGGTCTAAAAATGAGGGGATCGTAGTCGACTCCTTGCGGTATTATTTAACCAGTACCCTGGTAACGATCTCTCCTTTCTTGGTCCTTTACATTGTCAGCCAACGGTCGCCTCACTCCGAGGCCCCTTTCTCTCCGGTCCCTTCTATCTGGTGCGGGATCCCTTCTCCCTGATGCGCGGTCTCTTGTCATTTCAATCCAACTTGCCCCTGGGTTCTCCACATTTCGAAAAGCACTTCACCACAATGGCATGTGTGCTGTCGATCCGAACTCATATCACTGAATACTAGCGAACGATTTTTTCAATGCGGGAGTCATCAATTATCTCAGGAACCCTAGCGATGAATCACTCGCGAAGTTGACTTAATCAACACGCGATAACTTTAAACGCTACGCACTTGACGGACTGTTGCTGACGTACACGATAAGCGTCTTAAATTCACCGCGTGTCGTCATCTCTGCCGATGACGACCTTCGAGCCCGATCGGTTCATAAATTTTCACGACAGCCCAGCTAGCGGGCATCTGGGTCGCGAAAAGACGTTTGCGTCTATATCTCGCGTTTTTTTCTGGCCGCGATTGTACAAGTACATTCAGAAATGGGTGCGCTTCTGTGAAACTTGTCAGTGTGTGAAGTCCTCGCCGCCTTCACAAGCCCCATTGCGTCCGCTTCCGATTGCTACGGAAGCCTGGCGCTCGGTCAGCATGGATTTATCGTTGGACTTCCACCGGATGAACAGCAACGCACAGGCGTATTGGTCCTAGTGGATCGATTCAGCAAAATGGTGCATTTTGCTCCGGTATCCGCTAACTACGGCGGAGACGACAAAAAGGTTTTCATTGATCTTATCTTCAGGCATCACGGCTTGCTAGAATTTATTGTTTCGGACCGTGACCAGCGTTTCACTTCGGCTTTCTGGGCTATATTATTTCATCTATCAGGCCGTGGTTGCTTATGTTTACGGAGGCCCATCCAGATATAAATGGGCAAACGGAGCGTGTGAACAGAGTGCTCGAAGATGTCTTGCGCAGTTATGCAACATCTGGTTCGTCATGGATTTCGTTTCTTCCACTTGCAGAGTCTGCAATCAGCAATGCTGTCCATGCGTCAACCGAGTTGACACCCTTTTTCGTTAACAACGCGAGGCATCCTCGCGTTCCGGCGCTTTATTCTCTCTCATCTTCAGAACACACTTTCACAAAGCTTGGTAGGGGGAATTGCACCGAATCTCTTGGGTGATTGATTACGACAAAGTCAAGGTTGCTGTCGATGCAAGTAATGCTGGTAATTTTGTAACAAACGGCATATCAACTTCTGACGCGATGCATTCCATCGCATCTCCCGTTGCTAATTTTGCCTCCGAAGAAAATACTTCGCCTGTAAGTTCGGCTGCAGTAACCGAATTTCTGCTATTACGACAAGATATCACGCGTTATGTGCGTGATGCATTGGAAAAGGCAGTAGACAAACAAAAGGAGAACGCAGACAGAAGAGGTCGAAAGAATATGCTGACATCTTGAGAAGGTGACAGAGTATTATTATTAACTAGTGGGTAACCGAACACCTCAGTGACGGATTTAGGCGCTAATAAATTAGCGCAAGATATATTGGCTCATTATGGGTTGTTAAGGTGCATGGTGACGCTTACACCAACATCTAGACGTTTGCATTCGACGTTCTACGTCGGGCGCCTCAAGGCCTACCTACCGGAGGAATTCCCTTCGAATCTTCCCCGCTCTTCTGTACAGGCTCAAAATCCGACATGGGAAAGTCAAGTATCTTTTCCGCGTTTGATCTGAAGGATGGATGCTATCAAGTTCTCATGAAGAGATACCTATGTAGCCAAAACGGCAGTAAGCACCCCAAGCGGTATGCTGTGGGAGTGGCTTGTGATTCCACAAGGGTTGAAAAATGCTCCGGCAACATTCAACCGAGTGGTGGCCTACGTGATGCGTCAGCACCGTGCGTAGGCGCCCCATTACTTTGACGATGTATTCGTGCATAGTAGGGTGGAGGACGGTCTGAGCGCAATAGAGTCGCACAAGCGTCATTTAGACGCTGTGTTGCAGACTCTGGGTGACGCCCAATTATACGTTAACTTGCAAAAGTGCGTAATAGGGGTCCCCGAGATACCTGTACTGGGCTGCATCGTAGGTGCACATGGTGTGCGAGCAGACCCAGAAAAGGTAAAGGAATGGCCAGTCCCACGTCATGTGAAGGATCTGCGCCAATTCTTTGGGCTCGCTAATTACTTGCATAAGTACAGCAAGAATTATGCGGAGCGGACTAAGCCATTGTCTGACCTTTTGAAAAAGGATACATCATAGCTTGGTCAAAGGAGCAAGAAGATGCGCTCACATCAGTGAAGCAATCTCTTGTAGAGGCACCGACCTTTGCATTGCCGCGTGGATAAGCCGTTTAGCGTCGTCTGCGATGCAAGAAATTTTGCAATCGGCAGCGCGATCATGCAGAAGGATTACAACGGCGTTGGCCGTGTCATATCGTATTAGTCTCGGCTTTTAAAAGCTGCAGAGCTGAATTACCCTGTGCATGACAAGGAGCTACTTACAATTAAGTATGCCCTTGTGAAGTTTCGGGTGCACCTCTTGGGCACCGAACCTTTTGTGGTTGGTACGGATCACGCATCACTGCGGACCACTATAAATTTACCGCATCTCTCGTCGAGAATGGCGAGATGGCAACATTCCTCTCTGATTTTAATTTCAAAGTTGCATATAAGCCAGGTAAGTCGAATGTCTTGGCTAACGCTCTATCGCGCAGACCAGACTTCTGGGCAAGGCACCAGGAAAGTGTGTCTCGTGCGAAAGCACAAGTTGAGTCGTCAACATTGGCAGCCATGAAGGCGTACCATGTGACGAGCTCATTGGCCTCCGATATAAAGGAGTGTTACAGTCAGGACGAACATTGTCGCCTGCTGTTGGATCATTTTGGTGGACGAAAGGTTACCCTTCCGTCACACCTCAAAGCGAAACTAAATCGCTTTAGTTACAGTGTTGGCCTACTATGGCATCAGCTGTCACCTTGTGATCCCTTGAGAATCTATGTACCTTATGACACAGATCTCAAGCTGATGATACTTCACGGGTGCCATGATGCGCCATCTAGTGTGCACCTAGGTCGTGAAAAGACATTCTTACGAGTGTCAGAGGAATTTTGGTGGCCCCACCTATATCGGTGGGTGGTCAACTATATTTGCTCTTGCGAAGAGTGTCAGCGTATAAAGCCTGCACCTTCTAGTAGTGCGCCACTGAAGCCACTGCCGATTCCAACGGATTGTTGGAAGTCGGTCAGTTTGGACTTCATGTTTGGCTTACCGCCTGACCATAAAGGCAGGACGGGGATCGTTGTCTTTGTAAAGAGACTGAGCAAGATGGTGCATTTAGCACCATGTAGAACCAATATCCCAGAAAAAGAGGCCGCCCTCTTGATTCTGGATCACGAGTATCGACTACATGGGATGCCCGAATCCATAGTATAGGATCGGGATCCGCGTATTACGTCGGGTTTTTGGCGACATGTGTTTGAGCTGCTGGGAAGCAAGCTCCACATGTCAACAGCCGATCATCCCCAAACTGATGGCAAAACAGAACGAGCCAATCGAGTCGTGGCGGATGTATTGAGTACTTTAGCGACTCTTAAAGAATGAACAAGCGATTTCCATTTGTGGAGTTCGCTATTAATAATTGTGTTCACTCCAGTACGGGTGAAACACCGTTTTACATTAACGGACTGCGTCATCCTCGAACGCCAGTCTCGTTTGTGCGCAGCCCGAGTCTTAGTGGGGGAGGGACCCTCACTTCGCTCGGTGCAAATGCCAAAAAGGGCCAAGGTTGCCCTAGTGACACTGCTAATTTAGCAAGTAGTCACGACACCTTTAGGTGTCAATGAGGAGGCACGGAAAGTAATGCCTGTGCTCCTTTACGATGACACTATCGTGTTATCTACAGCGTCGACCCAAGACCGACCTCTTGAGGGTGTCATAGGCGAGCTGGATGCTAAAAGCGTGGGCGAAGCTCAGCGCTTCGTGATGAGCGAGTAGCCGTCTCACGTAAAGTCTTTGACGCAATGGCAATAGCACAGGACAAGCAAAAAAAATATGCGGACCGACATGGTCGCAAAAACAATGAACACTTTAGTGTTGGGGACAAATGCTATTAAGTACTGCTACCTTACCTAAACATGCAATTTCTGTACTACCTGGTGGTACTAATAAGCTATTACCCGATTCATTGGGCCATTTAAGGTGGTCGAGGAGATTAAAGACCTAAACTATAGGCTCAATCTCCCACCGTATAGGAAAACGCACCCCGTATTTTACGTGGGTCGTCTGAAACGGTATGTGTATCCACAAGAGATCACATATCCGCATAAGTCTAACGAGACCGATGGTGACGTCGACTGTGAGTCGAGCGTCGTTGCCGATCAAGCGACGGGGAAGGTGAACGACTTTCCGTATACGAGACCGACGACAGAGGACTCGGTGATCGAGGAGGACTCCGCGCTTGACGCGGGTCTCTCATCACCAGTCTCTCATGCATGTTCAAACGGGTATTCAGGCGGTCATACCCCTGACGGTCCCTCGAATTTACAGCGCTTCGATCCAAAGTCAGTCGTGAAACTTGACTCGAAAGATCCGCCCCCTCTTTCTTCAGCGCAGCGATCTCCTCCTACGACTGAAAAACATCAGGATATGCAGTCGCGAGTAATTGGGCGTAATCTCCGCTTTTATCAGTAGCCACCTGTGTTGGTGGATGCGGGTGGGAACACACGCTTCCTTGCTGAAATGTTGTTGGCCCACCGCCATGTGAAGCAAAAGCTTCAGATCCTTGTCCAATGGAAAGGATACCCGAACAGCTTCGACTCTTGGGAATCCGTTGACGCGTTGCGTGTCGACGTGCCTGGTCTGGTGGCTCCAGCTGCACTTGCTTTATTAGGTACTGATGGACTAGCAGGGGCAGCGTAGCGAGAAGGAGTTGGGGGTATACTATCGCCCAGTATCTCCCTCGAACGTGTGATAGCGAAGCTGACTCGCTGCGACCGCTGTTCACTGCATCTACATGCGGTGTGACACGGCGAAGTAACTCTGCCTCGTATTCTTCGGTTGTTTCATTCAAACGCCACACGACGGAAATAAGGAAAGCACGACCACGTGCTTTGCCCTGCCGTTTCCATGATGGAAATATGCTAAAAGTTTCTTAGCGTCAATAGTGGCACGCCTTGAAAGCGTCGCACTATTTGCACGCCAGCGTGGCCACTAGGATTGCGGTGCCATAGCTGACAAACCATCACTCACGTAGCCGCCCTCGCGACGGCGTGCTAGTGAGACCGACTTTGAAGTCGAAGGGGCTATTTGATCACCCTCATCTGAGTCTGACTCTCCATTATGGATTTTCAAGACATCAGATGTAGGGTTGACAGAGGCGGTCCATTTAAAATCGCCGACCTGCTGTTCAGTCGCGGCTGTTTCTTTCGAAGTAGCGCTCATTTGTAGCTGTTCCGCTAGTTGGCGTAGACAACGAGGTATGACCTTTAGCTGTCAGGAAGTATGGAAGCTTCCTGATAGTTGGGTGCCTCAAAGATGGGGACAAATGTTCCATAAACACACTGTGGTCATCACCACTTTGGGATGATGGTAATGGCGTGCTCTCATTGTAGTCAACAATGAAAGACAAGTCTCCATCCGCACCATAACGGGATGGACCCGTGTTCTCTGCTGACAAGCTGACATTAGATGTCGGCGTTGTCACAGCGACACTCATCGACGGCTGCGAGTTATCGCGTACAAAATGTAAAAATCTTCTTAAAGAGGGGGGAGACGCGTATCCGAGCTTCATACTTGACCTATCAGTAGTAAGATTTATGGTTAATTAGAATCTATTTAATATAAGTCAGACTTAAATTACTAACTACCGCCCACTGGGTACGAGAAGCTTAATGAGCTTCTGCGTGACGTAACTGAGGTACCTCTTAGTTGTTCGTTGCGCGGACCGCTCTAAGCGGCTGGCAACAGTTTGGTTCGGCGTTTTAAGCGACCGACCAACACCACGTGGAGGTAAGACGGTATAACCGCTCCATCGCGCTGATTGAAGGTGTGATTGCGTAGTACGTGGCAGTATCTTTTTGAAGCGCCCGTCTACAGCTGGTGCAATTACCCAAGAGAAGAAAAAAATTGACTGCAGGTAGGCGTTTCGAGCCAAGGAGATCAAAATGGCGAGATGGAACCGTTTTAAAGCGCGCCTTGTGGCCAAGAGATTCTCACAGAGGTAAGGCATCGACTACGATATATAAAACATTCGCACCAATTGCCAAATTTACGTCAAATAAACTTGTGCATAGTCTGGCGGCTAAGATAGATGTTTTGCTGTGCACCTGACGAAGAAATGTGAGTCCGACCACTGCATTTACATCAAGCGCAATGACCAGTACATGATATTTGTGGCTTTCATCGTCGATGATCTTGTGATGGTCAGCAGCAGCAACAAAATGCTTCATGCAGCCAAGTGTGCACTAAGTTAGCGTTTCGAGATGACAGACATGGGTCAGCTCAAGTTTTTTTCTTGCAATAGAGATTAATCAGGATGCAACGGGGCTATCACGCCCGTTACTAGCTTACACGCGCGCTTTAAGAAGACTGAAGCCCAAGTAATAGGTTGGCAATGTTACGGCAAAATGTACTCGCATACCACGTCCACTTTGTACAGTACTTGAACATGGCCAAGATGAAATTAATCAGGGCGTTGCGAGCGATCGTAGCGGACACAAAACATTTGAATCTGCTCGACAGTGGCATCATTCGTAATCCGAACCACTTTGTTCTGCAAAATAATAATTTCTGCAAGCACATGATTTCAATAGCGGCAAAAAGGTGTTCCGACGTCTGTGGCTGCGGACACACTTCATTACCTGCCACAAGCAGAGATGGGGCATTCATGTAGGCGGTGACACCGTTCAGTGTTGTAGCCAGAAGAGACATAGGAGGGCCTTCCATTCATTGCACGCGTCCAACCTTCGTTGGCCAGCGCTTTCGCTGATATCATGGCGTATATCTGCCAGTAAGAAGGGCATCTCCAACTTTAACAAGCTGTAAGCTGTACTTGTAACTTCCAAACGAAGATTTGTACGTGACAAATAAACGTTACAGCAATTTATGGATTTGTATAATGGATACTTTTACGTGCTCTCGCATCAAACGTGCTGGAATCCTTGCATACATTGCCAGCATCAAGGCTGATCTCGTGCCATGTCGTTCGTTGCCCATTGAGTGCAGATGCGTTGCCTTAGAGTATAAGGAAAGGTCACTAGTAACTAGGAGCTAGCAGTGTCCACGTCACTGTCGGAAGCGAAACGTGGCCCTGAGGACCTTGTGCGCTCGATGCCTACGAACGCCCACTGCGAGCGCGCGGACATGATTGCATATTACCCAGCTATGGAAGAGGAAGTCAGCTCGCGACTGCGTATCAAACGTTCGGAATCCATCTCTAGCGAAAGCGTTGCTTTGCTTTTGGTAACGAGCATCTTTACCGGCCGAGAACGCAGTTGACAAAGAGGCTTTGCAAGCAAGCTGGTAAGAAATTGCATTTAGTAGGGCTCAACACCAACAAAACGCTCAGTAGTACTGCTTCCGTAACTTCATTGTCTAGCTTCCAGACCATCGCAAGCCTATAACCTACAACTCTTCGTGTTTGGCTGACAAGGCGGCCACCGCGGCTACAAAAGTTTCCATCTCTCCGCTCGGCACCAAAAACGGACTCGAGCCATCAATGAGCCTGTCTAGGAACCCCGAGATGGTGCTTTTGTCGTTTGTGCCTGACAGGGCTGCAGGTGATAGCGCATATAACATCAAGAAGGTTAAAAACGTTATCATTCTTGAGTAATTCAATGTAAAAGCCCACGCATGCGTACCCATATACTTCATGGTGCGACCAGCCCTGAGGACAACCACCTCCGCATTCTCTTCGCCGATAAAATTGGCCAAAGCTTGGAAGACCTGCCCATCCGGCTTGCTAAACAAGAAAGTGAACGGGTCGTGGCGATATTTCTTAGCCAACGAGCGCACCAATTCTGTGTCGTCCTTGGTCACGACGACGCACATCTTGTTTCGCTTAGCCACACAATCACGAATAGTGTTTGTATCCAGCTCCTTCAATGCGACCGCGGGTTTCTTTTTGGCCACTTCGGGTGATGGGAACAGAGGCACGCTAGGCAGCGATTCATCCTTCTCCGTTGACTCAGTTTTCGCCAGCGCGTCACCAATAAACTTCTTGGCCGTAGCTTCGTTCAGGTTGCTTACATCCGACACAATGTACTTCTGACTGGCTGAATAAACGTAGATGACGGTGGGAAGCTGGTCTAAACTAAGTCCAAAGTGGTTGGCGATCTTGTCATCTGATCCTGGCACGAAGGCCAGTTGAACTGTGGGACTCTTTTTCTTTTTCTTGCCCTCCATAAACGACTCCGCTACGTCGCCCAGCCATGTTGGCGCCTTGGACCTCTTCTTACCCTTCGTTGGACTGCCGAAGAATATAGCCGAAGGTAGATCCTTGTTCAAGAATGTGTAAACCTTGTCATGCTCGAGCGTCACGACGTTAGCGCTACTAACCCCAAGTTTCTTTGCCTCGGGCGAGTTCTTCACGTATGCGACAATTTCCCTCGCAGTACGTCCACCACGATAGTCCTGAGGACGTTTCTTTTTAGCCCCGAACTCCTTGATTGTCGGATAGCCTTTGACCTGGTACTTTTGGGCCAATTGCTGGTGCACCGTGGCATCTACAGCACCCAAACGCGCCTATAATACGCACGCAGCAAGAGACGTAGGACCCGTTGTAAAGGTTATTCGTCAGTACATCAATATGTTGCAATACCGATGAAAATTCTAAAAAATGGTCTCAAAATTCGAATTATTTGCGCATAACTTACGTGTTTCTTCAGCTTCTTCGCCGCGGTCTTGTACTCCGGCTCCAATTGTTTACAGTGTCCACACCTACACCACTCACCAAGCAATGGTTAGTCGATTAATGCTGTGCATTGCTGCATATAAGCGGTCAAAGATAATCTCACCAAGGAGCGTAGAACTCGACGAGCCAATAATCGTTACTCTGTAGCACCTCTTTCTCAAAGTTTTTGTCCGTGAGAGTTACTACCGAGTCTTTAGGACCATAGGCGGCTAGCACATTGGCGGCCAGCACGCTCAGCAGCAGCAGAACAAGGCGGACACGTGGAAGCATCGTATGTATGTAGTATTTTAAAAAATAATGAGTATTTCAATTTAGTAAATATTCGATCCTCCACACAAGTAGAGGGAGTGTCAACCTTCTTTTACGTATATGCTAACAAGTTAAATAATCTTTGCTCACATGACATCCATCCCTCGGATCCGACTAATCGCTGTGTAAAATCAATCACCTTCTAGAACTAGTCTCAATGTCACCTCCACCCCTTAATATGTTGTCACCTCCACCATTTAATATTCACTATTGACCACACTTTTGCAACTAATTACTGTAACTAACATGAAAAGTCTAAATAGTTGCAAGTTCTAAACTATAGTTTAGTTTAATGAACGATCAGAGCAACGTGATAACAAGTTGAACTATTGCTATGTCAGACGAAACCAGACGCGAATTAGCGGCATCGTATCCGCAATCCGGTCAATCAAAAGCATCGATTGTGTTAGTCGGCATTTTCTCTATGACTTTTGTGCACCTCCTGCCTGACCTAGAGCTTTCAGCGCAACTTACCTCGACAGGTGCCTCAACAATTTTGTTTACTGCAGCACGTCTTGGTACATCATGACGCTGTCGCCTAGAGTGAGATCATACTTCTCATTGAAAGCAGCAATGTCGGGCACATCGTCTCCAGTGCGACAGAGGTATAATGTCCGTTCGAGATGGTACATGAGCGCCGGTCTGATGTAGTGGAAGGCGACGCTATCAGGTGCAGCACTTTCTTGTTTCTGCCTCACGCCACCGACGTGCTGATGGTATTGCACATACCAATAGTCCGATCGATTCGGGTCGACGAAGTAGACGCCGCTTGGTGCATCAGCGTGCCAGCGCTCCCGTCCTAGCAGGTCGCGTGTATCCCATGGGAAAACGTCATACCACATCATGCAGAACGAAATCGATGCATCATCTGGCAGCATTTCACTGTATCTGTCTGATAAGCACGTCCATTCCGGCAAGGTACTCACAATCTTGTCCAGATACAGACGATTCATAATATATCCGGGTCCACCGGAGTTAAACACCCACCTGTCCCATCGCGACCTCCAAATGGTTTCCAACGAGTTGTCCACGACATAGTAGCTCACCAAATCCTGCGTCAAGTTAAACCTGTGTCCCATTTGCATGGGCTCTTGCTTGTACGTCTGCATGATCTCCGGTCTTCTCAAATACTGCCTCAAGTTTTCTAGAATAATGTACGCATCATCGTCCGCTTTATAGAACCAGTCATATTCGTGTCGGAAATGCTCGTGTATGTAACGTAGCGTCGCCTTATGCTTCTGCCACAGATGGTTATGGTCTGCAATAACGTCCATCTTGATGACGTCATAGCGCAGCTCCTTGGCTGTACCTGCCCCCACCACAATTCTGTCCGTTGTATTACTGAAGAACATGAGCTTATCGCAGCGTTGCCCCCACGTCTCAGCCACAGCTCGAGCTCGGGTCTTGTGATGCACTGAAATTGTGTTCACAAAGCAGAAAATCTTTGGAAAAGCGCCAGCGTTTCGTGTTGGGGATGACTCGGGAGTAACCTGGACCAAATCTAGTGCATACCGCGACTGATCGATGTCGAGAGCGCAGAGATCTGCTTTGGAGAGGGCGAAGACTGGAGAAGAGGAAGGCAAAACATTGGAGCTCGCAGAGGACAAAGAAAAAAGAGTTGAGAGCTGAAATAAGACAACGAGAAGAAGAAAATAACGATGAAAAGGATGTAAGCGCAGTCTTGTGCGCGCAGAAGACGTGTGAGGGTCACATGAGGGCATCATAGCGGACGATCTGATCGGGTCGATCCTTAGCTTTAAAAATAGAGGACGTTATTATGTGATCTAATTGGCGTATCGTTTCGATAATACCCGATTATTTTCGTAGTTGGTCGGTCTCCAATAATACTAGTTTCAACATCTCATGCGAAGAATCTCATGAGAGCTGCAATGACTGCTGGGTGATCGCAAACGTTTTGTATACGGATAATGGTAAGCACATTACGTGTGATAAGTGCTGCCCATGTAATTGTGATGGCTTCCAGTAAATGATTTGTAGAGGTATTTCGGTCCGTCCCACTTTTGATGAAGTGGACAAGCAAACCGCTCAGCATCGACTTCCTGCTTTCCAAACCTCACTTTCATTTTTACTTCATTCGTCACTCACGTATCGCTTCGACGACTTCCTGATCAAGACCATGTCCCTGATACCATCTCCGAAAGTTATTGAAGGCGAGCATCCATGCAAGTCGCCGACGCCATCTCCAACACTCAATGAGGTCGACCATCCATACGTCATCCAAGTAGACGCTTCGGTGACCCCCACTGGAAACTCAAACGGAGGAACGTTTGCACAAGACAATGGGCTAAGTGACATCAAGATTGGAGGCTGGGAAACCACCTTGTGCGGCGGCTGCTTTAAACATTGTGTACCAAACTGCTGCATGGTGACCTTTTGTCCCTGCGTCACCCACGCACAAATTTCGTCTCGCCTTGGGATGGCACCGTATTGGTGTGCATTAGCCACATTGTTCATCTTGATCATGTTTACGTGCGGCACAGTGCACTTGATCCTGTTCATCTGGATCTGGAAGGCGCGAGCCCTGACTCGCGAACGCTTCCACATTCCGGGTGGGTGCTGCCGGGACTGCTGCGCCTCCCTCTTCTGTCCATGCTGCACATTGGCACAGATCGCTACACACATCAAGAGCTACCAACCTGGAAGCTGCGATTTTGGACCACCGGATACACTGCCACCATACTCGCGCACCTAGGCGTCGTCTAGAGATTCTGAATTTTATAATAGGTAAAGCAAAATAAATACCTGCAACTCTTTTCGATCTTGCAAACGGCATCCAACACTCTCATGAATTGAACGCTAATTCCTTGTAGACAAACTAGTGCTTGTTCGAAAGACATTCTAGTAGTTGTCTACACCATATTGTTGACGTTATAATAATGCACTGGCAGCTTTATTCATTCATTCATGTACGTTTTTCCCTTTCAAAAGTTCTATACTTGTACATTAGAGTCGACAGCAGTGGCTCTTGTTGGCGGTGATGTACTTGCTCGTCCACGTCGTGTGCAAGTCGCCGTACCCTGTTTATTCTACATCATCCTGTCCATTGTCGACGTGGAGGGCACTACTCCGCCGTCAGGTTACAACTTCACCGTTGAGGCCTACAATTTCGCCAACTACACGACACTCGGTTTTTATCTTTAACTTATAATAGAACCCAGTCGTAATGCTATTCTGCCTCATGGTAGTCTCATTGAAACTGTAAGTATTAACAATCGCATCGATGGAAGATTACGTCTGTGTGGTCTTGTCTTCTATGTTATTACATCGGTTTTTGGTTGGTAATTTTATTTTCAGTATCAAAACCTTATTTTTAATACATGACTTGCACTATCGCAAATATCACACGGATGACTACAATGAAGTAGTAATTCCAAACTACTACTTGCTACGCTCCGTTGTCCAAGACGTTCTGTCACATAACGCTAATTTGTCAGCAGTATTTCAGCCTATAAGAGCCAATCATTTCACATTAAATCGCTCAAGTTAAATGGATCAGCAATTGTACCAGCAGATTTTGCTTGCTGTCCAGGCAAGTCACTCGCCTGTGGCATCTCTTAGCGAGCGTCAGGCTGCATATGCTTTTTGTGAAGAGTTTAACAATCGTCCTGACTGTGCGTTGTATGCCGTGGCATTGTACCGGAACCCCAGCGGACGCGACGAATTGGAGCTACAGACGTGTCAACATTTTGCTCTTCACGTACTGGAACGTCATGTCTTCACTTGCTGGGACATGTTGCCTCTTGAAGAACAGCACAAGATGCGAATAGAGCTCATGGACCTGCTATTACGAGCAACATCAGCCGTGGACGAGCCTTTATTTATACGAGAAAAAAAGGTGGCACTCTTGGCTCAAATTGCCAAGCGACAATTCCCTCAACGATGGCCGGAGTTACTTCCAGAGCTACTTGAGGTGTGGCAGAGTGGAAATAGTAGACAAGTGGAGCTTGTGTTGTTGATTTTAAGGTCATTAGCAGAAGATTGTGTCAGTAGTTCGTTCAATACGTCAATTCCTCCAGCTAGAAGGAAAGATATCTTGCAAGGCTTGAATGTTTGCTTGCCAGATCTGTTTCCAGTAGTTTATCAAGAGCTGGAGAAACAATATGTAATTTACAAGTCACATACGACGACAGAAGCACAGACGAACACGAGTCAGAGACTAATTCATGCGGCTTTAGACATGTTAAAGGAGTTTCTAGAGTGGATCCCGCTCGAACAACCGGTGAATCCGACGACGAATTTTATTATGGTCGCGGTCTTATTGCTCGATGATTACGAATTTCGTGTGGCAGGAGCCGAGTGTTTGGAAACATACATGATGCGTGGGTTTGGAAAGGATTACAGGGCGATTATGCTGCAGAGTATCAGTCAGATCATCGAGAAGGTGGATACGCTAGATTTCACGACGGTGGGACCGGATTTGGCGGCAAGCTTGCGTTTTAATAAGAAAGTGAACGATATGTTAATTGCGTGGGGTACGTGTCAGTTGGATGTGCTGCTGCAGGATGGACCTGGCGAGCCGGAAATGGCCCTGCTTCGTCTGGTATTGAAGAATCTGTGCAAATTGTTTGCCTACCCGAGTCTAATTTTGACGGAAGCGCAGGTTATTTTGTGGTTAACAGTGCTGAAAAATAAGAAAGTTTTGAAGCAAGGAGAAGCATTCTTGGCAGACATTTTGGAGCAGCTACGACAGGTCTCGTTTGATAAATACTTCAAGCTGGGCTCGCCAGAGCGAGAGAACCCAGGGAATTACGCTGCTGTTTGCGACTGCAGTAGAGAAGAATTTGATGATCACAATGAGTATGTTTCGTATTACGGAAACTTCCGGGGACGTCTGTACGCGTTGATTCGCGTGCTGGTACAGCTGAACCCAACAGTTATGTTGCAGTCTTTGCACGAGCGTTTGGTATTCGTACTGACGCAGAATGCTGTCGGGACGGATCACCTGAGTGCAGATCGTGGCTACTGTACTGACCTCAGTACCACCTACTTGTACCACGAAGGTATCTCATCTCTGATAGATTGCATCGTCAAGCAACTCCCTGCAAATGCAATGCAAGATCTCGTAAACCAGCAGACATTGGGGATGATTTTGCAGGCGATTCTGTTGTTCGAGACCCCTGACCCACTTCTTAAATTCCGCCAGCTCTTAATGCTGGCATCGTTTGCAAAGTACTATGTGCTCGATGGTAGCGCGCTGACGACAGTATTTGAAATGCTCTTTGCGAGCATTAACTTTGTCATGTCCGGTGAGGATGTACATGGTAAAATGAGCAGTGACACGATTAATGTTCGACGACGGGCATTATCATCTCTCGTTTCCATTTGCCAGGCGATTCCCGCGCATATCTTGCCGGTACTCCCTGTGTTGTGTGCTAAGGTTCGAGAGCTTTTTGCTGCTGATCGTGTCACCGACACGGAAGGGGTGATGCTTTATGAAATGCTGGTGTTGGTTTCAAACTCGATGGAGAACAGGGAGGAACGTGTGCGGTTTGTGGAACAAATCGTGCAAGATCCGCTTACTCAGTGGACATCTCCAGAAATGACCGCTCTTGTCAGCTCCCCACAGAGCATTGCTACCGCTATTGAAGCGACTACGAACGACGAAAAGTCGAAGAAACAAATCGGAATGATTATTAAAACGCTTACAACATTGTATGGTATTGCGAAACGGGCAGGTGCGACCTTTTCACCGAAGATGGCCCAACACACGGGAGCGTTCGATGGCGCATGGCCACACTTACTACCAAATTTGCTCGCTCTCGTCCGTTCGCTCCATGGCCTGCACGAACCAGCTGTTAAAGAAGCACTGCTGAAAACCTCCAGTGCTTGCTGGTTGCTGAGCGTCTCCGTTGATGAAGTTGCTCAGTTGCTTGGAGGAAAAAATCAGTTAGAAGAAGAGGAAGTGACCAAGTTACCCGCTGTTTCTAGATGGTCGAAGTGGCACAAGAACGTGCGCGATGTTTCGTACCATTTGGTGGGAGTAGCTGTAGGGCAGACCAGCTTATTCAACAATCCCCAGGTGGCCTCCATCCTGGATACTATGCTCAGCAATATGGATTTAATGGACCACCGCCACCTAAAAGGTGCTTTGGCGTATGTGTATTTACCGTTTCTAAAGAACTGCCCCAAGGAGCTGTACCCATCACTACTGGACCCAGTGCTTGCGACATTGTTCGGTCATTTTGCACAGCGCGCTGCATTAATTTTCCAGCGTCCAGTGACCGGGCATAAGGCAACTCAAGCTCCTTGGAGCGCGCTGGTAGTCGGTATTGAAGACGCAAAACAGGAGATTGCACGTGAGAAAATGGTCATGGAGCTCACCCGCCAATTCGTTGATTTCATTGAATATGCTATTGATCCCAAGACAGTTGTAGGAACCGACACAGACAATCCGAAGCATGTTACCAGCCCTGAAGATGCCTTCCTGTGTGATTATATTCTGACACAATCGCCTTCACTGCCGTTTGCGGTCGGTGCGATTCTGGTGCAGGTGATTTGCTGGAAAGATACGCTGAGCTGCCGAAAAGCGGTACTTCTTGGCGACAAGCTCGTCAACGTCTTGTATGCTGACACAAAATATCACACCCTCCTTGGTCGCGATATCTTCTCCGCAGCACTCCAGAGTGTCCTGAAGGAGCATGTCGGTCACGTGAAGGAAGATGGTCTTAAATGGGAAATTATCAATCTTGCGCGTAATATTTACTGCAGACTAACGCTGGGCTTAGCTCCTGTAGAAGAGTGCAAGAGAATCGACCCGTGCAACCAGCCACTTCGTCCTGCGTCGTCGCTCTGTGCGGCTCCACGCGAGATTTTGCTATCTCTTCCAGATATCACGCCTGCCCACATGGATGCGCTGGACACTCTTTTGCGTGAGAAGCACAGCACAAAGACACAGAAAAAAGCGTTCAAGGAGATTTTGGAGATGCCCATTTTGGCTATTCGGCGTGAGCAAGCGCTGACATCAGGATCAGTGTCGCCTATGGCAAGAATTGTTGATACTACAAATACGTCGATCAAAAATATTCTGGACCTTCCCGAGAAGCTGGTGATTCCCAGGAAAGAACTCGAGACACAAGTCAAGTGGCAGGAAGCGCAAAACCCACATCTAGATACGCATTCGCTCTTTGGTGCTCAGTGACACGAAGAATTATCGTAAGACTTTTATCACCCTTCCCGCGCACAAAAGACAGCGTCATCAGCCTGCAGCCAACAAAGAGAGTGTTAGCCTCGGATTGATGGGACACCCAAAATGCTTTGATATGTGATCGAGTACATGTGAAGAGTGTTTTCAACGTGCGACCAGATGTCGATAGCTGAATCTATTGATGGCATGTCGTTCTTAGTAAGACACTACAGCTAGATTTGATGCAACAGTAGCTCGACAGGCAATAAACTCGAGTCATTCGTAAGCACAACATCGAAGCGTTGCAAGTACATGTCTAGTTTTTGCTCTATACCATCGTTCAAGAAGCCAATGCGCACAATCTCGTCCTCCTTGAAATCCAATCCATTGGCCATATTGGAATCGCCTAGCGAATCTCCCAACAGCAAAATGTTGTGGCGTTTCTCCAGTTGACACTGCTTCCAGAAATCTGTCTCGATCAGTGCACTTGCATTCTTGTTCAAGCTGTGAATAAGCTACAACCAAAACCGTGAATCCTCTCACAATTCTACCATGAAACAGACTGATCGTACCGTTCCATCAAAGCCCACAACCTTGTCGTTTTCGTCAAACCGCATCATATTGGAAATAACGTGCACGTTTTTTGGAGGCATCTTCGCTATAGTCTTGGCGTACTCCTTGTTCAGCACGGCATGAATTACGTCGTAAAGACCCGCGGAGAAAATAAGCACTGGCACATTCTCTCGCGCCAACAACTCAAAAATCTCCATGAAACCTTCCCGAAACGATATGTCGCTCTCCTCCACTGCCTTACAAACAGCCTTCTTCGACACACCATGCTTCACTATGAGCTCGTGTGTTTCTGTCCACCATTGGATCATGAAAGGAAGTTTTTCTTTTCTTGTTAGCGTAGCAGACTGCTCAATCGGATAATATTTCTCGAAAATCTTGCGCGCAATTGTCTCCGCCTGGGGACCCATTGCCTCGCTCTCCATCAAAATACGATGCGTACTAAGAGCCTGGTCATCTATGAAACGATAAGAATGGTATCAATAGAAAAGGCATCAGCTGTTAAACGTTGACAATGAAATCCAAGTCTTCACTAACCCGACGTTTTTTTGTAGGCAGGAGTAAGAGTATAGTCAAAGTCCGCAATAACCACGAGTTTGTCCAGTCGATCGGTGGAGAATTTCTTCCATTTTCTAGCAAAATCATCTGCGTATTATTTGATTCACGTACAATTTTCATGTACAAGTCAAAGAACTTTTGACACCATGTCCAAAATGTTTTCAAGTTCTCTCACCTGCATCTCGCACAAACATCATTGGCTTTCTTGGCGACTGGTGATGGCTACGAATCGATTCCGAGCGTCCAGGTTTGTGTATATCCAGGTAACTCAAAGCAGAAGCCGTCAAAGTGAGGGTCAGGCCTGCCGAGCCGCACATAAAGAGCTGGGAGCCCCAGGCGAAGATACGGCGGGTATGTGGCATTTGTAAGCGTGTCACCAAATCGTCAATAATGGTGCTATCATTTGAGTGCGATTGACAAACCAGGCGTTAGATCGACCAAAGGTGTTTGTTACATTGACATCACGACCCTAACTGTTACGTAAGAAAAGACTGTTCTTTTGCTCTCGGTTTCAATGTGAACGATCGTGCTTGTGTGGGGATCTATTGCATGTTCTACTTTTGTTTGTCTAGTCCTCGATTGTTTCCTGTTCTCTTCACGCTACATGGAAACTAAGCATTGTTGACCAATAGATACCATTGACCTTCAGTCGTTGTAGTTTTAATGGAAGAAAACTGTTCTTAAGCTTCTTTTAGACGCTTTATGCGTTACTCCACTGCTCAACTTTTTTTCATTGGGGGCAATTGATCTGATGCAGCACATGTGTCCATGAGCGCATTCAATCTCCATGCTGCTACGGGCATTCAGCAATTTGTCAAATTGAAAAACGACACCAGGTTAAAGGTCAAATTTAAAAGCGCGGCCATTTCACGGCATGTTGATTGCGTCCACCACCGTCACCGCATACGGCATCACAAATGAACACGGCTAAACTTTGCACTTGTTGGTAGTATGACAACAGCTTGACCGGCCTGTACATGTTTGTCAATCGCACTCAAATGATAGCACCATTATTGACGATTTGGTGACACGCTTACAAATGCCACATACCCGCCGTATCTTCGCCTGGGGCTCCCAGCTCTTTATGTGCGGCTCGGCAGGCCTGACCCTCACTTTGACGGCTTCTGCTTTGAGTTACCTGGATATACACAAACCTGGACGCTCGGAATCGATTCGTAGCCATCACCAGTCGCCAAGAAAGCCAATGATGTTTGTGCGAGATGCAGGTGAGAGAACTTGAAAACATTTTGGACATGGTGTCAAAAGTTCTTTGACTTGTACATGAAAATTGTACGTGAATCAAATAATACGCAGATGATTTTGCTAGAAAATGGAAGAAATTCTCCACCGATCGACTGGACAAACTCGTGGTTATTGCGGACTTTGACTATACTCTTACTCCTGCCTACAAAAAAACGTCGGGTTAGTGAAGACTTGGATTTCATTGTCAACGTTTAACAGCTGATGCCTTTTCTATTGATACCATTCTTATCGTTTCATAGATGACCAGGCTCTTAGTACGCATCGTATTTTGATGGAGAGCGAGGCAATGGGTCCCCAGGCGGAGACAATTGCGCGCAAGATTTTCGAGAAATATTATCCGATTGAGCAGTCTGCTACGCTAACAAGAAAAGAAAAACTTCCTTTCATGATCCAATGGTGGACAGAAACACACGAGCTCATAGTGAAGCATGGTGTGTCGAAGAAGGCTGTTTGTAAGGCAGTGGAGGAGAGCGACATATCGTTTCGGGAAGGTTTCATGGAGATTTTTGAGTTGTTGGCGCGAGAGAATGTGCCAGTGCTTATTTTCTCCGCGGGTCTTTACGACGTAATTCATGCCGTGCTGAACAAGGAGTACGCCAAGACTATAGCGAAGATGCCTCCAAAAAACGTGCACGTTATTTCCAATATGATGCGGTTTGACGAAAACGACAAGGTTGTGGGCTTTGATGGAACGGTACGATCAGTCTGTTTCATGGTAGAATTGTGAGAGGATTCACGGTTTTGGTTGTAGCTTATTCACAGCTTGAACAAGAATGCAAGTGCACTGATCGAGACAGATTTCTGGAAGCAGTGTCAACTGGAGAAACGCCACAACATTTTGCTGTTGGGAGATTCGCTAGGCGATTCCAATATGGCCAATGGATTGGATTTCAAGGAGGACGAGATTGTGCGCATTGGCTTCTTGAACGATGGTATAGAGCAAAAACTAGACATGTACTTGCAACGCTTCGATGTTGTGCTTACGAATGACTCGAGTTTATTGCCTGTCGAGCTACTGTTGCATCAAATCTAGCTGTAGTGTCTTACTAAGAACGACATGCCATCAATAGATTCAGCTATCGACATCTGGTCGCACGTTGAAAACACTCTTCACATGTACTCGATCACATATCAAAGCATTTTGGGTGTCCCGTCAATCCGAGGCTAACACTCTCTTTGTTGGCTGCAGGCTGATGACGCTGTTCCGTGTTTTGGTGACTCATTCGAATCTTCCCGTATCACTTTGTTGCGCGACCTTCTCGTGTTCGCGTGATGCCAGTTGGGTAAATTTACGCGAAAGTCGCTGCGCAAGTTGCTGTGACGGGTTCTCCACTAGATGGTACGATGCCGACGCCAATAGAATCACAGGACCGAAAACCATAAAGGTCTTGTCGTAGTAGTTCCTTTCATTGTAAATCCTCGGCGAGTATAACACGAACACGTGCAACAAGTACACGGAGAAGCTGATCTTGCCCAGGTAGCGTAGCACCACCCACTCGAAGATCTCCGATACTATGGACGGCTGAATCATCTCGATGACAATAAGGAGTGATAACTTCACGCTCGTGAATGGCATTGTATATTCGGTTGGCGGAGGCAGTGGGGTACCCAACCAATTGAAAAAGAGTCCACGGAAGACCACGCTGAGGTACGCTGCAATCAAAACAGCCTCGACGACGCGAAGCGCGACAATGTGCAGCTTACGGAACTTAAAATTTGTGGCTTTGATCCACGTATCGAGCTTCACAAAAATGACGGCCGACATGGAACCCGCGACGAAGGTTGGAAGATGCATACTCAGCGGCTGGATGTGGAAGTTATTTCTAGTCGTATATAGACCCTCACGAATTACCCATACGTACAGTGGAATGAATGGCATCCACCAGAAGCGACCCAGTTTCAGCACGGCTAGCACGAACGCGGGCAAGATGAAGTAATATGATATCTCCAACGGTAGCGTCCACAACAAAAAGTACCGATGATCTGGGTGAAAAGTGAGCATCAGAAAGAGGTTGAAATCCTGATTATTTTTCAAGTAATAACGGTGCTTGTACTCGGACGGCATGATCCACAACGTAATGGACACCAGCACAAACAAAGGGTACACACGAAAGAAGCGTCTCGAAAAGTAATCGGCCAGTGCGTATCCCCACTTGCGGTACGACACGTTATCTGTGATCATCTTGATACTCTTTTTCATAAATATCATGGTCAGCAGGAACGAGGACAACACAAAGAAGGTATCTACTCCGGTAGCGCCTATGAAAATGTCGAGCATGCGATCCATGTGCACCATGACGACAAAGAGAACTGCAACGCCACGCAAGCCATCGAGAAACAAAATTTTCGCGTCAGGTGACAGCCGAGTTTCATTTGGTTTGTGCTGTGAGATGATGTAGGAGCTTTGCAAACCAGTCGATTTGGTCTCCGTCTTTTTTGGTAGGAGTAAGTCTTGAGGCTCTGCATTGTCCTCTTCGACATTTTGTATATGCACTGTAGTATTTGTCTTTTGTATCAGCATTTGTCCAATGTGTTTTGAGTCTCTTTCGATTACACCAAGTCGTGAAATGATGGTTGGACTGAACGTTTGAGATACATCAGAATCAAACCTCTTTAATAGTGGAGTTTGGACCCGTAAACCCCACTTTTAGCCACTAGGTTGGCGTCAAGCGCAAACCTACGAGCAACATTCAATACTTCAAACGACTATTCGCACTGATGTCTATGACAGGCACATGAAGGGACAGCATGGTAACTACTGGGAGAGGTATTATGCTCGAACGAATGCGCAGGAGGAGATATTCTTTGACGAGAACGCTCCTGTGGTGCATCGAAACACCATACGGTCCCATTTTGACCAAGCCCAAGCACATGCGCATTATTTTATGAACAAGGACATCGTCGATATTATCGTGAGTCCATCCTGATGACGCGAACGAGGAGAAAACGAGGGAGCGAGCTCTAGTTATTGTCGAGGAAGTTGTTAGACCCGATGAGAACGCGCATGACTCTGATTATTCAGACGGATCGCTATCGAATTGTCCATACAGTTTCACATGAACGTCGGATTCGTCGGAGAAAAGGCTTCGTTCCGTATGGCTTCTCGATTTCTGCATATGACGAAGGAGCAAACGGGTTTGGCGCCGCTTAGGAGTGCAAGTGACGACAAGGTCACAAGTTATATTCGATATGTATGCGCTTTGACCCCTTAAGAAAAATTCGGGAATTCTGGCCTCATGCTGGACATTCTTGCGTACCATGAACATGTCCACTCACATTTCTACGTCGTATGTGGTGGAGTGGGATTAGCAAAATTGCTGATGCGACTCCAACTCTCCACTGGCGCCCGGACGACCGACTAACGGAGGGGGTACCCCGATTCCGTGTATAAAGCCTTCCTCACCTCGTGTACCCGTCGGTTGGGCGGGTTGCTCTCTTCTCGGTGGACTTGAGTCGATGTTGATCCTAATTGGGTTAGGGATAGGTGGTTTTGTTGATCTTGTGGAAATCTTCACAAGATCGACCGAGAACTTGTTTGTTGATCGCACCAATATATCCCAATAGTCCAATAAGGCGAAGCTTGAATCTTCTGACCACTTGAGCAGAGCCTTCTGACCACTTGACCCGTCCTTCAATTGCTTGCCTTGCCCTTACTTGTTATTTCTGCGTCCGATCGCAGTTGAGTTGTTGTGTCGAGAATCGCCTGGCCAAAGCAATCCAGGGTGCACTTGTAGACGATATTCTTGGCGTCGGGAGGCCAAAAATCCTGCCCGGAATAAGGAAGTCGACACGTGTATTAGAAGAAAATCGAACTCTGTTTAATGTTAACCAATCAAATACCAAAACCTACGATTCTGCCTAATAGTAGTCCAGGATCTATTGCCACGTATCACCCTTTCGGAAAAATCAGATCTTGCCATGTGGTCTACTCCAATATCGCCGCGATCTGGATCGCTACCTCGATCGGATCTAATTCCATTTAAGTATCGGATCGCGGTCCGCCGAATCACGACTTGTCACCTTCACCGTTCCTCGGATCATGTGAAATGGTTCATCTATATGATATGTCATGTCCATCCCATTCCAGTCTTCCGCGATATACACCAGACCGTCTTCCGCATATTTGGATTTACCAATCCTCACGCGGATCGCCATCGAAAATTACTGGAGATCGCAGTTGCGTAGATCTAGGCCGTAGTTAATTTAACATAGAACTGCAATCACCACCATTCGCTGTTATCCATTCCATTTGCAACGTCTCGAAAACTTCTTCTGCAGGATCGCGATTCATCAATATTGACCATTTCGGACTAGATATCTGGCAAGATTAGACGGCTTTCGCTGTGCATATCCGTCATCTTTGTCTAGTTGATCATAAATATGCGATCACACTTTGCAAAATTCACTTTTTTGCTTCGCCACAATCGTCCTCTGCACCGTTAGCCAACATACGTGCTGGCCTAGTTGTGAACCGTCTCGTTTCATATTTCTTTTCGCTTCGTCTCCTATGGCCAGATCTCCACCCGAAAACAATCTCCACACTCGAAGTGGTTTGCTCGTCACGCGCGATCCACCAATGAATTCTTCTACCGGATCGCGTATCTTGCTCCCGTCTACTCGGATAATCCTTCCTCCTGTTACGGATCGTCAAACCGCAATCTCGTGGATTTATTCACTGTGTGATCGCCTGGAAGCCCACGATACCATCGTGGAAAGTTATCACTCCATGGAAAATGCCTTGAAGGAGCAAGAATATCGTGGAAATCAGCTGGAAAGGAAACTCAATTTTTATCACGAGTTGGTGCACATTTGTGTTGCGTCGGGATGAAGAGTTGCGCCAACAGCTTGACACCGCTATTAATATAGCCGAAGATATCGACCAAGAACTGAAACAGATAACGGATCAGTCTCAAGAGATCGAGGGTCTAAAGAATGCCTTGTTTCGAGCAAATGCAGAGAAACATCGCATGCAGGATAAATTCCACCGTGAGTCGGCCAATCTTTAGCGATCTCTGAAAGGAAAATTTCGACAGCAGATCGCGTCTCTTCAGCAGCAACTGAATTCCTTCCTAGCACAGCGCAATACTGCAGACAGTACTTTGGATGCTGACTTTCAACGCATGAAGAGCAAGGCGTCCAAGTACAAGAAAGATCGCTCTCAGGACCAGCAAACCGCGAACATCTACAAGACACGCTGAGCGCGCTCGAGCTTGATCATGATCGTCTCCTGAAAGCGAGTATTCGGAACGACGCAGACTTGGGTCGACTTTGTACCGAAGTTGCAGATCGAGAGGCGGAGCGCGATCTGGCCATCCAGGATCGTGATTCTCTTCGTTCGCATTTGGCAGAGTTGGCTACGGGCTTACTTCCTCCTCTGACCAGCCTTCCCGCGTCTTCCAGTCCCTTGTCGCCAAATTGCAAACGTGCATCGTCTTCACTGGATTTGGACTCTCCCTGCAAACGTCCCCGTGGCACTTCCGGTACTTCTACTCCATCTGCGACCTCAGAGAGATCTGGTACTCAGACGCGATCTAATACCCTGACGGGATCTAATACTTCGGCACGATCTGGAACTACGGCGCGATCTGACACTCTGACGCGATCTAACACTCTGACGCGATCTGACACTCCGGCGCGATCTGATACTTCGGCGCGATCTGGTACTCCGGCGCGATCTGGTACCCTGGCGCGATCTGATACTTCGGCACAATCTGGTACTACGGCGCGATCTGACACTCCGACGCGATCTGATTCTCCGACGCGATCTGATATTCCGGTGCGATCTGATACTTCGGCGCGATCTGACAATTCGGCGCGATCTGGTACTCCGGCGCGATCCCGTACTTTGGTGCGATCCGGTACTTCGGCGCAATCTGCTACTCCTACGCGATGTAATCCTCCGTCGAAAGCAAAAGGGAAACGCAAAGCTTGTCCCTTGCCTTCGTCTGACTCTTAAGTACGCTGAATGGTCTTCTGATCCTGAAGACGCTACACTTGCTGCTCTCTCCGAATCGCGTTCCACCGAGAGACGTCACACCACCGTGACGAAATCCCAGTCAGCACCGGATCATCTTGATCCCCTATCATAATTCACAATTGTAGCCCACCATCCAGAAAATGGCCAATTTTGAATTCCGACACGCCTACCAGCCTTCCGGTCAAGATTTCCAAAGTCGACCTTTTTGGCGAACCTTCCAGCGACTATTACGCAAAAATTAGCGTTTACAGTGACATTCGTGAAGACATAAACCCGTTGCTCACTCCCGCTCAATACACCGATCTGCCTGATCTCCAAGAGTCGCGTGATGTATGGATTTCAGTTATCGTGAGCGAAAACCTCGATCGTCGATCCAGGTTGCTCCGTGGTCCGCCCGACGGGTCAGTCTGACCAGTGTTGCAAAATTGGGTGTGAAACTCTTTTATCGACACTTGTCTCGACCGAAAGGGTATCCCTTCACCCATCAAGCTAGTCTCAAGTCTCTTTCTGACTCTGAGTGGATCACACGACTGATTATTTCAGCACAAGTTACTGCGCTTTATGATCAGGAACCGTGGAACGTCACTCGTCAATCGATCACTCCCATCTCGTTCCCTCTGACCGGTTAGTTTAAGGGTTTGGCAACCATTTATCTCGAATATGAAGATCGACATCGGCAAGCTTTGTGGGAGACATCTCACTTCCTGTATATCTCCCGTGAATATCGGAAGGAGTATCCAGAGCATCGAGATCTGGACCCCGCTGAAAAAATATTCTTCGCGTTATTCTCCAAGGTGATGATCGAAGGACACTGTGATTTGGACATTCTGTTGGATCCTTACTTTCTCCACTTTCCTGCATACGCGGAAGTGCGACCATGGTATACTGGTTTGGAGTGTGAGAAGCGGAATATCCCCCAACTTGGCCTTCGCGCTATCGATGTTGGACTTTGCCGAGCCGTGGCGAACCAGTATCGAATTTCGATTAAAGATCATCCGGGATCGCTGATCTCTCGTCTGGACGGTAAGTTTTATCCAAAGTAACTTCTTGCGATCCGATCTAAAGTAGCACTTCGCGATCCGATCTCATCCCTCAAGCATTTAATACAATTTTATTGTGTTCGTCTCATTATTCTGGTCGTCCTTGGAATTGTCTTCTTTTTTGGGCCTTTTCAGCCGCGATCTGGTCTTTCAGACCTTCGATCGACACTCATATTTACATATATCCTCTTTCCCCCAGCTATACAACCATCTTGTACAGCCATTTCCACTCTCCGTAAGCGAATTAACCAGTTTATTAATCTACAGCTTTTTCCTTGTCATGAAACTGCATGACTTCGTAACATTTACGGCAAACTTGTTCGCGATCAAATTCCTGCAACAATGCTCCACAATTCAGATCAGCCTCAGCAACCCACGATGGATCGGTAAACCCCTTCCAGTAAACCTTAAATTGACGATGCACCCGTCCAAAACGAGTTTTTCTACCGGATCGCATATCCTCAATCGACCTCACTTCGAACTCGTTATCGCCAAGTTGCCGCTACCAACTATCCTCCGGCAGAAGTGCCTCGTCAAAATCAAAACGGTCTTCTTCTTCCACCGTCAGCAATTGCTTCGGGCGGTCGGGAAACACTTTTACACATTTCAGCTTGGATATATGCACGATCGGGAATAACCGATACGGCGTGCCAGCGATCTCTAGGCGAACAACGTGATCACCACACAGTTTACTCACTCGAAAAGGTCCATGCCACATATGCACTAATTTTCGAGCAATCCTTCCTTCACTCGATCAAAGTATAACCAAACTTGGGTACCGGGCTCGATCTCGTGGGGTCGTAAGTCTTCGTTATGCTGATCCGATCGAGTCTGGATAGCCATTTCAAGTCGTTCGTTGACTGCGTCTCGGGATCGCTGGTAGTGTCGTTGTACATGATATCGCCACCTGCGAGGTTCTCGATCTCGTGACTGTTCGCCCTGTTAGAGGCATTTGAATTGTACCATGGCAGACCATAGCGAGAAGATTTGAAAGTGAACTCAGCGTTAAACGCTATGCTCACTGCCTCTTTGAAGTCGAAGGCTGGATACGAAAAACTTATGTCCTGACGAGCCCAGTACGAATTCCATCCATAATATGATTATTCGGACTTCCTCTGCCAGAGGGTCCTGCTGCATAGCAGCAATAAGAGTACTTAACCCTTGGCATATTTCTTTCTTACCGTGTCGGGTAGCTAAGAAGCGTGAGCGCACACGATAAGCCTGATTAGGCGGGGCAAACACGCAAGTTAATTGCTGGTTAAGCATTTCCTACGTGGAAAATGCGGCATTTACAGAGACATCGCTCGTTAGAGCCCATTCTCTCACTCTTCCAACGAGCTTAGAAATGACCAGGCCAAGTCGTTGCTTATCCGACACGAGCATGGCGGCATCCATTGCCATTTCAACCTCTCGGATCCGGAGGAAATTATTTTCTCCGACCTTCCCCTCAATGGTCTTTACGTTTAAAAGGAGTGGGCGAGACTTTGGCTCTACATCGGGCACAGGTACCGGGACTATTGCGTTGGCGCAGCTGACGCTGCCTGGTCGTTAACCTGCACGAGTAGCGTTGCCTCATAACGCATGAAGGCCTCAAGACGGGCATTGAGGACCTCCGGGCTCTGGGCCAAAAGGGACTCGCTTTGATCGGGCCTAACAAACGCACATAATTTATCTAGCACGAGTCGTTGCGCCTCAGATAGGTGATTTTGGATCTCCATCTTCACAAAGGGTCAGTCTTAGAGACTCAGATGTAGGACTGACTACAAGTGATACTAAGTGTAGCGGAGCTACACAGCTCTTAAGTTAGAAAAAACTTTAGGCTGAAAGCCTATTAGGTTCATAAAACTAATTAAGGTTGGCTAAAAGCCACTTAGATCTAAGGAACTAATTTAACGACTACGAAGTTTTCCGTTCTACGAGACAGGGGGGACTTCTAGTCTACAAGCAATAAGCTTAAGGGTTCTGAGAACCAACGCACATAGTGCAAGAACAAGCTAAGAGGTCAAAGGTTTGAGGAACCGACGCACGAAGTGCACAAGTGAAACAAGCCAATACCGGCTTTATCTCTACGACTCAATATGAGAACTGATTTTATGTATGCATTAGATTATATGAATAATCCTGCTCTTAAGTACTCTACACTAGATTAATTACTATAGTAATAATTATAGCATGCCATCGTTTGTGTCTATCATCCAATCGTCAGTGTATGTTGTACTTAGTACTACTGTATCAGTTATGAAATGATACCGATAGTGTAAGGTATTACTAATACTTTATAACATTACTCATCTATAATACCCCCTTAGTAAAAGGATCGGTATTAAGAATACATTATATGCAATATAGAAACTTAACCGTAATGTGATGTTACATCCGTCGTGTAACCCCGGTACAGCTTAGAATTTGACAAATTTGGGAATGTAGGCTAATCAACGACAGGTGGGGGATATCTAATGCTCCCGTACAATTACTATGTGTCCCATAAATTGAATAACAACCTCTCTCTCATATACTATATAATGCTTTTATGTCAGCATCATCCAGACACGGACCGATTAGGACAAAATACTTGCGGCTTCGTATCAAATTATTGTTAGCCGGGTTACCCAAAAAATTTGCAAAGTCTGCGTAGGCAGTCATATAACTGTCAATTGGGCTATACATACTACGTTTGGTTCTGCTCTAAGTGAAATGTGAGAACAGACATATGACCTTTCGCAATGGGGATATTGATAGGAGGTTGTAACGCTTTAGGTCACTCAATGCTTCCATACTGTAGTTCAGGTTTATTGTTGCTACAGGAACATTTTGTGTTCTAATGTACGGCAACAACATATCTCGCACGCAAAAGTAAGTTTCAACCTCTTATTGTGCGAGGTAAGTTTACGCCAACGTGCAGGAGCCGCAGAGCGACACCAACGGTTTTTGCACGGGATACAGAACAGGTGGGAGGAGGATGGCACGACGATAGTGACAATCCTGGACTGCTCTCGTTTTCGTTGGAATCTGCGTAGCCCCTTGCGCTTGACGCCTCATGATGTTGCTTCCGACAATCATCTTAGCACAGATCAACAATAAGGATATCACGTGTGCCTGCAGGCGCTCCGAGAATTGAGTTAGCGAGACGCACGGACAGCAGGTTACCGTGCAGCAGTTAGAGATTATGCTATCGCATGACTTCAGAAGTTAGTCGAACGCGTGCCAACATGATGACTTGCTCATGTCTCCGGCTTCCTCGACTTGCTCATGTCTCCGGCTTCCTCGACTTGCTTTACAATTTGTCGTCAGGATGAGAGGCATGTAGGACCGTTGGTTAAGTATTGTGTCTCTTGCGTTAGCAGAGCATGCCATATCGACAGAGACAAGTCACGAAATAGAACAATGGAGAGCAAGTGCAATACTTCGAAAATCTTGGAGTGTCTAACGTCCAAACTGACTCTGTGACATTGAAGCATTACGGTTATGATCTCTCTCTCATTGATTGGGGATATATTTCGTGCAACGGCACGTTTAAATGAACGGAAGAAGTGACGCATCGAAGCTACAAGAGCGTCTACGATTAGGTGGATTACACTGCGTACGACTTGCCCGGGTAGGCCTGGAGCACATCGGGGGCTCGAAAGGTGCAGCTTCCCGGCTGGTAGCAGCGTACGTGGGTACGGAGCTGAGCCACCGTACAGCACGAGCAAAACCATGAACTCAGACAGTCCGTCATTGCGTTGCCTGGGAGCTGGAATAGCTTGCGTGTTTTAGAGCGAAGCAGCCAGATGTACACGAACAGCAGCATCTGTATGATGAGCGTGATGAGCACAAAGGCGCTATTGGCCACCTTTAGAACGTCATCGTTCGTGTCATGGTCATAATCGTTACCTGTAGTCCAGACGAACCCAAACGTGGTGAGCTCCATTGTCATTACAAACAGCAGCAAACTCAGGATAACTCTGTAGGAGGCGACACCTAATCGGGTCGACAGCTGTGCTATCGCTACACATGGACAAAAGGTGACCATAAAGCAGTTGGGCATGAGATTATCAAAGCAATCAAAAAGACCCGAGGCCCATGCTCCAGTAGGAATTCCGTCACTCGTGACCACTTCTACTGTACGTGGCGTATCCAGATCCAAAGCCATCGAAGGAGACGGCATGTGGTTTACGTTGTTTACATACTTTGGCACCGCATCACTTGGTGTCGTCATCTCCATGAAATCCGCACGCGATGACGTAGGATTCATCCCCAGCATGACTGATATTGATAATAAAAAAGAAAAGAATCTCTTGCTTGGAAATAGCAAATTAATTAGTGGTCTGGATTCTTTTGGGCGTCGTGGTCTCTGAGTTGCATGCACATTAAAAGTCAATGGCAGCAGTAATCAGAATTTATTTTTGAATGACATGGATTCAACCAATGAACGGCTACGATTTGATCCGATTAGCTGCATCCATTTTTTTGTGCCTACTTCAACATGTTTGTGGCATGCATCTTGGCTTCGTGACTCGTCAAAATTTGACGTGATCAGCTAAAGAATCAGTTGATATTGCAGAGACCGGACTGATCGATACTTTTTCATACTAGTATGGATACTGCATGGATATCAATGCTTTCGTATGAGGTTATGGATCATTCTCTAACACGTCGGTGGAATATAAAGAACTTAACTGATACAGAGCATAATCATTCAGGTGTCTACTTGAAAAAGCTACATTTTTTGCATTGCAAAAACGAGCCTCCGACAAAGTCCATGTACTGGGGCTCAGTTGCGCAATGGCTTTCGAATCTTGCGGCACGTCTTGCGTGGTAGGTAGTCCACCGAAGCAATTCGATTTTTGTGAAGGTACGACATCAAGAGTTCTGGAATCTGATGGAGACTTCAACAGACATACGACGTTGCACCGTACATTTTCGGCATCTATCTGTTTGCGATAGTGTGCACTTAGGATCTTTTGATGGCCGAAACAAAGTCGTAAGATTGAGGAAGCAAAGAAATACGACAGCCGGTAGCGAGTATAATTAAATCGTACGTTTCTGGCCTCACTTTTGCTAGCTATTGTGTCTTCTTAGAGATCCAACAGGGCCGACAGCGTAAAAGATGTACTTACGGATGATGAAATAGCCTTGATTCTATCTAACTATTTATATATCTACTTATTCTGTCCATCTAAGAAGCAGTTGTCTGAAATCTATAATACGCTCCATGCCTCGAAACGTCATAACATTTCTTAGGTGTTTGGCACATTGCTTGGCGTAAAGGCCAAACGCTGATTCGTATGGGCTCCCCGGCGTTCATAGTAACAGGAATGCCTTCGAGTAAATCGACTCTCAATAAAAATAGTAACAACTCCGTGACTGTACGCTACTTATGGCCAAATTTGCTGCAGTAAAAGGATCAACTTGCTCACGAAAATAGCTTTTCTCTAAGGTGGTTGACAGCTTGATATATTGAGAGCTAATTGCAAAGAGTGTTGGATGTTTGAGTCCTATGTGCCGAAAATACCCCATGGGTACGAAACCTGGCACGAAAAAAGTTCGGATAGCAGCTGCCAGCATCCCCGCCAGAGAAGGCTCTGGGTTCCGGTGGCTTGTAACTTTGTGGACACGCATCTGCTGAATCATATGGATAAATGCTGGCTCTTCACCTTGCCAGAAACAAAGCTAATTGGCAGATACGAAGAACCTACGATGACGCACCGGGGCGCGTTTGGAGACTGCAGACACGTTGCTGTAATCCGCTAGGTACGCCTGAATACAGTTTACTGGATAAGTACAAAGTGAGCTCGCAAGCGTGAGATGACTTCCTATTAGTATACAGCCTTACAGATGTTGCAAATCCAGGAGTCTTGACCTCTACATTTCTACGGTAACAAAATTGTTTTAGAAAATTAGAACATCTACGTTTTGATCGACACGCTAGGCGAGCTGGCAGCACTCAAAAGTGAATGTAGACTGGCACAGTGGGTTCCACTTTATTTGATTTATCGCAGATGACCCAAAGCAGAGCTTAGACTACTAGCTTCTTTCAGATACAATTTGTGATCTGCATATGCATCAAGAAGGAATTCGGATACTAGAATCGAAACGGCGTGGTGAAGGGGAGATGTATGTCGCTATTTGATTTACGAGATGCAACATGTATAAACTCGAGCTCATAACATAATAAACAAGTGTTGCCTGCTGTAGTCCATGTATTCAATATGGTGCAAGTAGGAAGCACCACACTGTCTAAAAGAAGCGATATAGGACCTTATTGGAAAAGTCCTGAGGACATTGCATAATATGCTCTCGGTGGTGGTGTAGTGTCGTGTACACTTTTATCTCCTAACACTTTGTAGCCTTGTGCTCACTTGTAATGAATACTACCTATATCAGAGGCTGCCCTATCAGAGCTGGATGTCGCGTTGGCGGAAGAATACCCAGCACCGTGGCTCTCATAGCTGTTGGGTAATGTGGCCGAGTGCAGCGACCCCGAGCCAATACCGGGCTCTACAGAGATAGACGCTGTCCCCACGCTACCGTTGTCAAACAACCCGTCATTCAGTGCCATGCGAACCGGCGGCTTCCGCTTGTATGTGTAGCCAATGAATTTGTTAAAGGTCAATGGCTTGCCGTCCGGGCCGAACGCTTGCGGCAGCTCGCCTATGTTGGTATCACTTGTCATGACATTATTGCCGCGTGCTATGCCCATTGGCGCGATAGCGGGTGCTTGGCCCATCGCCAATGCCTGGACCGGTACTGGCAACTCGCATGGCTCTGTGAACTTGTCGAAGTTTGACGTTGCCTGACGAACAAGCTCTTGGTATTGTGGACCGGACTGGTCGGGGTCATTCACCTGCAACTGGTCCAACAAGTAGTCAAACTGCGAGCCGCCACCCATCGGAACATATGGAGCTTGAATAGAGCGCAGTGTAGCCCAATCTACACCGTTGAACCACGGGTGCCGCTTGATCTCCTCGACAGATCCTGTTCCCAGTCGGTTCTCTGCATTGCAAATAAGTCTTCGGACAAAGTCCATACACTGCGGGCTCAGTCGGGCAATTGCCTCGGGAGGGAATCCAAACGACTGCTTCCAATTGACAATCTTGCGGCACGTCTGCACTGGCTCGTCCGCGTAGAACGGTGGGTAGCCTACCAAGCATTCGTACAGAATCACACCCATGGACCACCAGTCGCACTCCTTCCCATACCCCTTCTGTGCCAGTACTTCAGGTGCAATGTAGTCGGGTGTGCCAACTGTACTAAATGCAACCTGTCTGTTACGTGAAAAGGGTTTGCTGCGTGATGCGTCCACGCTGTTTCCACCACCCCCTCCTCTCGTTGCTGCAGCAGCTGCAGCCGCTGCAGCTTGCTCTGAGTTCATCGCATGTTGCGAAACCGGTAGCAAATCTACGCGCGAGTCCATTTTTTTGCAAAGTCCGAGGTCGGTCAGCTTCAAATGTCCATGAGCATCCAATAGCACATTGTCCGGTTTCATGTCACGATGAATGTAACCAAGATCGTGCACAGACTGGATTGCCAGCACCATTTCTGCCGCGTAAAAGCGTGTCGTGGCTTCATTAAGTGTGTCTTCCTTCATTAATAAACCCATGAGATCTCCTCCAGGTAAATATTCCATAATCATATAGAGTCTATGGTCATCCTGGAACGAATAATGCAATGTCACGAGCCAATTATTATCCTGGTCCGCACTAGCCAAGATGTCTCGCTCAGCTTTGACGTGGCCGACCTGATTCTTGAGTACCATGGCACTCTTTTCCAACGACTTGAGTGCAAAAATTTCCCCACTGTCTCTCTTTTTGACAAGTCGAACTTCTCCAAAAGCTCCACGTCCAATCACAGCAAGTGGCTGAAAATCTCCAACTGCAAGACGTTTGCGTTGATGACGTAGACTTTGTAATTCCTTCGAGCGAAGTTCTTGACGGTATTGTTCCTTCTTTCGCTCCGTAAGACGCATGGCCGCCATCTGTTCCTCCAATTTATTACGACGTTCTCGGCTTTCTTCACGCTCACGTTTCATAGTTGCATACTTTTGTTCAAGATAGGCCTTAGTAGCCTTGGCCTTTTCTCGCGTCGAAGTAGAAATCATGACGTTCGATTCGATGAAAAAAACTAACTGACTGTAAAATTCCTTATAAAAATACCTGTATATATTGTTGGTAGTTATAAAAAAATAATTGCAATAATCGAATAGAAAAAGCCATTTCATAAAAAATGCTTACTGTCAAGTTTGACAAGCGGTCTTGTAATTTTTCGTACGACCACGTGTGCGGACATTTTTTTTTCTTTTCAATAACCCATTCACATTTTCAACCCATTTTCACGACTGGACTAAACATAACGGCCAATTGCTCTCGTTTTGCTCGCCACGTGGGACTTCAGATCGTCGTCCCTATTATAAAGATCCCATTATACAAGTCCCAAGTTGCATCTTGTTTTTTCTCTCTCTTGTCTTGCTCCTCGAGTCGTGATGGAAACGAATTTGGACAGCCACGTCACAGCTAAGACGCGTGGAAACTTTCGAACCAAGAAATCAACGGCTTTTGACGATGCCATGGGTCTTAGAAACATGAAAAAGATGAAGCGCAGGTGGGTTGATGGAAGTCTTTATTTCAACCTTAAAAAGTAGCAGTCAAATGCTCAAAAAGCTGTTTTTCTTGTGTGTGTTTTTGTGTTAAATTCAATTGTTCATACAGGCGCGTCACACAGAAGCGACGAGAAGCTACGGACGGCAACGAACACAACAAAATGTACAAGACAATGGAGCAATTACCACTGGGACCGGATAGTTTGCATTTAATGCAACAATTGCATGTAAATCAGCGATACAATCGCCAACCGAGACCAATGCCGGACATTGCCGGTGTCAAGAGTTTGTCGCATTATGAGGCTCAACTAGATGTGAAGAAAATTCAGCATCAATTGACGGCTTTTGAAGCTTGTACAGGGATTAAACTGCCAGGTGGTCGTCCGAAGGTTGGGGACAAGGACCATCGTCGTCTCTTTCTTGTGGATGACATTGATTGCAAGAACAATACACTAGGATTGAAGAATCGTCGTGCAAGGACTGGTGGAGTCATTACGCCCGAGGAAATTGTCGAGACATTACCGGCTGCTCGACGTGCTGTACGCATCACACAACGAGAACTTGGAGCCTTGACAATCGAACGCGAAGAATTGGAGCGGGCTTTTGCCAGGCATCGCTGCACGCTACTGTGGCAGATAGGTGAGATGAAGCGCATGCAAAAGCAGCAGAATCGTGTGGCACGTGCGCTCAGTCGCAAAGTGGTGAATACAGCAAAAAGCTTGGAGTCAAGTCGACGGCGCAATAGCGCACTTCAGGACATTATGACGGAGCTGAATGCGCGAGGCAGCCGTATTTTGCGCCTCGTTCGGGAAAAGAGCAGACTTGAAGCAATGTTAGAAGCACAGAATGTCGAACTTCCTGAGATTAATGAGGTTTGTGCCGGTGACCTTGTAAAATGGACTCCATTCGGGACTGGTCGTGTGCTTGAATTGCGCATAGACACACGACAACTTGTGGTAAAGCTGGACTTTGGTGGCGTTGGGTACATTCAAGAAGAGAATGTGGAGGTCTTGCCGTCAGATATGACGTACACTGAAACCGAAGATGCACTTAAAAAAGGTTTTTTTGAGAAAATTGGAGCTTTTGTGCTGCCTAGGGCCAAGCTGCGTGTGTTGAATGGAGGGTATGACTTTACGCAGAGTGACAGTGATGAGGAGGAGGACTCGGACAGTGATAGTGACGAATATTCATCATTAGAAGAGAAATTAGGATCTACGCCTGGTGATGATTATATGAAAGACATAAGTCAGCGTAGAGGCAAGAAGCGACGACTCATTATGACATCCACGTCTGGAGCTAGCAGTAAAGAGTTGAAGAACCGTCGCGTAATCGAATTCCCAGCATCTACGATACCGATCGTTCCGTATGAGACGGGACTCTTAATTAGTCCTTTGAGCGAGCTGCCTGAACGTGTAGCTGCTGTTGGCCCCGGTGCACTCCAGTGGCTTCCGTCGTATTTGCCTAAAAATATGGACGAATGGGAGCAAGAGCGTTTATCGTCGCTTCAAATGAAGGGCGAAATCGAACGACTGCGGTTCCAGTTACAGAAAGCCGAAGGTAAGTGAATTGAAAAAGAACTACCAAGCTCTGGAATTGTGGTCTAACACTGATAAATGGCTCGCTTTTTAATGCGTGTGCAGCGCAAAAGCTGGATGCGCAGCAGCTTGCAAGTGATCAGCTCGAGTCCATCAATCAGCTTGTATCACAGGTGCGATGATTTTGAGTTGCCTTTTACGGTAAATGTGTGGTGTCCGTGCTGACTCTGATGCCATTTTTGTATTGATTTGCAGCTTGACAAGTTAAGAGATAGCGCTTGTGTTCCTAATAGTCCAGGAATATCAGCGGACGTATGCCCAAATTGCAAAAGCCACAAAACATCAAAAGCGCACAAGACTTCGTATTTTGAAAGAGGCAGTATCATTCAACGGAAAGATTCTGGTCCAGAGCAAGACGATAGTACGTGCCTTCTCTTTGTATCTGTAACTGGAGGGCTAGTGTTCGTGAAAGCTGATGAAGGAAAACCTTGTTTTTCCAAAGGTGATGACGACCCCTCTGAGACCAATAGTTCAAAAGCTGGTGATAACGACAGTGTACACAGTGATGCGAGAAAAAAATCGAAGAGGAAGCACAGCCATACTGAAAACGCAGAGGACGAGACCAGCAACGAGACAAATGACGCCACACCATCTAGGACGAAAGCAAAAGTAAAACCTGTGAAGCGCTCTCTTCGACCACGAAGGAAAGTTACCACAGCCTCTCCAAAGCGGAAGTAAACTTGTTTGTGCAGGGCGTATTGGTAGCCCTGAAAACCGTTGTGCAAGTAAAATATTTTGTTTTGTTTAAAAAGTGAACCAGCATGCATACAGCAGAAAAAAAGAAGCGTGTAGGGAATCCGATCGATGATAAAATAGATCGGGAGCCAAAAGATCGACAAGGTACTCGGATCTTACATAACAATGCAGCAGGAGTTGGTCTTCTTGGCCTGTTTGTAAAACACCTTGGACTGGCTACTGAGATCCTGTGACTTGGACACGAGGTCATCCAATTTCTCACCACGCTCCAGCACATTATCAATGGTCTTGGACAACACAGCAGTCGTCTCATCTAGTTCTTTCTGGATGGCTGAAATCTTGTCGGCCTTCGAAGGGTCCTGGTATTCGGCCAGGGCTTTCGTCAATGCCGCAAACTCTTGCGGGTTGCCCGATTGGGTCTTCCAACTGCCACTGCAGAAAAAGCAAAGCCATCAGAATCAATTCATATCTCATCAAGACACAAAAGGCTCAACATAATTCAAAAAGACTCACCCAGTCGACTTGTTAAACTCTTCCATGAGTTTATTAAGCAGCGCAAAGGCAACACGCGGTGGGTACTCTTGGTCGCATACTACAATGCCCGACAGCCCATCACGACGCACGTACACGTGGCAATTGTACTCTTCGTGCTGAATTGATTGCCGCTGACCAGGTTCCGTGCGTTTAATAAACGTACGACTGAAAAAATTGATCATCTCACGGACGCTGGAAAACGTCACATGTTAAGAAAAGAAAAAAAGTCAGCAACGATTTGTCCCAGAGTCCCGTAATTAACAGCAATAGCCTCATACCCTGAACGTTGAAAGTAGCCAAAAGATGACACTTCAAAGGCAGCAGATAGAATAGTGGGATCTTGGCCTTGCCCATCTTGACGCAATAATTCTATTATCAAAATCACACATAAATAATTATTATTATTAGTATTATTTTATCCAAAAGTATTGTCAAAAAAAATATTTCTTTGATATAAAAAGACAGCAAAAGAGGATTCATAGTATCAAAACATCACAAGGACATCAACAAAGATACACGTACCAATAGCAACAATCTTCATACTATGTAGTGTAACACAGAGCAAAGGAACGTGGAAAGCAAGACACACTGATTGACTTGAGCTCTTCAGGGGGCCGGCGGTTTTTTCGTCTTGTTCTCAAAAAAACGTAAGCATCTAGTGCCATGTCATTAAAGACAGAAAGTGATCTGGCTACTTCTGGCTTGGCTACTTCATAAAGTGACTTTTCTTTTCTTACTTAACTTATACATAATGAGCGGACGACCTTATGCGCGCAATCCGTATGCTCCGTACACGGGACCACGAGATCTCGAGGCGATTTTACCGCATACATTCCGTCTAGAAGTGCCAATGTGTGTGCGAAATGCAAAGCAGGAAGCAATTCGCAGGTAATGTATGCTAAAAAGCGACGTAGACTGCTAAAACTGACGTTTTTCGGACTTATTTGGTATGTTTTAGGGCCATTCGTCGCCGTTGCATACAGAAAAACTGGCGTAAACTGATTAGCATTCGACACTGCAGACGTCGAGGTGAAGGCACGGCGGAAAAAGATGTTAAAGAGAGCAGAAACGAGACCAAACAAGCACAGCAGACAAACAACTTGGAAGAAGAGAGAGATACTGTGGATGCAGCAAAGAAACAGTTACAGACACTGGAGCTTAAGCTGCAAGAGCTGACGGACCTGAAACATGTTAAATTTCAGCTGCTTAAGGACATTTTAGTGGAGGAAGCCAGGTCAAAGACGACTGGAGGTGGGGCGACGGCTTCTGTGACGATCGCCAAAGAAGCGACGTGTGGAAGATTAGAAGCTTGATACGTTGCTCAATCCAGCACAAATGCAAGTGCCAGCTCCTCTGACAGAGGTAGCAGACTTCGCTACTACGAGTGGCTCGAACGTTCCCGGCAAACTTGAAGCCTATGACTACTAACAGAGTTTGAGGTGTGTCAGAGTCTTGTAGACGGTAGATCAAGGCATGAGACTGGTGCGTTTGGTCATTTATGTGCGTGTATTATTTCTTTTTCTTGTAATGTCGTTTCTCTTGGGACTTTTTCGTGAAGAATGAGTCGCTGGAGACTCTTTGTCTTTTCGTCAAGTAGTGAGACAAGAGGCGGTGTCGAGTGATGAAATGCGATGCGGTGACGCCATCGAGTGCTGAAATATTTGTTCTTCTGCTGCATCTTTTGTTGCTCGACTGGATTGAAGTATCTCCAATTTGACGCTCGATAGGAAGATGCAGAAGATGCAGCTAGCAGACTCTCAAAGTGCCGCGGTGATCAAGCCACAAGAATTCAGGGGAAATCAGACGATGTCGGAAGCACAGACGGAACTATAAGAGGCAGTAGAGAATCCGTGCCATTAATGACAGACTCAATAACCACAAGGGGGGAAGACGAAGGCATTTGCCACGAATCCGAGGGCTACAGCGGCTGCAATCAACGCTGTGATGGCTGAACAAGTCAATGAGGCGAAGAGATACTGTGAACGCGCAGAGCGTGTAACTTTACAATTGGTTGGATTGCTCGATCTCAATCCCACCAATTATAACTGCATCTGCTCCAATGTCTAGTTGATTGGCGATTGAGACTAGATGACTGAACAAGTCAATGAGGCGAAGAGATACTATCAACGCGCTGCTCGTGTAACTTTACAATAGGTTGGATTGCTCGATCTCAATCCCACCAATTATAACTGCACCTGCTCCAATGTCTTGTTGATTGGCGATTGAGACTACGCGCATGGATGTGATCTATATCAAAATGGCAACATATACCAGTAGAGGTATTGATGGCCACCAGGGCTTTACCACCCAGCATCAATATCCACGTCTTGAACGTGAAGCGGAACGACTGCTTACTAATTTTCCAGAAATGCTGTTCGGCCGACTCTTGTGCTGGATGAACGAAGACTTTTACGTGGCCAAGAATCTGCTAAACGTCACAGCAATTTCGTGCTCCATGCGGATATGTATGATGGGTATTTTTACATGTTCTCGCATCGAAGGTGCTCGATTTCTTGGAGGAAAGTATGTACATTGCCAGCATCAAGACTGAATCTCGTACCCCATCTCTTTTATCGCCAACATAGTGGAGCAGATGCTTTGCTTGAGATAGTGAGGGAAAAGGCCTTAGTATACAGGAGCTGGCAGTGTTCACGTCGCTGTCGGAAGCGAAACGTGACCCTGAGGATCTTGTGCGCTGCTTTGCCTACATGCTGCCTACACTGCGAGCGTGCGGACATGATGCGGAATACCGAGCTATGGAGGAGGACTTTGGCTTGCGACAACGCATCAAGCGTCGGGACACATTTCTAGCCACGGCGGTTGTTTTGTGACGCATCCTATCCGGAGCGAGACCAGCGAAACGCTCGCGTCGTTGTCGAACATCCATGGCTCACTCGCAACATCTTACTTGCTACCTGTCGTGAGCTTTGCGAGATGCAATCTCACTGAACGAGGACCCTTGTCTTTTGTGCACGATAATCACCTGTAGCATGCCACCACGAAATAAGGACGAAAGCCTCCAGTACATTCGACCCACCCGATGAGCATTGAGATCCTTGAAGAAGACCTGGTGAACTTAAGCCGTGCTGTTGCTTGAGAGGCGTGGTGCCGTATCCGACAGCTGGACAAATGCCCGACCCAGATACCAGGAAATTCAATCACAATCTCCACAATATCAACGAGTCGCATTGTACGCACTGGAAACAGTAATGCACCACGATCAAGACGCGTGTAGGAAGGCCTTAAATACCTATCAACCTTGACCTCTACCATCCTCTCACGAGAGCGGGTCCTATCCAAACCAAGGTATCCCAAACATATCCAAGCCTCAATCTGATACATCCGTGGATTCACAAAAGGTATTTGCTTGTCTTATCTTCGCACTGTTTCAATTGTGATCGATGTGCTCACCGACATAGTGCTTTGAGAATCTGGTGTGATGAATCTGGGCAAGTGCAGCTGGAAAGCAGATGCAAACCACTTAGTACATGAATTTTATCGTGGTAAACTAAAACTCAAAGGTTGATGGCCATCTTGGTGACAGCAGGGAACACGTTTGGTCCATGCATCTAGAGTAGAAAGGATTGCAAAGGACGAGCTATAAGAAAATGTACCACAAGTTGTACAGACAGATATATGTCTTCATGACAATGTACGCTGAATGAATAGCAAACGATAAAGCCATTGATATGAACAGTAGTAAATCTTTTCACAGCATTAGCCGCATTCCTTGTATTTCGGACGTACCCAATCTATTCCTTTCTTCCCGTTATGATCAAAGCCATTTGCGAAGCTTTTCATCACCTGCCCAGAGCTTCTAGCATGTCCATCAAAGCTTTTTCGTACTCGAACCATTAATGCCTCGATAGCATATACATCAAGTGTCGCCGGCAAAGTGCATCTTCAGAATTAAAATTCTCGTTCCTTTCTTTTTTCCACTTACGTTTGCGTTTACGTTTCCATTTTCATGCGTCCGAATCCATTGAGCTAGAGCGAGGGACAGGGCAGACTCTTGGTCACTCTGCTTATTTAATGTCTTGAAATCCTCCAATGTATATCCCCACACTTTCATCAAAGCATTAGCCAGTAAACTTTGAAATGTCTTCGGTCTATAACGAAGATTCCAAATACATTCGTACATCACCAATATTTTGTAACGAGAGAAATCGTAACCGGTATCTAAGGCTTCCGGCGATAGACCGAGACGGACGATGACAGTAGCTACACTTAACCTGTCACCGAGCCACGATTGAATCAACTTCTTTGTTATCTGCGTTTTAAAGTGTTGCTGGAGCCGTTGCAGCGCTATATGAAAGGCTTCTATTTTGGTGAAGAGATTCAACATCCCACTTGCTTTTACTTCGACCTCTTTGTCCATATTCGGTAAACACACCACTTTATCAGAATTTCGTCATCATATCCTACTTCTTTCAGAGCCTTAAGCAGGGGCATGCTACCCAAGGAGTTCTTTGTACTGTACTGGTCCACGTAATCGAGCCATCTAAACGTAGCCATCTGTACAAGAAGCAGTTCTTTCTTAGGGAGAAAATCTAACAATCCGAAAACTTCGGTGGGAAGCTCATTCTTCTCCAGCCATATTGCATCTCTATTTTCCATAGCTGAAGCAAGTCCATCTGGATAAATGAGCTTGAGCTGACCATTAACGTCATCGTGAAATTTAAGGAATTCATCGACCGTGGGCACTGCGGCGTCAAATTGTTGATTCAGAGGTAAGAATAGCTCATGGAAAGTGAACACTGGTGGATGTGAGAGTGTGGACACTGCGGCGTCAGAGGGTTGATGCAAGTTTGTGAACGTTGCGTCGTCAAATTGTTGATGTGGGACCGTGGACACTGTGTCGGCAAATGGTTGATGCGGGATCGTGGACACTGTGTCGGCAAATGGTTGATGCGGGACCGTGGACGTTGCGTCGTCAAATGGTTGATGCGGGACCGTGGACGTTGCGTCGTCAAATTGTTGTAGCCAAGAAAAGAAATGATCATCAAAATTTAACGTTGCGTCGTCGAATTGTTGATGCGGGAACGTGGACACTGCGGCGTCGAATTGTTGATGAGGGAATGTGGACACTGCGCCATCAAATTGTTGATGCGGAGGTGGATGGAATTTAGCAACCGCGGGCACTGCAAGGTCAGAGTGTTGATGTAGGACCGGCGACAGTACGTCTTCCATTGTTCCAGGAAACTTATCGAGAAGAAAGTCCTCAAATCCAGAAAAATCCGGCGTCCTCTCTTCTTTGTTATCGTTAATGAGATTGTCAGACCTCAATTTTCTCTTGGCCGGGACTTCAGACCCGAGCAAACGAGCTGACCTGGATTGCTCGGCACTTGTACCAAGACCTGTTAGAAGCTATTGTTGTTGATAGGCCGTGAAGGTCAAGGGCAATACCCTGTTACGCGGTAAGTAACAACCGTACCTGATTGACTAAACAGATTTGACGTGCTGACAGATGGGACGAGGCGACGATATCGCCACGTCGGAACATCAGGATGTTGCGACATATGAGACGAGGCGACGAGATTACCACATCGTCTTGTCGATGTCGTAACAGATGGGACGGAGCGGGATAGACGTGAACTATAGATGGTATAGTTGCAGTCGGTTTCGCATGCATGTGTAGGTATTAACGAACGAGGAAAGTTAATGCTTAATATATTTTACTTTTACTTCTACCTCTACGTGCACAAGTGCACCACTACTTCACTTCAATCTAATAGGTTATGAGCCCAACGGAACGTGTTGTGAGCAAGCCCAAACAGGCTATGCCTAACGTGGCAGTCGGCGACCCTAATCGGGTTAACGACGACCACCTCGAAGAAAAGTCGGCAGTGCCTGATGCGGCACTGGGCAAGGTGCTTGCCATGCTCGGAGACCTATCTGATCGGCTGAATCGGATGGAGGTCTCCCAGAAGGAGCATGCCGGTGGACAACAGAAGGACTCTGCGGAGTCAAGCGTCTTTGGTTCGGCTCTGGGAGCGGGTGGAGGGATGAACATCCAGGCTTTGGAACTTACCCCTCCCCGGAAGAGGTCACCGAACGACGTGTCGCCGGCTACGTACTTTGGAGCCAGACGACACTACGAAGCTGATGATGCAAATCATCGAGCAGGCCATGTTGAAGCAGACCGCAACATGGGACAAGCGCCGGAACCTGCACATTTTATGGCAGGGGTACCAGGCTATTACCCAGGCGCGGGTATGCCGAACGTGATGCATGCCAACCTAAGACAACAGGTTGTGGGGATGCCAGACGCGCAACATCGGAAGCTTGCACTACAAGCTTTTGATGGGAAGGA